GACTCCAAATACTTTTGGTTATTTGTATGTGGTTTCTAGCACCATTATCTGAAATAGGTGTCTCATCTTCATTGCAACTCACTTCCTAGCTATTTTGGTTCTGGAAGTCACTACCAAAGATCTCTGATTGTCATAATAACTGATACCATAAAGTCTTCATAATGCATCAACATCACCTAGAGCACCATTGAAAACCCAGAAGCACTGAATGTCTGTCACATTCTAGTTTGGACTCCTCAGAAGCACCAGCCTGTGTCCATATGTGAGATTGAAAGCAGTAGTGTCATTCCCGGCAAACGACCTATTACCACGTATCTATTGAGTTGAAACCTAGTGTTTCCAGTTTCCTAACAGCTATCACTTTACGATGTATACTGACTATCATTTCAGAGACTCTGGTGAATAGCTGTCTTCAGAACTGATTGAGATGAAAATCACAAGTCACGTTTTCTTGTTCACTGAAATAGCTGACTGTTCAGAAAGCAAGCCTGTATGGGGTAATGAGCACCCACTAGTGAGGAGTTTTGAATTGAGACACAACTATCTAATCGGTCTTGGTGGTTACTGGTTCTGAAGCTAATGTTGAACCCTGTTCAATACTTTGATAAAAGTCAATTCTCCACAAATCTTCGAGTTCAACAACTGATACTCACTGAACAAGTAATGACTGTCTAAATTAATCAGCCGAGGAAACGATGTCCTGATGCTTACAGAGCCAATCGTTCAATTAGACTTTTGACAAGGATACTAACATAGGTGACTTCAAACTAGAAAGCCACAGGCAACACCGTTTTTCACCAGCATTACTCCTATTTTCAACAAATTTGATAATTCCTAAGTTTAGTCTAAATCCTTGTTGATAACTCCGAGTGAAAAGGCCACCTAAGCAACAACTGAAATAACCATTTAAACTCCTCTGTTTTAAGAAAATCATCCTTTCCAGCCAAAATGCAAAAATGAATGCATATTTGCATTCTCGCTAGAGTGGTCAAATTATTGAAAATATTATTTGTCCCTAGGGTTACAAGTGGAACATAGGGATTCACAAGAACATCAACATCCCACTCTCTTCTCTCCAGTCTCTCCAACCTCACTACACCACTGACCACAAACATTCATTTCTTCATCACACCATCTACTCCATGTCAACCCCACCACAAAGAAATGAAAGTTTGTGGACAGTGGTGTAGTGAGGTTGGAGAGACTGGAGAGAAGAGAGTGGGATGTTGACGTGCTTGTGAATCCCTATGTTCCACTACGAACCCAAAGAACTAATAATAATAATAATCATAAATGAAGTCACCTTATTCAAATACCAATCTGTCATCAGTGGAGTAAGAGTACGAAGTACAAAATGACCTTAACAAAATGTTGTTTATACCTGAAGGTAACTCTATTGTTGGTAGGAATGAAACAAGATACCTGAACTTTGTGAGTATCATTGAAGATCTTCTTTAGAAGTGATCCCAAGTATATCTTTAATGATCATTATTTCTCTAGTTACCCCTTACGATATGCCACGAAAATATATACTAACTTTTGTGTTCTGAAGTTTACAATAATTTACTGAAATATAAAATGAAACACTATGGAGATCCCAGGCAGTATGAGTTCCACAAGAGGAAGACTATGTAATAAACAGGTTTGATAGACGAGGAGAGAGATTAACGAACCAAAGTAGAAACTGGCACCGAAGTGCGTAAGTCAATTAGCCACATTTCACATGAGTATACAAAGAAGAATGAAATTGGAAAAGAATGATATTGAGTGGATAGCAATTCAGGAGAAGGGAGTAAATATGTAAATGAAGTTCAATGGAAATTCTCAAGACTTCAAAATTTACAAGAAGTGAATACATCATATTATCAAGACCTAACCATTGATTTCTATTGTATTGAAGATCCCAAATAACCAGCCTACATCTCAAACTGCTAAGAATAAAAAATACAAATCGGAAAAGTAGCGCCACGCACGATCAGTATTATCTTGGCGTCTAGAGCAGATGAAAATTACAAAGTGGAAAACGTTTTTTCCTAGAAAATACATTTTCCCTAGGAATTGATTTACTGGGACTATACAATTAAATGTAAAAAAATTGCAGATTAACAAAAGTCTACTATAGATCAATATAGTGGGGTTGTGTCATTAAAATAGCCTTCAAGGATGAAAGTGAAAGCTGCCTTCAAAGATGGATATAAATTATGAAGGAATACTTGAGGTGATAAAAGTAAGGAAGTCGATATCGTAAGAATCATTTCTAGATGTAAAGCAAAACAGTTTAGTGATCACAGATGAAAATATGAAGAAAGAGACTGAGGTTTCAATGAAGATGATAATTTTGAACCAGTTCATAGAAATGAGATCACAAAAGTCAAAAGGGAGAACTAAGACTATGGCAAAGGGAGAATATGAATATAATGGTGAACTGTGAACGCTTTCTTGATGCACAGATTACAAAAACGTGCACTTTTTGAAACTTATAATATAACCTTGAAGACCTTTGAAATAGGTTTTTGGTGGAGGTGTATGACTCGAATTGACTAGATGTTAAAGCAGTGAACTGTTGATGGATTTACATCAACTTCCCTGTAACTACGCAGGATCATTTACAGATGTGAGTTAAAAAAGTGGGAACATCTAGAGATTTGTTTGACTAAATTCACAGAAGTCAGTAAAATTGAATACATTTATAGGTGCAGCACAAAGAGGCTACTTACTGCTTTCCTAATTGGCAATAGGTTTTAGAAAAGATTTCGGTTTTAATAAAAACCTGATAAACTTGAACTCCAGAATACCAAAATCTTTTCTAAGACACGACGACAGCATTTTTGAGAAAGAAGGTGAATGTGTGAATCAAATCAACGAGAACAAAATTGAGACTGCTAAAAACTTTAAAATTATTTGTCCCTAGGGTTACAAGTGGAACATAGGGATTCACAAGCACGTCAACATTCCACTGTCTTCTCTCCAGTCTCTCCAACCCCACTACACCACTGTCCACAAACATTCATTTCTTCATCACACCATCTACTCCATGTCACCCTCACCTCAAACACACAAATCATCATTTCCCATTGGGATTCCACTCAACGCCATCGTCTGGCCTGTCCTCACCTCACGCATAACAACCCCAAATCATCTTCTCAATGCATACAATACAATACAATACAATCCATCTCCATTTCCTTCTTCTGAATATTTGTTGGATGATGCGTTGTTGCTTCGTTGGTTCGCTCCCAGAGTTACTTGTTGCTTATTCTTCTAATTATTCCGGCCATCTCATCTCATCTCATCTCCATCTTCACTGTCAGTGTCAGTGTCAGTGTCAGTGTCACTATCGAGTGAGTGTAGGTGTCAGGTGTTGATGATGAATGTAAGCAGTTTGTTGGAAATGTTTTTCGTAACGCGCCATGTATCTCAACCATCACATAGATGCACTCACTGACTTACTTGACTCAATTAGTTTTATTGCTAGCCATTGTCCATCATGACTGAATTAGTGTTGAAAATCCGGATGTTGTTCACCCTTTATGCTGAGTGGAGTGGAGTGGGGTGGGGTGCAACAGATCTCCACACTGATTTCAGGTTGATGGAGGGAGGCTTGTCTTGCTGTCATTCAGATGCTGGCTGCTTTGACGTCCTCATCTGTGTATGTGACACCTGCAGTTGAATCGATGCTGTCCAGGTAGAAGAAACAGACTACTTCGCTTAGATTTCTCCCATTGACGGTGGTTGGTGCTTGTTGTTGATGTTGTTGTTGTTGATTGGATATCTTCACTACCTCTGTCTATGTCTTCTCTACGCCCTCATGAAGGAATTCCCGTCTTCATTGCCTACCATGCCCTACCCTGCCTCACCTCGTCTCGTCTCTTCTGCCAGCTTGTTAGTTCCCGCCTGTACATATTCAAGTTTATGTGACAGGGTTTCAGACATGAATCATCATCGGTGAAATCCAAATCCTCCTCTGGTGTCTTTTCATCATCAGTCCACCTATCATATGCCCATTTCATTACAGCTCCTCACAGACTGTTGCATGATCCAGTACAGTCAAGTTGAGTTGACCACAATGAGGAAGATGATGGGTGATAGTAGATGGCAACCTTGTCTTACTCCTGTCTCCTATCTCCTGTCTTCACTTCAAATGCATCACTGAGCTGAGCTTTCTATTGTGCAGTGAATCACATGTTATGTAGCCTCATGATGTAGCATATGGCTGGTGTTGAATGATGTTGATTAATATTTGTGGCACTAAACCGTAGTGTTGAAGCAGCAACTCCCAAATTACTTCTCGGTCGATAGGTCGATCGAAGGCCTTCTCAAAATCGATGAAGTTAAATTAAAGGGTGATCTTTAGAGTTGCTCGAATTATGAGAGTGATTTTGACTCCATCCTAGCGACTTAAATTAACCAAACAAATTTCAAAATTTCGACTGGGAAATTAGTTTCTGATAGAATGTAGTAATGTTATTGGTTATCTCGACAATTACCAGCTTAGTCTTTAAAATCACTTGGATTAAAGGAACCGATTCGATTGTTTAAGTTGTTGCCATGGTAGCTTTTAAAATTACTTAATTATGGAGGCTGTACATATTTCGTATGTAAATTTACATTCTCATTCAGTCAAAAACCCAGGACATTAGGCCATACTCAACTTCTAGTGGCCATTGCTCATTTTATGTGGAAACGCATTTTATACAAAAAATGTCAAAACAATCAACTATATAACCTATAAATATTTAAGACAGGAGAGATAAGATATTATTTCAGTTTGGCAATAAACACTAGCATTCCAAAAGTAGTATGTATGCAGTGTCAAATACTACCAGCTCAATAAGAACCTAACTATATTAAGTTAGAAGTAAGGCCTAGGCTTTGTTTCAACATCAAACCAGTTAGTGTTATGAATTTCGTCTTCAAGATAAAACCATTCAAACATTTAATGCCTATAATAGGATAAAATAATAAATAAATAAAAATAATATGAATATGCTAGGACTTACTCTAGCTTTTAAAAACCCTTGTGAGAATAACATAATTTCACATATATACTCTAAATCTGGTACATTTAAAGCGACTAGTCTAAACAGAGCTTTCAAAGATTCCGGTAATTCTGTTCGACTAGTATAACCAGGATTCATTGTAATGAATACACCAACTCGACGATTCAATGAAACTTCTGAACCTTCAAACTGAAGATGAAATAAGAATATAGAGTATTTTAATATTTATTCATTTTTAATCAGATCAACTTGACTCTTCGAATGTTTAATGGAAATTCATGTTGTCGAAATAATAATACTGACTCCATATTTCATGTACACAGTAGTACAGGTAAACTTTTATTTGATAGGGCCTACACTACGGAATACCACAAACATATATCAACATCATTCAACACCAGCCATATGCTACATCATGAGGCTACATAACATGTGATTCACTGCACAATAGAAAGCTCAGCTCAGTGATGCATTTGAAGTGAAGACAGGAGATAGGAGACAGGAGTAAGACAAGGTTGCCATCTACTATCACCCATCATCTTCCTCATTGTGGTCAACTCAACTTGACTGTACTGGATCATGCAACAGTCTGTGAGGAGCTGTAATGAAATGGGCATATGATAGGTGGACTGATGATGAAAAGACACCAGAGGAGGATTTGGATTTCACCGATGATGATTCATGTCTGAAACCCTGTCACATAAACTTGAATATGTACAGGCGGGAACTAACAAGCTGGCAGAAGAGACGAGACGAGGTGAGGCAGGGTAGGGCATGGTAGGCAATGAAGACGGGAATTCCTTCATGAGGGCGTAGAGAAGACATAGACAGAGGTGATGTAGATGCTGAATCAACATCAACGGGAGAAATGTCAAAGGAGTAGTCTCTTTCACCTACCTACCTACCTACCTACCTAGGGAGCATCGATTCAATTACAGGTGTCACATGCACAGATGAGGACGTCAAAGCAGCCAGCATCTGAAAGACAGCAAGACAAGCCTCCCTTCATCAACCTGAAATCAGTGTGGAGATCTGTTGCACTCCACTCCACTCCACTACACTCCACTACACTACACTACACTACACTACACTACACTACACTACACTCTACTCAGCATAAAGTCTGAACAACATCCCGATTTCTAAAACTTATTCAGTCATGATGGACAGTGGCTAGCAATAAAACTAATTGAGTCAAGTAAGTCAGTGAGTGCATCTATGTGATGGTTGAGATACATGGCGCGTTACGAAAAACATTTCCAACAAACTGCTTACATTCATCATCAACACCTGACACCTACACTCACTCGATAGTGACACTGACACTGACACTGACACTGACAGTGAAGATGGAGATGAGATGAGATGAGATGGCCGGAATAATTAGAAGAATAAGCAACAAGTAACTCTGGGAACGAACCAACGAAGCAACAACGCATCATCCAACAAATATTCAGAAGAAGGAAATGGAGATGGATTGTATTGTCTTGTATTGTATGCATTGAGAAGATGATTTGGGGTTGTTATGCGTGAGGTGAGGACAGGCCAGACGATGGCGTTGAGTGGAATCCCAATGGGAAATGATGATTTGTGTGTTTGAGGTGAGGGTGACATGGAGTAGATGGTGTGATGAAGAAATGAATGTTTGTGGACAGTGGTGTAGTGGGGTTGGAGAGACTGGAGAGAAGACAGTGGAATGTTGACGTGCTTGTGAATCCCTATGTTCCACTTGTAACCCTAGGGACAAATAATTTTAAAGTTTTTAGCAGTCTCAATTTTGTTCTCGTTGATTTGATTCACACATTCACCTTCTTTCTCAAAAATGCTGTCGTCGTGTCTTAGAAAAGATTTTGGTATTCTGGAGTTCAAGTTTATCAGGTTTTTATTAAAACCGAAATCTTTTCTAAAACCTATTGCCAATTAGGAAAGCAGTAAGTAGCCTCTTTGTGCTGCACCTATAAATGTATTCAATTTTACTGACTTCTGTGAATTTAGTCAAACAAATCTCTAGATGTTCCCACTTTTTTAACTCACATCTGTAAATGATCCTGCGTAGTTACAGGGAAGTTGATGTAAATCCATCAACAGTTCACTGCTTTAACATCTAGTCAATTCGAGTCATACACCTCCACCAAAAACCTATTTCAAAGGTCTTCAAGGTTATATTATAAGTTTCAAAAAGTGCACGTTTTTGTAATCTGTGCATCAAGAAAGCGTTCACAGTTCACCATTATATTCATATTCTCCCTTTGCCATAGTCTTAGTTCTCCCTTTTGACTTTTGTGATCTCATTTCTATGAACTGGTTCAAAATTATCATCTTCATTGAAACCTCAGTCTCTTTCTTCATATTTTCATCTGTGATCACTAAACTGTTTTGCTTTACATCTAGAAATGATTCTTACGATATCGACTTCCTTACTTTTATCACCTCAAGTATTCCTTCATAATTTATATCCATCTTTGAAGGCAGCTTTCACTTTCATCCTTGAAGGCTATTTTAATGACACAACCCCACTATATTGATCTATAGTAGACTTTTGTTAATCTGCAATTTTTTTACATTTAATTGTATAGTCCCAGTAAATCAATTCCTAGAGAAAAATTATTTTTTAGAAAGAAAGGTTTTCCATTTTGTAATTTTCATCTGCTCTTGAAGCCAAGATAATATTGATCGTGCGTGGCGCTACTTTTCCGATTTGTATTTTTTATTCTTAGCAGTTTGAGATGTAGGCTGGTTATTTGGGATCTTCAATACAATAGAAATCAATGGTTAGGTCTTGATAATATGGCTTAAAATCATTCACAATGGTGTAGATGTATTCACTTCTTGTAAATTTTGAAGTCTTGAGAATTTCCATTGAACTTCATTTACATATTTACTCCCTTCTCCTGAATTGCTATCCACTCAATATCATTCTTCTTTGTATACTCATGTGAAATGTGGCTAATTGACTTACGCACTTCGGTGCCAGTTTCTACTTCGGTTCGTTAATCTCTCTCCTCGTCTATCAAACCTGTTTATTACATAGTCTTCCTCTTGTGGAACTCATACTGCATAGGATCTCCATGGTGTTTCATTTTATATTTCAGTAAATTATTGTAAACTTCAGAACACAAAAGTTAGTATATATTTTCGTGGCATATCGTAAGGGGTAACTAGAGAAATAATGATCATTAAAGATATACTTGGGATCACTTCTAAAGAAGATCTTTAATGATACTCACAAAGATCAGGTATCTTATTTCATTCCTACCAACAATAGAGTTACCTTCAGGTATAAACAACATTTTGTTAAGGTCATTTTGTACTTCGTACTCTTACTCCACTGATGACAGATTGGTATTTGAATAAGGTGACTTCATTTATGATTATTATTATTATTAGTTCTTTGGGTTCGTAGTGGAACATAGGGATTCACAAGCACGTCAACATCCCACTCTCTTCTCTCCAGTCTCTCCAACCTCACTACACCACTGTCCACAAGCTTTCATTTCCTCATCATACCATCTCCTCCAAGTCACCTCCACCTCTGAAGCACAACTTGTTGTTTCCCATTCGGCTTCCACTTGACGTCCTGGCCTGAATTGGTGCGTGATGTCTCAGAATGGTCTTCTCAGTGTATACCCAATCCATCACCACTTTTGTCTTCTGCATATTTGTTGGACGATGGGTTGTTGGTTGGTTGGTTGGTTCGTTGCCAGCCAGCCAGCCAGCCAGCCAGCCAGCCAGCCAGCCAGCCAGCCAGCCAGCCAGCCAGCCAGCCAGCCAGCCAGCCAGCCAGCCAGCCAGCCAGCCAGCCAGCCAGCCAGCCAGCCAGCCAGCCAGCCAGCCAGCCAGCCAGCCAGCCAGCCAGCCAGCCAGCCAGCCAGCCAGCCAGCCAGCCAGCCAGCCAGCCAGCCAGCCAGCCAGCCAGCCAGCCAGCCAGCCAGCCAGCCAGCCAGCCAGCCAGCCAGCCAGCCAGCCAGCCAGCCAGCCAGCCAGCCAGCCAGCCAGCCAGCCAGCCAGCCAGCCAGCCAGCCAGCCACAGTGGGTTACTTGTTGCTTATTCCTCTAATTATTCTGGCCATCTCATCTCATCTCCATCTTCACTGTCAGTGTCACTATCGAGTGAGTGTAGGTGTCAGGTGTTGATGATGAATGTAAGCAGTTTGTTGGAAATGTTTTTCGTAACGCGCCATGTATCTCAACCATCACATAGATGCACTCACTGACTTACTTGACTCAATTAGTTTTATTGCTAGCCATTGTCCATCATGACTGAATTAGTGTTGAAAATCCGGATGTTGTTCACTCTTTATGCTGAGTGTAGTGTAGTGTAGTGTAGTGTAGTGGAGTGGAGTGCAACAGATCTCCACACTGATTTCAGGTTGATGAAGGGAGGCTTGTCTTGCTGTCTTTCAGATGCTGGCTGCTTTGACGTCCTCATCTGTGCATGTGACACCTGTAGTTTAAACGATGCTATGTGCAATAAATCACTTGGTATGTAGCCTCATCATATAGCATATGTCTGGTGTTGAATGATGTTGATAACGATTTGTGAAACTGAAGTTTTGGCGCATTAGGTGCCCAACTACATCTCTGTCGACGCAATCGAAATGCTTTTAATAATCGATGAATTTTAGGTGAAGATTTGTTAGTCAAGTAAGTAACTGCATAAAGATTTTCCTTCAGCACGAGAAATTCAAGATTGCTTGAAACATTTCCTGCAAACAAGTTTTACACTGCTTCGCTAGAAATGCTTCATTGCTCACCTCAACTTTTCACAGCTATTTAACTGCATACAATAACTAACTTGTAGCACTTAACTACTACTGGTAACTATTCATCAAGTTATAAAACTGATCATAGTAATTTTTTACTCAAACCTACTTGAAATGTTGATAATTTAGTTGTTAAAGCATTCTGAATTGATTTGATTTGACTTGAAACGACTGATAGGACAGATACTTGAATTCTGTTAAAGTCATCAAAACAACCCCATACGCCTGAACGGCATAGTCCAGAAAGAAGTCTTGCAAATGACTTGAATGATTCACAAAAGAATGAAATAAACTGGAATTATTTATGTGGATGGAAATAAATGAAAGTATATTGGCAATACGACAAGGAAGTTATTTAATTTCATCTGTAGACATCCATTTTTAGTACCAATTTCATTATTCTCTGTTCATTAAGGATTCCAAACTTGAACTTTAACAAATCTAACTTATGATAAACCTCTACTGAATACTAAATTACAAATTAGCTGTTCCATCTGTAGAAAAATGGTTGATTTGAGGATGATAAATCTATGTTAACTATCTGTATGATGATAATATACTCAACTAACATTCTGCAGTTCCTATCCTTCACACTTTTACCCGATTTCAAAATGTTCATTAAAAGTGAGCCATTTAACTCAAATATGCATACATTTGCATTTTGGAGATGTTGATTATCATTTTCCGATTATTAACACCAACAAAAACTATTTTCAGTCTCATAAGAGGACAATATACCCTTAATAAGTCAGTGCAAGCTTCTCTGCAAAGACCATTTAGGGACATCACGCGCCGGACCAGGCCCTCGATTGGAACCCCCACGGGAAACCATGAATTAGATGTCTGAGTGTGACATGGAGGAGATCATGTGATTAAGAAGTGGAAACTTCTAGACAGTTCTGGAGCCCTGTTGAACAGACTACATAGAAGAGAGTGAAATGGCGACGTGCTACTGAAACCCTATGTTCCACTAGGAATCCATGGGACAAATAATAATATAATAATGATAATAAAGTTTCTTTACAAGTGTAAATGGCTAAGAGAACATTAGTTCATTTTAAAGAGAAGAAATACCTTGTTGATGAGTTTTAATCAGGTAAATAACTTGGATCCATAGCATCTTGTTTTATGCATCTAACAATTTCAACAAAAGTTGTTGTCGCTTATCTATTTCAATTATTCACATATATAAGATTGATAACAACGTTCTCAATGATTTCTACCGAATATAGACAATGGAGTCTCCTGTACAAAATCAGCAATCTAAACCTTCGAGTTATCATTGCATTCATCGAATCGTATGCATGGAAATTCATAAATGTAGCACAAGTTAGGAATAAATAAATGAAACAGTGAAAAGTTAACTGAAATACGTCATATTCATAATACAAAACAACTATTAGTTGTTTCATTTACTCACTGGTGAATTCTCAAACCATAATGGTTAAATGAGACAGGTATGTGTAACATTCAAGTAGTACTGTAGTGGGCGTTGCTGATTAGAATGGATATAAGTAGTATATGCTGACAGGGTGGCAGAAATCATAGGGAATTACTAGCAGTGGATAAGAATTCTGCGAAAAGAAACGCACGAGACAACGCTGGTGTATGAAGAACAAATCAAGAGAGAAGGAGAAGAAGAAATGATGACTGTGTTAGTGCAAGGTGTACCATATTTAACTACTACTGCACCACTTGTGAACAATCAACATTCCTTCCTTCATCTCGGTCTTCTCGATTCCTGCAGTACTACCTAGATTAAGTAGTAGAGGTGTGCACTTGCCTCAGAATGACACTTAAATTTATTCTAGGAGTAGTGCTATGAACCCCAGTAACCTGAATTTGGAGCGCTTCGAAGTAGAAAATTTGTTATATATAGACAATGCTGAAAAGTGAAAACCATCAGGGAGTGGATAATAGTCAAATGGAATGAAGTAATCTGAGTAAAATGTAATTAAAATACGTACTAGTTCTGACAAAAACAAACTATCACATATGTTAGCCTACTTTAAAAAGGTGAATAACACTCAGAGGGGGAATAAAACTGACTTCTAATCACCAATGCAAAGAGAGGAGGGTTTTTTGCGTATTGAAAGTTATTTAAGAGATAATAATGTTTCATTCAGTTATCAAGACGAATGGGATTGATTTTTGAAAACGGAGTAGACTAGCAGGTTGAATTCCATGATAAGTGTAGAAGGCATTTCATAGAGAAAAGTCAGTCCACTAGCTTGTTTCTTGGACGGAAGTTATGTAGGACGTGATAATAGTGAGTTCATCTCAGAAGTAAACTTCCATACCAACTTCTTCATTACATGGAATAATCACTGATACTCGCCTAGACATTGGTTTATGTCATGGACCGATATCAGTTGGAGAAAATATTAGAGTACAGAACAGCTACTTCATCCTAGTTTGGGACTCCACAGTGGGGCATATCTATGACTTCACGAGTGACCGAGTTTATGACTAGTAGGTCTTGTGGCCAACTCGTTGCCACGTAATGTTCCAGTAGTTTATACTGCTGTCAAATCACTATGTAGTGAAACCATCATTCAGTTTCATCGATAGGCATCCGTTCCCACTCACGACTTGGTGGACCCTCCCCGAGGCCATGGTTTCGCATTAGAACTAGGGGGAATTCATCTCGAGATCTGAAAGTCCTGGGTCCAATCACTTTAAGGTGCATTCTGCTAAGTCCCAAACTAGGGTGAAATAGTTGTCTAGTGTTCTCATTTTTATAATGATCCTCTAACTGCTTTGCTAACAAATAATCTGCACAAACTATCAATTCAATAAAAATCCGAAAACTCCAGTCTTGCATAAAACATTGTTATTGATCTGAACATTTTTAACTTGTCATTCTCACACCATTTTGACAGCATGACCAGTACTTTATTTTCTGCCCTTATTTGTAATGTCACTAGCTAATTGGTTAATCCTTACTCTCTTACTACGTCAATGTCTCAAATTGAGGACAAGGTCATATGTCATGTGTATACACTCACGTGTTTTTGAATTAATGAATTGATTATTATACTCGGAGGAATAAACTCTCCCATCATCCAGCTTCAGTCTTCTCTCTTTTCGTCCGGGGATGCAGTCGGTGGCTGTTGCGTACGAAGTTAGCTGTCAGTTAAGCGTACGTATTATATCAGTTCGGAATATATAACACACCCATATTAAATCTATGTGAAAATCAGTGACGATTCAACTGAAGTTACTGGCACCATGTTTGTGAATTATGTCTAAAGTGTCGCAAAGGACTGAAGAGTCTGTAACCGTGATATGATTATGGGTAAAAGGAAATAACTACCATATACTGCCAGTATTTTATCGCTACCTCGACAGTTGTAAACTTGATGTACTAAGTACCCACTCCTTCACTGTTGAAAGGTGGGTTGGGCTTTTTGTGATAAAAATATGCCAACTGTGTACAGTCACAAGTTCATATTGTTTTGAATTTGAAAAATTCTTCTTCACATAAAAGGGGGAATGAAAGAATACAAAAAGCGAACATGTTTTAGGATTTTTCAGCAGTTTAACAAGTCAAACACCATATATTTGTTGTTCTCACAACAGTCAATAATAAACTGTTACAGAGTCTGATAGGCAGTTAACCCCAATGTCCAACAATGAAAGGTTGCACTGCTCTACTATCACATAACACAGTTTGTACATTACTTTATCTGGCAAAATCTCAACTACCTATTCAATATTATATTGTTTTTAATAAGGTGGTATTTTCAATTAATTGTAGAATAATCTTTATAAATTACTTTGCAATCCATATTCTCTCCACAATTTGTTACGATACATAAATATCCAAGAGCTTTAGCTAAGTCTTTCACTGTCTCTGTTTTACCTGTTCCCGTTGAACCAGATGCAGCACCTCCTAGACATAATGATAATGCCTAAAAAAATTTAAAAAAAGAAAAAACGAAATCGAAAACTGGTTAGTTGCTATCACATAAAATCCAAAACACTAATCCAGTCACCTTTGTAAATGAATAGTTGTTTACATGTTAGTCATCATATCATTCAAACGGACTAGTATGAGGACAGCATTAGTTTTCTGTTTAGGTTAACCGATTATTATTATTATTTGTCCCTTGGGTTCCTAATGGAACATACTGCTTCACTAGCACGTCTCAATTCCACTCTCTTTCTGCAATCTTTTGAACCTGGCTTCACGACAGCCTACAAGCTCTCATTTCTTCCTCACACCATCTCCTCCATGTCACCCTCGCCCCGGACACCCAACTCACCGTTTCCCATCCGGGTTCCACTCGAAGGCCTGGCCTGACGCGTGATGTCCCCAGTTGGTCTTCTCAGTGTATGCCTCGTCCAATCCATCTCCACTCCCTTACAGTGCATATTTGTTGAGCAATAGGTTCTTGCTTCATTGGTTCGTTGCCAGCCAGCCAGAGTTCCTTTTTGCTTATTCCTATTATTCTGGCCTTATCATCTGATCTTTAGTATCGAGCCAGCGTAGACGGCAGCTGTTGATGAATGTCTGCCGAGTGGAACCGCAATGGGAAACGAAGAGTTGGGTGTCCGAGGCGAGGGTGACATGGAGAAGATGGTGTGAGGAAGAAATGAGAGCTTGTAGACAGTGGTGGATCCAGGTTCAAAAGACTACAGAGAAGAGAGCGGAATGAAGACGTGCAACAGAAGCTCTATGTTCCATTAGGAGCCCAGGGGAAAAATAATAACAATATATAATACTCGACAAGCGCATCTTAGATTAGTTTTTCAATACTCTTGTTAGTGAACGGTTAACACAACCATAATTAATATCATACAGTTTATCCATAAATGTCTTGTATGAAATTGCTGAAGAAAACAAAATCGAAGATATTTACAAATAAAAAGATATACATATCAGATAGGCACAAACTCATTTCTGAAGAGTGAAACGTGAATATTTGTAGCTCAAGTGAACTGATAGTCTTGGTTGTATTGTGTTCTCTGAGCTGGGTTGTTTAATCGTGAAGCTTTCATACTGAATTTAGTGCTGATGATTAAAGAATCCAGTTCAGAGAACAATACAACTGAGAGTGAATTGTTTTCATTTCAAGCTTCGTCTATAGATTTCCCAGTATTTTTTTTTATTAGTCAACCTTAGAAGGCCTGTTTACTTTCTACTGTTTTGATATTCTTTGACTTTCTCATATCACCAAAACACAACACAGAGGAATAATCATTTTCAGAACACGCTGCTTAGTAATAAACCCTGACAATGCTCTGAAGTGACTCATGCATGCTGACATTTTATATCCCTTATCAAACTTATAACTAAGCTAAACTGAGAATAGGAATGCCTTTATTCGAATAAATATAGCTAACTGAGATTTGCGATGAGTTTTGAGTCCAAGTTTCAACCAGTATAACATATGAACAGTAGACACCAGTGTGAAAGTTGTCTTTTTATAGGAATGTCGCCTTTGTCATCATAAGTTATTATGAATGAAGTAATTGATATTACTTTTACGAAATAATGACATCAACACGGTAACTTATTACATCTAAAGCAACAGTTATTTCAATTTGAGCTAAAGGATATTAAGTTACAAAATATCATTCACCTGAAATGATTTTCAGATTTTTCACCAGTGACATCTAACACTGTAAACTGACAGAATCAGAGATGCGAAGTGTATCTGATATAGAATGGCTGTAATATCTTATGAAATAGGTTAAAAGAAATTGTGCTAGTGTACAGATGATTTCGCATACCTCTCAATAAGGATTACGTCCATCTGAGTCAGCAATAAATAGTCTTTGATTGTCTTCTGTATGGCATCTGAAAAGTCAATATTACCTTCTTCTAATTCCAAAGTCATACTAACTGGAGAAATGAAGAATGTTCTACAGATTAAAATGGTCACTTGGTCATTATTTCTTGAGATGATATTATCTACATTATAAGTTGTAAATGATATTGCACGGTATTGAATTCATCACCTACTGAAAAAGTGTACATTTGCATATACATTAACTTTAAATCTTTGTCTAGAGATAGCAATACATCCATGAAATATCATGAACAGGTTTGTTGGTGCTAAGACAGATTGGTTTCACAAAGTAGTAGTCATCTCAGTCAAAAGAACTTGAGATACACTTAGTTTACCAGTTACTACTTTTACAATGACGAAGAATGTTGCCCATATGAAGAAAAATTTTACAAAATTAAATCAATTGTGTAAAAAAAAGGCATCAAGATTTTTAGGTAATCGTACCATAAAGAAACTGAAGTGACTGTCGCCTAAAGTCCATAACATACACTTGCAAAAAGCGTATTGTTATATTAAATAGGTGTAAAACTTGGGCACTGTGATAAAATTTAATTCCATATTAGATTTGTTTATTTGATTCATAACACAATGATACAGTATCATTTACTTGATGATGTTTCCAACATAAATTATCATTACTCATAATCATACCAATATAATCACACTAACTGAGACATTTGAGTTTTATACTTATGTCACCTCATATGATTTGCTTCTATTGGTAGTAAAGTCTTCCATATCTCTAGTATAGGTGTTGTGTCATTTCTATTACATGTACTGGTTGGGTGTTGATTCGATGAACAGATAGATATTTAGTAATCAATCTCTCTCTCCATTTATTTATATTGAACTTAAGTACAGTGGCTTTATTTCACCCAGTCTATTGTGTGGTTGTGTGTTAATCCATGCATAGTAATAGTCGAGTTTTTTCTAGATTATTGATCATATTCGGGTCTGTCATTCTATATTTAGCTAAATTCCTATGTTCGGTTATTCTAACTGACAACGACCGGCTAGTTTGACCTATGTACTTGACCTGACTCACGGTCACTACATGGAATTTTATAGATTAGATTATTTCGCCTAATTGGTTCTATCGGATGTTTAGGCCGAAAAAGCTTATCTCTGAGTGAGTTTGTAGTTTTAAATGACACCCTAATACCAGCTTTGTTGAGGATCCTACGTAAAGCTTCTAATGTGCCTTCATTATAGGGCAACTCAATGGAGGCTGTGAACTGCTTTATACTTGTGCTGTCGTTATTATTCGTACTAGTGTTACTGTTATTTTTTCCTTTCTTGTTTGTCCGTGCGAATTTCTTAATGAACTTCGGTCAAACTAGTCGGTCAGGGTCAGTCAGAATAACCGAATATAGGAATTTAGCGAAATATAGAGTATTATTATTATTTGTCCCTTGGGTTTCTAATGGAACATACGGCTTCAGTAGCACGTCTCCAGTGCACTCTGTTCTCGGAAATTTTTTGGACCTGGCTCCACCACTGCCCACAAGCTCTCATTTCTTCTTTGCACGATCTCCTCCATGTCACCCTCACCCCGGATGCCCAACTCGTCGCTTCCCATCGGGGTTCCACTCGACAGCCTGGCCTGACGCGTGATGTCCCCAGTCGGTCTTCTCAGTGTATGCCTCGTCCAATCCATCTCCATTTCCTCCCAGCGCATATTTGTTGAGTGATAGGTTCTTGGTTGCTTTGTCACCAGCCTACCAGAGTTCCTTGTTGTTTATTCTAATTATTCTGGCCATCCAATCTTCAGTAACGAGACAGCGTAGACGGCAGTTGTTGATGAATGTCTGTAGTATGTTGGAAATGTCTTTCGTAACGGCCCAAGTCTCTGAACCATACAGAAGCACTGACTTGACTGAATTGATGTTGAAAATCCGGATCTTGTCCCACATGCTGAGTGCAGTGCAGAAGATCTCCACACTGGTTTCAGGCTAATGAACGCCTCTCTTGCTTTTCCGATTCTGACTTTGACATCCTCGTCTATGCCACCGCCTGTAGTTGAAACAGTGCTTCCTAGATAGGTGAAGAAGGTTACTTCCTTTAAGTTTCTCCCGTTGATGGTGATAGGAGCTTGTTGTTGTTGTTCGTTGGGTATCTTCATCACCTCTGTCTTCTCTACTTTAACTTGAATTCCCGTCTTTGTGACCTCGCCTCTTCTGACAACTCGTTGGTTTTCGCCTGTAGATCTTCAAGTTTGTGTGACATCAGACGCACGTCATCGGCAGCGAAATCCAGATCTTCTAGGTTCTTTTCTGCAGTCCAGCGTATCCCTCTCTTCTCGCTCCCCACTGTTTGTTGCATGATCCAGTCGACCACAATCAGGAATATCATGGGTTAAATATAGAATGACAGACCCGAATAAGATCTATAATCTGGAAAAAACTCGGCTATTGCTATGCATGGATTAACACACAACCACACAATAGACTGGGTAGGATAAAGCCACTGTACTTAAGTTCAATATAAATGAGTGAAGAGAGAGATTGATTACTAAACATCTATCTGATCATCGAATCAACACCCAACCAGTACATGTAATAGAAATGACACAACACCTATACTAGAGATATGGAAGACTTTACTACCAATAGAAGCAAATCATATGAGGTGACATAAGTATAAAACTCAAATGTCTCAGTTAGTGTGATTATATTGGTATGATTATGAGTAATGATAATTTATGTTGGAAACATCATCAAGTAAATGATACTGTATCATTGTGTTATGAATCAAATAAACAAATCTAATATGGAACTAACTGTTACAGTTTCGGTGTTGAAAATAGCAACACCTAATGATGAAATGCATAACGTTGCAGCATCTATTCTCACCTGTTATGATTCTCCATGTTAAAACGAGATTAGATGTCTGCAGTATTACTCAGTTACTAGCATTTATTGTAATGACCAGTAAGTTATAGCATTATCGTATAGTTGTTAGTATAGGCGTTTAACCAGTAACATTAGATAGAAATAGTCTTCATCTTATAAAGATAATTTGACTATTTGACACAGTTCAAAAGATAATATCTACATTCATCAGCAAAATTTAAAGCATACAGACAATGAAGAATGTGTGAATTTTTATAGTTCTAAAAGAAGCACTGACAGTTGGTCTATATCATCACGTAACTAGCCATAATACCCTGTCATGATCTGATCAAGTCTGTTTAACGTATTATACATATAAGATAATTATTTTTCAGGTATGACCATAGTTCAAATATATATATTTATAAAAAAAAGCTTAACTACAATTTCTTTCCATTTTAATTACTTCGAAAAAAGTATTCTTTAGTTAATTACCTGTGTCAATGTTAAATAGATACGATCAGTTAACGGTGTAATAACCAATCGACCATTCAATCCAAAATATTCATAACCATATTCGAATTCAGCTGAACACTGACGAATTACTAATTCATCACTTTTACATACCCAATAGAAACGTAGTTGAGATTCCCAGGCAAAATCATCGGGTACCATTATACTAAAATCAAAATAGAATATTTAGAAAATAAATACTATAAACTTATTATGTTCTCCTCCATATATTACTATATGAGAGTAGATAATCCGTCTGTCAACCAGTCAGTCAACAGGAAGTAGGAGGAATCGAATATAACCTATGATATAATCCATCTATCCATCCAAATCAATATAGCAGAAGGCATTAATGCGCAACCGTCCGAGTTGCCACAGCTCATATCACTATTATTATTATTATTATTATTATTATTATTATTATTATTATTATTATCATATGTCCCTTGGGTTCCTGGTGGAACGAAGGGCTTTAGTAGCTCACCTCTGTTACACTCTGTTCTCTGCAGTCCTTTGAACCTGGATCCACTACTGCTCACAAGCTCTCATTTCTTCCTCACACCATCTCCTCCACGTCACCCTCGCCCCGGACACCCAACTCACCGTTTCCCATCCGGGTTCCACTCGACGGCCTTGCCTGGACTTGCACGTGATGTCCGCAATCGGTCTTCTCAGTGTATGCCTCGTCCAATCCATCTCCACTTCTTTACAGTGCATATTTGTTGAGCAATAGGTCCTTGCTTCATTGGTTCGTTGCCATCCAGAGTTCCTTGTTGCTTATTCTTATTATTCTGGCCTTATCATCAGATCTTCAGTATCGAGCCAGCGTAGACGGCAACTGTTGATGAATGTCTGTAGTATGTTGGAAATGTCTTTCGTAACGTGCCAAGTTTCTGAACCATCGCATAGAAGCACTCACTGATATATTGACTAATGTTGGTGTTAAAAATCCGGATGTTGTTCACGCTTTATGCTGAGTGCAGTTGATCTCCACAATCATTTCAGATTAGTGAAGCCTGTCTTGATTTTCCGATCCTGGCTTCAACATCCTCATCTGTGTCTGTGCCGCCTGTAGTTGGAACGATGCTGCTTATGTAGGTAGGTAGGTAGGTAGGTGAAAGAAACTACTTCGTTTTAGTTTCTCCCGTTAATGGTGATTGGTGTTTGTTGTCGATGCTGTTGTTGGTTGGGTATCTTCATCACCTCCGTCTTCTCTACATTCACTTGAAGTCACTTTTTCGCTGCCTGTTCTGTCAACTTGTTAGTTTTCGCCTGTAGATGCTTGTCGAGTAGGCGCTAGAAAATTCTTTGCGAAAATTAATGTTAAGCCATGATCTAACAAAAGATCTAGTAGTATGTATCTGCTAGCTTTGATTGGATATTTAGTCTGTGATCCACATTATAAGAGCCTAAGTTTTATTAATAAAAGAAGTTTTTAAATGTGTACTGTGCTACTGCCTTTATTACAGATGTTGTCAAAGCTTTAAAAACATTTGTGATAATGTTTCACTGACTAAGATGAAGTGGACTTTTCCAGAGTTTACATACAGCACGTTTCATAGTTTTGGCTTCATTGGAGGTCGTGAAGTGGTAGGTTAACAGATTCCTCAATTTGCACAAAATTTCTATTCTTAAATTTTGAATAGGGGAAAAAACAATGAATGAACATAATAACAGCTTCTTGTGTTTTACAGTGGCACTGAGTTCAATTTTATTCAACAATTGATTCTCGACTGGAATTATTTACAGTTATTCCGCACTCATTTTTTCTCTGTACTAAATCTAAAATATAAAATATACACGAAGTATGAGTTGACAAGGAATGCAGGAAACGGGTGCCTACTATATACACATAGCTTTTGATGTACATGCATAACTAGAGGAGTTCTGTTAAAGAGTAGAACAATAATATGAACCCGATAATTAAATTTCACATAAATACTTGACATGCAAACTGATTACAAGCAGGAAAGTGAGCTTTCCTCTCTCAGTATGACAACTTTGTAAGTTGTTCAACATAACCTTTACACTATCTTATTTACAGAAAACAAAATCACTTAAAAAGTTAAAGGAAAAATGCATCGAACTCCATAGGCGAATGGTCCTGAATAATAGAAAGGCCAAGAGATTCTGGTCAGCTGGATGCATTGGTTTTCAGGAAAATGTTGATTAGAGTGACGGAGATCCTAGGAAGAGTATGGAATCTCACATACTGCCATCAGCCTGGTGTACTTCACTGACTATAATAGTCTATAACAAGGCGGAGAAATCACTCAGTAACCAACCATACAGCAAATAGTTTGACTAATATTGTGTCCAAGATTCTGAGATCTATAGTTACCCGACGACTAACAAAAGCTCGAGAACACCAAACTCGGGAAAACCATGTACGTACCAGACCTGGTCGAGAGTGCATCAGGCATATTTTTACCCTCCGACAAGTTCTGGTACATGGGTATACCCACAGGTGAATGGCCGAAATTCAGCGAACTTATCAACCTGAAGATAGAATTTGACTCAATCGACCAAGAAGTGTCGCATCAGTGTCTCATTATGAAAGGAATATCAAACAAGTATATAACGTTAATCAAAGCTCTCTACTCAAACTCACACAATCGTATAACGTCATCAATTATGATGACAACTAGTCGTGTACAACACGAATCACCACTGTCACCGTTCACATTTAATTCACTCATACATGTACTAATGGATACAACCTTGGGTATATCTGACTTCACAAGCATTAACTCACTCCATGGAGGTCATCTGATTGACTGGAGTATGCAGACTATATTGTCCTGTTAGGTGAAGATGTTGACAAAATGCAGAATGAGGTCTCCTGAATGTGTTCAGTAGAAATCTGAGTTTGTTTGACTTGCATTTCACACACAGCTGGTCAAATATAAGATGATACTACAGATATGACCTGTGTGATACAAGTATGGAGTGATTATGATACAGAGTGAAGCAGTGGAATCCACTGACCAATCCACCCTCTTTCCTAGTTACATCAGCCTGCCCAACAGGCTGGTTGCTCACAAAATCTCAGCTCACATATAGGTGACCCGTTCGCCTCATCTCTGGCTCCAAATATCATGATATTCAACCACCTGTTAAAATATGAGCATACTAAGCAGCAGTGAGTTCTCCCCTGTTGTACGGCCGTGTGACATGTCACTTAAAAGTTGGAGATATGGATCGATTACAGCGTTTCGATTACGAATGTCTTCGTCACAATGCTCATGTTTGGAGTAATCACCGTGTGAGCGATGTTGAGGTCAAGCGAGGGGTACTAGGCAAGATGGGCAGTTCAGTCAATTGATGAGGTTGTGAACATTGATCGACTGAAATGGCTTGGACATGTGTTGTGCATGTTGAGTTACCGCCTACCTCGATATGCAATGTGAGGGGAAGTTGGATACGGTTGTTAGAAGCATCAACGTGGCCAGAGGAACACGTGATACCAATCGGTGAAATCTCTGATCATTACCAACCTCATTCAATAGCCATATGATACCACACGCCATGTTATCCACAATGGGAAGCTCAGTGACGCTTTTGAAGTTTGGACAAGAATGAGTAAGACAAGGTTGCTGCCTACTATCACCGACCATCTTCCTCATTGTGGTGGACTGGATCACGCATCAAGCCATAAAGAGCGAGAAGATGGACATACGCTCTTTGACCGATGGAAAGACCCTAGAAGATTCGGATTTCGCCTATGATGATTTATATCTAATGTCCTGTTGCACAAACTCGACGATGTACAGGCGGAACCAACAAGTTGGCAGAAGAAGCGAGGAGAGGCAGGGTAGGGAAGACAGCAGTTACTTCATGTGAACGTAGAGAAGACAGAGAAAAAGGTGATGACACCCAACCAACCATCATCAACAACGAGTATCAATCACCATGAAAGGAAAAAATCTAAAGGAAGATGTCTTTTTTCCCATCTAGGCAGCATCATTTCAACTACAGGCGGCAATGGCACAGATGAGGATGTCAAAGCAGCCAGGATTGGAAAGATGACATGACAAGTTTTCCTGCATTAACATAAAATCAGTGTGGAGATCTACTGCACTCCACTCCACTCCACTCAGCATAAAGCATGAACAACATCTGGATTTTCAACACTAATTCAGTCAAGTAAGCCGGTGAGTGCATCTATGTGATGGTTGGGAGACTTGACACGCTACGAAAAGCATTTCCAACAAACTACAGACATACATCATCAACAGCTGACACCTACACTCACTCGATAGTGACACTGACACTGACACTGACAGTGAAGATGGAGATAAGATGAGATGAGATGGCCAGAATAATAAGAATAAGCAACAAGGAACTCACTCTTGCTGGCTGACTGGATGGCTGGAAGCGAAACAACGAAGCAAGAACCTATCACCCCAGCAAATATGCGGAAGATGAAAGTAGAGATGGATTGGGCATACACTGAGGAGACCATTCGGGGATATCACGCGCCAGTCCAGGACAGGCCGTCAAGTGGTATTTAAATAGGAAACGACGAGTTGTGCGTCCTAGGTGAAGGTGACATGGAGGAGATGGTGTGAGGAAGAAATAAAAGGTTATGGGCAGTGGTGTATCCAGGTTCGAGAGAGTGCAGAGACCTGAGTGAAATAGCGATGTGCTACTGAATGCCTATATTCCATTAGGAACCCAAGGGAAAAATAATAATAATGATAACTAGGATAATAAAGTAATACTATCAATAACGTTAGTATCGAATGTCTTGGGTTCAATATTATGCGATGTCATAGATAAACACTGCTAAATAGTATCAAAACATGATAAAAAGTTTATCCAATGTCACTTGATTTTTAATCAGTTTTAGTCTGTAATGAAAACTGTTTTTAAAGTAAATAAAAGTTTAAACAATTTAACAGTAATAGTGGTTTACCTATCACGGATAAATTTTTCAACTATATGTTTTGCATGTACATCGATTATAAGAACAGTTTCAAGTTTTTTCATATCATTTGGAGTCAAATCGTTACGTATTTGATAAATTATTTCATTCAATTGGAATTCAAGTTTTTTATTAAAATCTTTCATTGCCATCTGATATCCTTGTTTAAAACTTTGAAATACATCTTCAACTTCCCATGTAAACCATATCTGTGATGCTGCCAGTACTACCATACCCTGTTCAATGTATGAATTTTCAATAACAAAAAATTACTCATTTAAACAAATATTATTTGTAATAGTGTCTTGGGAAAATGATGTTGCTTAGTTGATCATGATTTATGGCTTCAAAACTACTTTCATTACTATCTATCTACTTTTTCCAGCTAAGAATTTCGGATATATTTGTCTTTATCAGATACTTTAAGTTGTCAAGAACTTATATACTGAGACAAATGAGAACATGTAACATGTATAGGAAGTCATGATAGAAAAAATACTGAAATCTCTTCTATTATCACATTAGTTTTCCTGAAAAATATAACCTTTTTTTTCAAACTTTCATGCAGTTCATCTTTTTAATTCTGTCACAGTAACCTTGAAATACTATCAGTGAATATTCACACAACCACCAATATGGGAATTACATTTAGCATATTTTATACTATCTGCACAATCCGTCGAAATGATGCCAATATTCATCATATGGTTTATGTACACATCTTTCATTACTAAGGGGATACATTAGTGTCTCTAAGTTAATAGGCTGTAATGTATGTGCTAAACTCTATCTCACATATATCATTCTACACTACCCTTCTAATCGATTGTGTTAGTCTAATTTTTGACTCAGAGACTCATATGCACTCACCTCCAATCATATGTATGATTAAAAGTAAGTTTATCACTATTACTACGTCTTTTCAGTTCCTAGTGGAACGTAGGGCTTCAGTATCATGTCAACGTCTCACTCTCTTCTTTCCAGTCTCTCGAACCTGGTTCCATGACTGCCCATAACTTTTCATTTCTTCCTCACACCATCTCCTCCATGTCACCCTCGCCTCAAATGCACAACTCGTCGTTTCTCTTTCGGATTCCACCCGACGGCATGGCCTGACCTGTCCTGACCTGACGTGTAAGGTCCCCAAATGATCTCAGTGTATACCCAATCCATCACCACTTTTGTCTTCTGCATATTTGTTGAAAGATAGGTTCTTGCCTCATTGGTTCGTTCCCAGAGTCCCTTGTTGCTTATTCTTCTAATTATTCTGGCCATCTCATCTCCATCTTCACTGTCAATATCGAGTGAGTGTAGGTGTCAGCTGTTGATGATGAATGTTAGTAGTTTGTTGGAAATGCTTCTCGTAACGCGTCAAGTCTCTCAACCATCACATAGATGCACTCACTGACTTAGTTGACTGAATTAGTGTTGAAAATCCGGATGTTGTTCAGACATTATGCTGAGTGTAGTGTAGTGTAGTAGATCTCCACACTAGTTTCAGATTAATCTTGGACCTTTTTGCTTTTCCGATAACATCGTCATCTATGCCTATGCTGTCTGTAGTTGAGACGATGCTGTCTAGATAACTGTAGGGGAGGAAACTACTTCCTTTACATTTCTGCCATTGATGGTGATTGGTGCTGATTAAAAGTAATATGAAAGCATAATTTCGGGTAGAAACTAATGTTTGGTTTAGCTGTTAACCACCTAGACCTATCATATAATGCATAAGGTTATTGAAGAAGGTAACATCAGAAAAAACTTGAAGTGACAACAAACAAACAATAGACAGAATAAAAAATGAAACTGAATATAAAAATCAATTTTCTAAAGTGTCCATAGCAATATAATGCAAAGATGAAAATTTCACTTTCTCGTGGTTGGATCATCACGGCAGTGATAGATGAATCATACAGTTTTGAAGTGCATATAAGTTAAGATTTAGACAGGAAATTCACAATGTCTATGTAATAGAATATATAATACCAAACAGGCTGCACAAGAATAGTGTTTCAAATAACCTAATGACCACATAGCACACCTGACTGACATACCACTATCAAAAATAAAGGTTTGAAAGGTTCGCTAGTGACTATCAATTGGTTCGACACCCTTCTTCTATACCGAGTTCTAGGTTGATTTGTTTGCTTATCTCTCTATCTACCTTTTTTGCATGCAAACCAATATGTAAGGAAACATGAAAAGTTACTTTTAGCTTGCTTTGATTCTCTATTATAATTTTTGGTCTGCATAACATGGAATGAAGAGATCTTGTCAGTTTGTGAGCTACAGTGATTCAGAAAGGTGTCAGTAATCAGTAATCAATCTCAGATACATTCTTTATGTAAAAAGATAAGATGATCCGTTTGCTGGTTTCTAAGTACATCTTTTTAACTGACAGTGAATTTTTCAAACATCTTATGAAAAACAGTTATTTAATAGTTTTCTTTTTTCGACTTAAGAGTACGTCTTCGCTCACCCGAACAATGTTTTTATGCAACTGATTTTATGTGTTTGGGTTATTGCTACTTTAGTTGGGGATGTGATCCGTATGATTTGATTTTCAGAAGAATTCTGATTCTAATTTTTCTTAAACCATTCTAATGATCCAAAATGCAAGTTGGTTGTTCAATTCCTTTTCATATGTGAATGTGATATCATCGAAAAAGTCGTTGATTAATTTGTAAGCGTTTTTTCTTTTGATGATGTAAAACCTGTTAGCTACATTTCAGACCCATAGTTTTGGTTTGATCAATTTTAATACAATAGTTTCTAATCTTAACATTACCGTTCCTGAAACTAGTCCTGATATGGCGGATACCATCGGTGTTTCTTAAGTCTGTTTTTAGAGTCTACCGTTGAAATGGAAGTGTATTTTAAGGCACAAATCAATCACCTCTATCACTGAACATTGTAGTTGTGTGTGCTCCTAGACATGTGTATCATTGGCAGGGAGAAGAGTCATTATATCTTAAGCTATATTCAGTGCAATTGAGGTGTATAGAGCAGTAACGCTGAACATGCATATGCTTGTTCTTTTCCAAATGTCACGTTGAAGAATTGATACAGTAGTCGCATAATTCTACCATATGTTTATGTTTTCCGAAGAGGCCTTTAGACAGATTCTATGGTGGAGCCTCTGGAAATGAAACGATTGGTCGTCGAGAGATACTTGCTTTATGTATTTTTGTTCTACCGTAGAAGCGTCGACGAACGCATTCTTTGGATTTCATTCATTATTGTTCTTGTTTTATAAAGTAAAATCAACTTACTGGTATAGCTTCAAATCAATGGCAGATTAAGGGTACCAATAAAACAGTCAATATTACACTGAATCAATGTCATGACTTCAGTATTTTGCTTTCAAAATAAAATCCAATGATTCAAGAATACACATAAATTTCATGAAGCAACATGTATAAAGAGAGGTTGGATTTAAGTCTGCTTAGAAGGAAACATTCACTTTTGATTCATATTATCTACTGGAGGTAGTTGGCGGGCTGTCAAGTAATTCAGTAATGTATGAATAAACCATTCATTTGGGTGGATGTTTCAAAATGCTATTTTATGTATCATGATTCCTAATTGGATTATCTAATACAGCTCTAGTCAACAAAGTGATTGAAGTTTACAGAAGTAATGAATGAAGCGGAAATAAGTTCTGCACACACATAATTGGTTATTTAAACTATCACGTCTGGATACCAAAATTTGTATGTGTAACTTAGTAGCATTTTGGTTCTTATGAACCTGCTGCACTTAACCCGTTACCACAAAGTAACTTGGTTACATCTTCTCGTTATCCAAGTGATGTGGAACACACACTGACTGTACTCAATATTTTTCGCTAAAATATTAAATGTGACTGGCAGCACAAGACATACAGCTAGAAATATTCGTATACAATACTGTAGCGTCTTGTGGTTATTGAAATATAGATGCTGTAGCATCACACACTTCTCCAGAATCAATAGCTTAGGGTTTGACGAGATTCAACATTGATACTGACCTTCGTAGTTTGACTGGACTCTGTGAGCTGAAGGCACCCGGTCAAGCATCCTTGCCATTTTGGCACACTGTCGTGTTACGTTCAACTGCTCATAATCGACCCTCTAGCCAGTTAGCTGGAACGCATCGGCATCCTGACCCGACCTCGCAAATATACTCTTCCATCCGACTATGCTATTGTTTTCTTTCTTGGTCTCGTATTCCTGGGTACGTAACAAGTTCGAATAATTAGTGATTGGTCTCTGAATCTGTCAAGTTCTCACCAGGATAATTCCTAAAATTCTAACGCGTTAGATTTAGTGAACTCATCTAGTTAACACTGTGCCATCAAGGGATCACACCATTTAGCTGTTTGTTATACTATCATGTTGAACACTCCCTGTCATTTACCAGTTTAATCAACACATCGTAGTCAAGATATTTGGTTACTCAGTATCACTGTTTCATTCGGACAAGCAAATCACAGCTTCCTCTTGGTTATTTTCACTTAAAGATAGCATAGTTAACTTTTCCAGTACCCTGTAATATAAGCTGTGTCCATCTTCAATATAAGCAATAAAATCGTCAAATAACGACGTTTATGAAAATAGATTTTGGTCTCCTTTTACATTCAGCCGTTTGATGAACTGTAATAAGGGCTTCTGAATGATTAGCGGATACTCTGATTTCAGACTGATAACTGATAGGATAACTCTTTCAAGAATCCAAAGTTTACTACCATTTCTATGCAGTTATTCAATTCTTCTACTCAAAACCATAATTCTTTAGTTATTTAACGAATAGAAATAAGTAACATTGAATATTGTACAATATTTTACAAAAAGAATACAACCTTATTAATAAATAGATATTACTAAGTGATTTTATGAGTAATAAGTAACATTTATGTAATAAATGTTATTCACCTGATAATCAAACATCCATGCAACACGTGACTTTTGATTACAATAGTAGAAAATAGCTTTTTTAGTTAATAAACGATTTGTATGTTGCATTTCATTTTCCATTGATGTTAACCATTCTTCTACTTTGCCCACAAGAAATACAGGCTGCGGAAATACGAAAAAATGAGGAGAAAAGAATAATAAAAGTGTACATTCAATTACAATAAAGTTTTAACAAATAATACTTTTCTGTAAGCATTTCAAGTAGTTAATTATCTCAAGTTGTTATTCGTCGTAGACTGACATTAGTTGGGGGAACAAAGGAAACCTGAGAGCACTGGACTGGGTGGTGGTTGCACTATATCGTGAGTTAACAGAAGTTGGAAATTTGCACCACTGGGTTCTGACTCAGTGGCTCAGCGGTGACATGTTGGCCATGGAGTCTAAGGTTCGGTGGTTTGATCCCTGGCGGGGTCCTGGATTCACATTGCTGAAGAGTCCCATACTAGGATGAAACAGCTGTCCAGTGCTCCCAGGTTTCCTTTGTTCCTCCAGCTGATGTCAGTCTACGGTGAATAACAACTTAAAATATTTCCACATCCCCACAACTCCCTCGAAAATCAGTTAATTATCTTCTGGATTTCTCCAAACTTTCCTAATTGATTTATCCCTAATTTGAATTATTTCATTCAACACTATGGAATACCACAAGTCTTCATCAATCTCATTCAACAACTATATGAAGATACCTCATGCCAAGTAATTCACAATGGGGAGCTCAATGATGCCATTGAAGTGAAGACAAGGCTCCCTAATATCACCTATGATATTCCTGATTATGGTCAACTGGATCATGAAACAGTGAAACAGTGAGGAGCGAAAAGAGGAGGATACACTAGTTCAGCGAAAAGATCCTAGAAGATTTGGATTTCGCCGCCGATGACTTGTATCTGATGTCGCACAAACTTGAAGATCTACAGGCGAAAACTAACAAGTTGACAGAAGAGGCGAGGCGAGGCAGCGAAGACAGGACTTCAAGTGAATGTAGAGAAGACAGAGGTGATGAAGATACCCAACCAACAACAAGCTTCAATCACCATCAACGGGAGAAACTTAAAGGAAGCAGTCTCTTTCATCTACCTAGGCAAGGCAGCATCGTTTCAATTACAGGTGGCACATGCATTGATGAAAAAGTCAAAGCAACGAGGATCAGAAAGACATCAAGACAGGCCTTCATCAACCTGAAATCAGTGTGGAGATCTGCTGCACTCCACTTCACTTCACTCCACTCAGCATAAAGCGTGAACAACATCCGGATTTTCAACACCAACGTCAGTGAAGTCAGTGCTTCTGTATGGCTCAGAGACTTGGCGCGTTACAAAAGGCATTTTCAACAAACTGCAGACATTCATCAACAACTGCCGTCTACGCTGTCTCGTTACTGAAGATTGGATGGCCAGAATAATCAGAATAAACAACAAAGAACTCTGGTAGGCTGGTGACGAACCAACCAAGAACCTATGGCTCAACAACTATGCAGTGGAAGGAAGTGGAGATGGATTGGACGGGGCATACACTGAGAAGACCGACTGGGGACATCACGCGTCAGGCCAGGCTGTCGAGTGGAACCCAGATGGGAAACGACGAGTTGGGTGTCCGGGTGAGGGTAACATGAAGATGATGTGAGGAAGAAATGAGAACTTTTGGGCAGTGGTGGGGCCTGGTCAAAATGATTTCAGAGAAGAGAGTGGAATTGAGACGTGCTACTGAAGCCGTATGTTCTACTAGGAACCCACGGGACAATTATTAATATGAATTGTTTCATAAAAAAATGAAACTTTTTCTCAATTCTAGAAATATTTCTATAAAACGCTTACCAAACTTCTTAATGGCATATCCATACAGATGGATACTGAAGTGTATTTGAAATAACTATCAATTAAAACATGTATATTTACTATTGCGAAATTTGATCGATAGCATTCGGTCTGCGCTGAGGATTAAACAACATGAAATTGGTTGTTCTCCCGTGACCAATCAATACATGTAAGCCAGTCCTACAAGAGGTCAGTCGTGGCCCGAATAGCTCAGCGTTCGAACCTCAGACGGGACATGAGTTTCGTAGATGTTGCAGATACGTTTTGCTGACGAGTGCCAAAAGCACAAAACCTAAGTTCAGGGTTTCTTGTCGATTGCCTCCAACCAACTAACATCTACTAATGTTCACCATGATGCTGAGCTTCCTAGCTTGGTTGCCACATTGCAAATAAGCTTGATAGGATTCGGTCTTTACTCAGAGCTAGACAACATGAAATTGGTTACACTCCCGTGACCAATCAGTACAAAGTGTAATCCATTATTAGAAATAATAACGAAAGCTAAAAAAAAAAGAAACTACATACTTTATTAAATATCATCGTTTCACCTTCAAATGATATCAACGCTGAAGCTGATATATCAGATGAATGCAATGAATGTGTAAACTTAATTTTTCCAATATTATCAAACATCTACAAACAATATAAGAAAAATAAGATGGTTTAACAAATGAATAACTTGATCGTAGAAAAAAAAGCTAACAATTTTGAAGTATATAGATTATACCCTTGACGGGAATTAACCAGCTGTAACATTAGGAACTGTGATAATTCTCAGCGTTAAGAAACATTCAACAAATTTCGCACTACTTAATTTTGCTTTTAAGTAGAATATCAGAGTAGTTTTCATCATGGACTGAAATCATTTAGAAAATCATTGAAAACATACGAGAACCGGATAGGTATTTTATCCTAGTTAGGAACTACACAGTGGTGACCATCCATAAACGCTTAAGGGATTAAGCTAAAAAGACCTTCGGGTGACCACGACTAGCTTGTTTTCATTAAAACAATAACGGATTGTAGCCTATGAAGTCAATTAAGTTGAGAGTCAGGATGGGTGATGACGATGGTGCTGTATCGTGAAGTAACAGATGTAGAAAAGTGGACTGAAAGATAACTTGCTCTCTCAACCATCCTGGACTTGATTCCTTTCAGGGTCAAGGGTATGCACTATATCGAAACAGAGAGAAACAGTTAATCAATACTTTCAAATTTTTGCTGCTTCTTCAACTAATATCAATTCATGTTGTAAACTAATTCTAAGTCAACCAATCTCTAAAAGTTGCCAAGTGAAGATTTTAATCTCAGCTAATAAGATTTTTCCATCACAAGTGCCCCAAGATATAACTGAAATTAGAAGTTATATGAGTGGATATGTCTAGCTGAAATATTCGATCACATTGACATGAACCATTCAATATATATTCATACCATAATTGAGCAGTTCTATCTGGAATTCAAATGAAGTCCACAATAATTACTGACAAGTATATGACAGTCAGACCTACTGCTAACCATATTGTTTTGACCCAGAAACCAATATCCAACTCTACTGATGGAGGATCTCTTGACGTAACACATACCTGAGAGGTGATAAACTTAATGAAAGTTCACAACCAAACGCTCATCCTTGTTTCAAGTGTCAGGCATTTACACTGAGCGCTGTCCATCAACGATATTGATTCTATCCATTTTTATTTCGTATCATAACGTTTTATTCTGTTTATTAGAAATGTCATACAGTGAAACAGTATCATTTACTGCATAACGTTTTGGACATAATTTATTATCCATATTCAAATCATATGATATGAGGATTTCGCAAAGAACTAAGAACAAATAGACTGAATAGTCTTCTTAGCGAAGACCTTGATTATTGTCAGAGGTTTTCGACAATTTCGACTGATAATTGGAGTAAGACTGAAATTTATCTCTAACAGCTGAAATGCAAAGTTATGTTTTATTACCAGCTTATGTCAACCCCCAGGATGAGCATGGAGAGAGAGGCTATTCAGCATGTTGACCCCCAACAAAAGCCTAAATGTGACGTAACAGTTAACCGGTTGGCAGTCGCTAAACAAATGGTACATACAGACTGAATTAGTTGGATTGTGTAGACTTATGCTAACTGCATGTTTGAAGAATACTACTTGTACAGTGCAGCAGTTTGCTCCATCCCATAATATAACGGTTAAGAGTGATCAATAAAGGTGGAAAACTTATAAAGGCTACCATCTTCTTCGTAAAACTCCTGTGCTCTAATAAATTACTCTGTAATAAATAGAAACCTTAGGAACAAAGGTTAATCCATTTGTTTGGCTTAAAGAATTCATTGAGTAGGATTTTAATTCGAAGAAAGATAAAAGTGGACAGATTAAAACCAACATCAGTTCACGAAGCAACTGAGTTTTATTCTGAACTGTGTCAAAATAAAATGGGCTTCTTTAAAGAATGTTACAAGACAATTAAAATCGATGGTGTAAGACTCTAGGTGATATGATGAGGTATTTGCAGAGGTACAGTTACATCTATATTTATCTTCAAATTAATCTCGAAAATCTGATCACTAATGTCAACATTATCTGCAATTTTCTTTGATCTTCTTCGTTCCATTTCCTTCTCCATTATTGCTTTCTTCACAATTGATAATATCATTATTCTCATACTTTTGTCTTCTATCTTCTTAAGTTGTTATTCATCGTAGACTGACATCAGTTGGAGGAACAAAGGAAACCTGAAAGCACTGGACAGCTGTTTCGTCCGACTAGTATGGGACCCCTCAGCAGTGCGCACCCACAACCCTGCACCACAAGGGATCGAACCCAAAACCTTCAGATTCCGCAGCCAGCGTGTTACCATTGAGCCACCGGGTCACAATCCAATGCTCCATATTTCCAACTTCTCTCAGCTCAAGATATAACACAACCACCACCGAATGTTATATTTGAGTAACTGTCCTCGCGACCACTGCACACTGCTGAGGAGTTCCATACTAAAATGAAACAGCTGTCCAGTGCTCCCAGGTTTCCTTTGTTCCTCCAACTGATGTCAGTCTACGATGAATAACAAATTGAAATATTTCCAAATCTCCACAACTCTCTCAAAAAATTTTATCTTCTTAATTTCTTATAAGTGCACAGATGTGAAAAGTGTGGTGTTTCGGACAGATAAACATTTATACTACGACCTATGTTTTTAACCCTTTAAATGGTATGTCTTTAGTACTGCAAGGATTTTATCAAAGATCTCTTAGAAATAGTGATCGAGAACCTTCTGGAAGAGGAATGACTATGTAATCATATTTTTATAACTGAACCTACTGACGCAACTCACTTAAGTGGTGTCCACCCTATCTCTTTCTTAGAGAATATTTGAAGATAGAATACCTCCTTTCATCATATTTTCTGAGGGTTCTAGGTGAACTTTTAAAAAGCATAACTTTTGCATGCCATTTAGGAATCATAGATTAGGAATAACGCTGTTTCTCTATCCTCCTGAAACAAATGATCTATTTGAGAAGAAATTCACCTTCAAATAAACGTTCGCATTGAAAAAAGAATAAAAATTTCGATACTATACATAATTTACCTTGACAATATGTTCTTGTATTATTTCAGGTTCTTTACTGCCAAGTATACCCAACATCTCATCATCCGAAATAAAATAAAATCGTGGGAAAGCATTTCTTTTCAAATCTAAGTAGTCATTTAAAGCTTTTTGACAAAATTCCAAGTCATGACTTAATGATTTCAGTGGATCAAGTTTATATTCGGTTAGACAACATTTAAATATGAATTGAGAGTTTTGCGTTTGTTGCATAATCTAAATTAATGATAATGGGTATGAGTTATGGGGTAAAAAGAAGAAAAAATTATAAGTAGGATGATTATATCATCCAGAACTAACAGTATACAACGAGTTCGAGTCCCGGTGGGAACAGTATCACTCTTCACCGGGAGGCAGTAAATCCAGCTGACAAGTCCCAAATAGGACGAAATGCACATCCTGGATTCCACTGCTAACCACTATCCACCTTTACCATAATATACGACGATGTTAAGTATAGTAAAAAGTTCATTACGTCAGGATAAATACTATGCAATAAAGTAAATGACAACTGCATGACAGGAGTGATGCGAAAGAGTAATCGCATAGTAGAAATTACTTATTCACTTAATATCAAACGTATAATATCTTTACTGAAATGAGTATACAATACTGTTAGTTATCACTAACAACTAAACTGACATTGACCAGTTTCACTTCTCTTTAAATAAACTTGACAAAGGTGAAGAAGGTAGGTTCTGGTTAGTTAGGTTTTGTCTGCTGCTGGGGGCACTAGGATGGTTGGTCCATCTGGTTATCCATACCTTGAAATCTATTTGTAAAAAGTATCTGAAAGTATCTGGACACACACCACTTGAGACATCTGCTTAAGGTCGATCATATACGAGCATTTTAAGAGGTTTGAATCGTGATTTGATCGTTCTAACGCTGGTCAAAAACAACCAGACCCCAGACTTTGGAATACCAAGGAGTAAGTAGAAGTGTGTTCTTTTTTAGGCTGACATTTACGAAAAGGCAGTGTCAGTATAGACTGCTGACCATCGATTGGAAACATCTGACTGCTATCACACTCACATCAAACTAGCAGTATGACTTTATCTTTCAACTCTCATCATAGCCTAGCTATTTACAATTAAATGCTAATCGCCTTTTGTTTCACCACTATCCGAAAGATCATTCGAGTATACTAGGACATCAAGGGAACAAATGATCCTATCAACACAGCTCCTTGAGCTATTGTGTTATCCAAGTTCAATCACTAGGTCAAGATGGTCATTATTGTTTGCGGTCTGAGAAAAAATAGGAATCAAGGGTTAAATACTCTCGGTGAAATGGTTGAATACCGGTTACAATGACACAGACATATTCACTCCTTGATATCTTCAAAATTTTGAACGTCTTCATTAACCTTCATTTTCTTAAATTCTCTCTTCTTCCACAAACTTCTGTTTTATTTAATGTCATTTTATTGAATATACCCAAAGAACACTTGAATAATTATATCCCTCTTCCTTTATTGAAATAATTATTCATTAAAATGTATGGGTTTTTTCAGTTGATTGTTAATCGTGTATTCATTTCTTGAGTAGATGTATCTCATTTTGCATGAGCATATATTGTTCATAGGTATATAAAAATATGATTATAATAGTATTAAACTTGATTATAGTTCTCAAGTTTTACTCATATATGCATCGATTCCACCTATATTACATTCCCAAAATGTATTCAAGCCTGATGCTCTCATGGACTAATAGATAATAAGCAAATGACCAATACCTATGTACTCATGCAGTTCAACAATCCTAGACATATATATCTGTGTGGTACATGAGTAAGATGGTTAAATACCATCTGGTCTTCCTCACTCTGATCTTAATTACCCTCAAAATCATATTACTTTGATAAAGTATCCTGTAATTCTTAATAGTTTGACCACATTTGTTCTAGTATTTCATTTCTAGGATTATATAGATGAAATGTACATAAATATAGTGTAAATATACAGAATTTTTATTGAAAGGTTATAAAAACAGTATGTGAGCTATTTAATTACCTTACGGAACAGTTTATCAATTGTTTCAAAACGTTTGGCTTCTTGAGGTAACTGTTTAGCTATATCGCCACCCATGAATATTGCTTCCAGATACATCCACTTCTGTTGTACAACAACCCACATCTAGAAAAAGTGACAAGGCATAAAACATGTTTTTTTCCTATCATAGAAACAAATGAAGTACTTTTTTTTCATTTTTTGCTTGTTGATACTTGTAGTTTTCCGTGGCTTCATTAAGTAAAATTTCTCGACCTCTGCTAGTAGGCGGGCTCTTATGCGGAAGCCTGGTAACTGCTCAGATATTCATTACATTATAGTCTACGTTGTGGCTAGTAAAGGAATCCAGGACTTGCCTCTCGTCCCATTTGGGACTCTTGAGTTAGCTTTGATGTTATTTCCGCTGGGACTCGAACCCAGCCCGTCACTACAAATTTCAAAGCGCAATCCACTAGGTCACTGAGGCACAAGAACCACCTGCTATGCAACAGGTACTAGTTGTTGTTTGTTGATACCTTTGATATCTTGTCTTTATACTGGGTCGAATTGCTAGCGAGTGGGAACAACACTCACTGGGTGCTGACGAATCCCAAATATTACGAGACGCATACCTTGGATTCCACCGCTAACCACCAAGTAGACTATTGACTAGTTTGGAATCTTCTGGTATGAAGAAGAGTCATCCATATATTTATTAACTAGGTTTTTGCATGATATTAAGGAGATATCACCGGCATTAACACGGTTTACTGCTCAAGTCACAAATTCTCTAAACCATTTTATATTTTGAGGAACCAAAAGACGTTGTTGAGCTTAATTTTAAGAATATGCCTCATTCCTTGCTACTACCTTTCTGAAAATTCACTTATGTTAGTCTACGATGAATACCAACTCGAAATATCTCTAAATCCCCACAAACCCCTCAAAATTCACTTAAAATGGTGCTCATTGGTGACTAGCTTCGAGAGGTGATTCATGAAGTTTCAATGAGAAGTCGTGACCAGTGGGGCAGATCTGATGGTGATGAGGACAAATAATCAACGATGACATTGGGTGGCGGTCGCGCTATATCGTGAACTGACAGAAGTTGGAAATATGGAACATTCGATTCTAACCCGGTGGCTCAATGGTAACGTGCCGGCCACGGGACCTTAAGGTCACGGGTTCGATCCCTGCCAGGGTCGTGGGTGCACATTGTTGAAGAGTCCCATACTAGAACGAAACAGCTGTTCAGTGCCCCAAGGTTTTCATTGTTCCTCCAACTGATGTCAGTCTAAGATGAATACCAACTTGAACTTCACTTTTTCCTCAAAGTTAAGCACTTCTTTTATTGCGGTTATTTTGGACGATCTTCTTGTACAGTTACATAGAGGTTCCTGAAATTTATTTGAATAACCTTTAAGCTTAACATTTTTATCTGTAACTTCCAAGTTCACAACCTGAATCTGTTTGAGCCAGTTGGTTAAGTGATCTTATGAATCACTAACGCAAGCTATGTTAGGAATAAAGATCAAGGAATTCTAACTTTGTACTTGTGCAGTCGTGATACTTGTGTCGATGTACTGCTTGAAATCAAACTTGCTTCAGTTATAGACTAAAAGTGCTCAAAGATGGGATTGCTGAATAACTGATAAAATCAACGTAGAACCACGCACATAATTGCATCAACTGAAGTTGCCACACTTCACAGTAGCATAGAAAGGACAGGTGGATAAAAAAGGATTGAGAGAGTAAACAATCTAACGATAAAGGTTAGTGAAAATATTCAAGCTTTAGAAGATGGCAAAGGAGTAAATATATCTCCACCATTGTAACCGACCTTCAGCCATGTAACTAAGTGTCCTCATCCACTGATTTCTACCGTTTCAGAGACCCCAACTAGGCAGTCTACATCTGCATACACGACTCAGACCAACAGTCAAAGACTTCATTGACAAGTGTAACGTGTTGGACTGGCCACCCTGAACCCTCTTCCAAGTTAATGCAACTCCCCTTAGCCTTGCATGTCGAGGTTTGCAGTGAATCGGCATGCACACTACATTTCCAAACCATCTGAGTTGACGAAGGTTCACAACCTCATCAATTGACCTACCTGTGTTGTCTAGTATGCTTTGCCTAACGTCACATTGCCAATCCAGTGATTTCACCAAACATGAGCAATGCTATGAAGATATCTGTGATCAAAACCTTGTAACCACTTCATTTCTTCTACGTTTATTGGTCATGTATTCACAGCCGCATAGCAGGACAGACCAGATCCCAGCTTATTATACTCGTCCTTTGATTGATAGTCGGTTTCTCGTTTGTCGGCGCTACAGATGATCCAAATTTGCAAATGCCAAACGGGCCTTCTGTATCCAAGATGAGATTTCGTCAGCAACCAGCCAGTTTGTACTGATAGGTTTCTTCAAATAAGTGAAGTAGTTGACGCGTTCTGCCACTTCACCCCATATCATTTAACTGGGAGTAGTTGCAGAGGAGTCCTGAAGCTCCATCTTGCATTTGACAGCTGCAAGCAAAACGCATGCCAAATATGATCAGATTTCTGCTTAACGTGTTCAGCCTACACTGGATTTTATCAGCGTCTTTACCCAGCAGGACATCATAGTCTTCTCCCTTCCTCGTTTATCGTAAATCTGCGTGTGATGGGGAAGAAATTTCCTGGTTCGAAAAAGCAATGTTGTCTATTTACTTCAACTGGTGTAGGTAGACAACTTAAAATAATAACCGCATTTCATCGTCACCCGTTTCGGTGCACTGAGTATTAATGATGAAACCAAGAGTTTACAAAGTAGATTAAACTGTAAATAAATCACTTTATGAAGCGTGTGGGTAAGCATTAACTGAAGTGGCTGAGTTATGTCATCAGTCACCATAATATGCAATGTCATTGGAATAAAACTCAATAAGAGTCAGGTCGACTACATGAAAACACGTCAAGAATCTTTTTCATCATGGAGATGTTTGATCTTCCTGGATTGTCTTCATGAGATAGCAGGTAACTGTAGCATAGTCCCAAATTAACTCCAATAGTGCATCAGCGTATATATCATTTTTTGGCCAGTGATGAAAATAATTCATAGGCAAAATCCATCCATGTTAGAGAAGATATACGCTGATGACTGGTTTTCTAACTTCTGTAGAGTGATAATAACTTCCCATTTCCTTTAGTTATGTTTTCCCTTCAGTGGTTTTGATAGCTCATGAAAATTCATTTCAAATGGTCCATAAAATGTCCAACATATTTAAGGAAGTGAAATTTTAAAACTCAAAAATTGGGCTGTTGGTAAGATAAACGTCAACTGGTTCTTCATTTCTTCAGACATCTTCCCTACTTCCTTCAGTAAGGTTATTAAGCGACACAAAATTAAGAATAGACTAACGTGGTTGCTTCTCTGTAGTCAATGGATCAGTAAAGGATAAATAAATGTTTTGAATTGTACTATGAGACCCATGATTTTCTCTAAATGTAACTACTTACTGTATTTTTGAGATGAATGGGGACTGATACCAGTTCAAGAACTGCTGAGGAGTTCCATACTAAGAAGAAGAAGCTGTCGAGTGCTCCCAGGTTTTCAATGATTCCCTAACTGATATAAGTCCGTGATGAAGACTACCTCTTAATTACTTATTCTTTTAAAGATACAAAATTTCTTCTATTTAGTTAGAGAGATGATATTCAGACGAATAAGACTTTGTGACTACTTCAATGGAATGACTTTCAAGGCCATCCCAATAATTACTGAGATAACTAATTACGTTCCTTTATTTTATGAAAAACTACCGTCCTAGCCGCAATCCGGAAACTTGATTGTTTACTTCAGTAGGTACTAGGTGGCCTTTAGAGTCACTGCCATTACAACCTTAAATCTGAATCACAAAAAAAAACCATCTGCCTACGCAAATAAACGTCGACATGATTTAATATCTAACATTCTTTAATTAGTAGTGATTGAAAAGGCCAACATAACAAGGAATGAATAACCAATAAGAATTTTTGATTTTATTACAATCTGCATTTCCCGCCAAAATAAACTTTGTCGGCTATTTCAATCTTTGCTAGTGTGGACTTTAAAGTCACTCATGTTTAAGAATCAGAAGTATGGAAACTATACAATAACCATTAAAGAATAGGGTTTACTCACTTCAAGTGTATCACTTATAACAGACAAATCTTTCTCCCACTGCCTAATAATTGAAATAAATGGAGTAACATGTTGACTTGATCCAATCAACTGTAAATTCATCATATGATCTTCCATATACTGAGTTGGTTCTTCTAATGAACCAAGTACATAACATGGTTCACGACTACACTTCGTATACAAAGTTAGCTTAAGTTTCATTTCTAACCAAATAGTTTTAAGGTCATCTAAACTCTAAAAAAGTTGTGAACAAAATAGGAAAGGAGAATGAAGTAGGATTTTGAGAAACATGGACTACACTCGTGCTGAAAGTAAACTTTACTTCTAATGACAGATACCTTTCTCTAAAGTAGCTTGTGTACATCTCTGAGCTGAATTAAAGCTTTCAACTGAATTACAACCTTTTTGCGTTTTCGAGGTTCAAGCAGATGTTAATAGTAGAAGTTGAGGATTTTAATTCAGTTTATCAACGCACAGTGCCCAGAAATATCATATTTCCTCCACAATAATCATTGAAATACATAGAAAAGTAGGTGACTCTTTCAACCTGACAGCTTTATTCTTGATCAGACTGTTTGTTGGTATTTGGTTTAATCATGTGATCTGATAGCCGCTGCGGAACCTGTTCTTTCCAATGAATTTGCATTATTCTGTTAGCTCTACCTACATAAGTGTCCCTTTAACTGCAGATGAATTTGTAAATGCAATGTAAGGTAGAGTGAACTGAGATTTGCTCTTTAGTTGTTGGTTGTATTGTTTGACCTCCGTTGACGGGTGGGCTTCTATACGAAAGCTGTAATACTGCCTAAATATCCAGTATATTATGATTTACTCAGTGGTTAGGAGAGGAATCCAGGATGCATATTTCATCCTATTTAGGTTTCGGCAGTTGGATGTACCTGCAACTGAGTGATGGTGTTCCCATTGAAACCTAAACCCAGTGCCCACTGCTTCAAATGCCTGTGTTATTCACCAGACCACTGAAGCAGGAAAGTCATGAAATGGGATGAGACTTGCGTCCTAAATTTCACTGCTTAGGCTCCAAGCAAACTACACCTGGTTCATTATTGAACTGTTTATTAATATATCACTCTAATTAACTCATCACTGTTCATACAACAGCAGAACACTGCGATAGTCTTTCATGTATTTCAACTGGGTACCTGTATCAATCAAACTGTAGGTGACTGATAAAAGTTTAAAACAAACAAAGAATGTGAAAAAAGCAGGTTTTAATGAATTCATAAGTTTCAGCAGCAATCGTCAGCTGGATACTCTACATACACTTGATTATATATATCGTTAAACAATGCACAAGAACATTCATATTTCAGGTAGACTGACAAAGATTCAGGTATAACAACATAGAAGTGAATAGGGATTACAGGTCAAGTAGTAATGCGAAGGCTAGAAGTGGATGTTGACAGTTGAATGGGTTTGGGAAAGGTTACATGATTAACTGAGTTTGGATAATAATCATAATGAATTTTCGGTGGGAGAATAATGATGATAACAAGAATGATGTTGACACAAGGGTGAGAAGTGAATCGATTGAGCGTAGATCACGTCACTGAAAACAAGATAGAACTGGTGCTCATTGGTGACTAGCATCGAGAGGTATTCTTGAAGTTGCAATGAGAAGTCGTGACCGTTGGAGTCAAAACCTGATGATCGTGATGACTAATACTCAACAATGACATTGGTTGGTGGTTGCGTTATATCGTGAGTTGAGATAAGTTGGAAATATGGACGATTGGATTGTGACCCAGTGGCTCAATGTTAAGACGCTGGCTGAGGAATCTGAAGGTTGTGGGTTTGATCGGTTGTGTTGTGCGGGGTTGTGGGTGTACACTGCTGAGGGGTCCCATTCTGGTCGGACGAAACAGCTGTCCAGTGCTCCCAGGTTTCCTTTTGTTCTTCCAACTGATGTCAGTCTACGATGAATAACAACTTGAAAGCAAGATAGTTGATAGTACTTATGTAGACATAATGAGATGAGATGACCAGGTGTATATTGAGATGAATAATAATGATGATAAAAATGGTGATAGGAATGAGGTTAATTGGGTGGAAGAAATCAAGGAAGGGAAGGGAAAATATGAGATGAGTGAGAATGGAGAGGGAAGAACAGTTAAGAAAGAGTGAATATGACTAGAGGATGTTGTAAATTCTTGGTTGTTATATTCAAAGTGACTACCATTTCCTTGTGAATGCAGAGTTTTTGTTTGATAACTGGAATTGCACAGGTTTCTGTATATGGAAGCGATTTCTTCTTTTGCTGTTTACTGATAACCGTAAAGGACTTAAAGGTGAATCTTAAGAATTCACATTCGTGTATAAATGTTTATTAACCGAATATCAACTCTTTCAAACCTCCTATTAAACGAATTTTGGAGAAGTTAACAGTTATTATACAATTATGTTAGAAAATAAGGCACATGATTGCATGCAAATTATTTAACACAAAATAAACATGTTGATTGACTTCAAAGGCCACTCCAGCAACTACTAGAACTACCAGTCTGGTATTTCGGCTAAGAGGGCAATCTTTACAAGTTGAAGGAACTGCTGAAATAACCAATTGGTTATTTTTGCAATTGTCAGGGATCTTGCAGTAAGCAACATCTGCGAGGAAACCTGCGTCTAAGAACACTGGAAGGAAACCTACATATTCGTGTTAAGAAGGAAGAAGACAAGTAAAAGACAAGTGATGGATCTCGACAGACACATGGAAGCTGATAGAGATGAGGAAGATGGTGAAGCAGAGGATGAACCAGTGCAATGTAGTGAAGAGATGAACAACGAAAAGAGGGACTGAATACAAAGCATAAAACACTACACTGGACAAAGAAGTGAAGAAGAGTGCTCGCAAAGACAAAAGATACTTCTACGACACACTGAAGCAGAACAGGCTGCTGGTAGGAGAGACCTGACAATATTGTATCAAATAACTAGGCTAATATCTGGGAAGAGATCAATACGGAGGAAAGGTAGTGAAGGAAACTTAATTACCACCAGAGAGGAGAAATAAAGGAGATGATGGACTGACCATTTCAAAAAACTCTTGAATCGACCACTACCACCTGCAACTCGTCCACAAATACCATCAGGAGCCTAGCCACAGAACTATCAGTGAACACAGGCCCTCCGACAAAAGCCAAAGTTCTGAGTGCCAGAAAGTTGCAGAAATCCGGGAAATCAGTAGGACCAGATGGAATTCCTCCAGAAACACTGAAAACAGACACAGAGACAACAGTGGACATGCTCATACCACTTCAATTGCAGAAGGTTTGGAAGGAAGGAATGAATGGTGCCTGCCGGTTGATTAGAAGAAGGGCTACCTTGTCAATTTTCCAAAGATGGAAGATCTAAGTCCTAACAAGAACTGGCGCACAATCACGCTCCTGTCCCTGTCCACCCAATGCAGACAAAATATTATGCCACATCATCCTGAAGATACTAAAGGAAGAGCTTGATTCAAAATTATGATCGCAAAGGGGTGGATGGCTGGCTTCAGGAAGAACAAATCAAATTACAACACTACACTACGAATCATCATAGAATAGAGCATAGAATGCTAATCAACTCTCTACCTTACCTCAAGTTCATCGATTGTGAGAAGGTCTTCGATCGACCTATCGACCGAGAAGTTATTTGGCACCTGCTGCTTCAACACTACGGTTTAGTGCCACAAATATTAATCAACATCATTCAACACCAGCCATATGCTACATCATGAGGCTACATGACATGTGATTCACTGCACAATAGAAAGCTCAGCTCAGTGATGCATTTGAAGTGAAGACAGGAGATAGGAGACAGGAGTAAGACAAGGTTGCCATCTACTATCACCCATCATCTTCCTCATTGTGGTCAACTCGACTGGACTAGATCGTATCATGCAACAGACTGTGAGGAGTTGTAATGAAATGGGCATATGCTAGGTGGACTGATGATGAAAAGACACCAGAGGAGGATTTGGATTTCACCGATGATGATGCATGTCTGAAACCCAGTCACATAAACTTGAATATGTACAGGCGGGGAACTAACAAGTTGTCAGAAGAGACGAGACGAGGTGAGGCAGGGTAGGGCATGGTAGGCAATGAAGACGGGAATTCCTTCATGTGAACGTAGAGAAGACAGAGACAGAGGTGGTGAAGTTAGCCAATCAACAACAAGCACCAACCACCATCAACGAGAGAAATCTAAGCGAAGTAGTCTGTTTCTTCTACCTGGACAGCATCGATTCAACTACAAGTGGCTCATGCACAGATGAGGACGTCAAAGCAGTTAGGATCTGAAAGACAGCAAGACAAGCCTCCCTTCATCAACCTGAAATCAGTGTGAAGATCTGTTGCACCCCACCCCACTCCACTCCACTCAGCATAAAGCCTGAACAACATCCGGATTTTCAACACTAATTCAGTCATGATGGACAGTGGCTAGCAATAAAACTAATTGAGTCAAGTAAGTCAGTTCGTGCATCTATGTGATGGTTGAGAGACTTGGTGTGTTACGAAAAGCATTTTCAACAAACTACAGACATACATCATCAACAGCTGACACCTATACTCACTCGATAGTGACACTGACATCGACACTGACACTGACAGTGAAGATGGAGATAAGATGAGATGAGATGACCAGAGTAATAAGAATGAGCAACAAGGAATTCACTCTGGTTGGCAACGAAGCAACAACCTATCGTCCAACAAATATGCAGAAGAAGGAAATGGAAATGGATTGTATTGGGTATGCACTGAGAAGACCATACGCAGACATCCCGCTCCATACCAGTCCAGGTACTCGAGTGGAAGCCGAATGGGAAACGATGAGTTGTGCGTCTGATGAGAGAGTGACGTGGAGGAGATGGTGTGAGGAAGAAATGAAAGCTTGTGGGCAGTCGTGGAGTGAGGTTGAAAAGACTGCAGTGAACAGAGTGAAAATAGACGTGCAACTGAAGCCCTATGTTTCACTATGAACCCAATGATAAATAATAATAAAATTAATACTTTGATGAGGTATTTATTTTGGCTGTAATCGATATTTGACTAAAGACAGTTCAAGATCGCAGACAAAGCGAATCTTTAGTCCTCTTAATAGCTTTATATAAAATAGTTTTCACGAATAAATTTAACGGTATATGTGTCTTCAACGGCCATGATATTTTGTTCACGATTCTAGAAAGACATTTAGTCAACATAAATCTCACATTTTCAGAGAATTCTGGGCTTCTTTGCGGAGTCTGGAGGGTATTAATTGACTCCTTAATAGTATTTCATCGTGTTAAATGTTAAACGGTAAATTTCCAAAACAACTTAGCTACTTTTTTTAACTGACCACTGCTACAGTCTACCTTTAGTCATCTTCATTGGATATATGGCTGAAATAAAAAGCATTATTCAGGATAACGTTTTCTTGAAAACACTATATATGCTTACTTTTTCAATGGCTGCTTCACGTTGAGCATTGTTGACAACAGTTGATATAACTTCAGAGTGTTCATGCAACTGCATTGCAAATACATCTTCCAAGGTAAAAGTTTGTGGATCCATATTGAAACTGATTCCTGTTTTCTCCATCAGTTGCTTCCAATGTCTGTTTATTGGAATCAGTGTTTTGAAAAGAAAATTGATAAAGTTAGAAAACAGAAGAAGTGTATCAAAGCAATATCTTTATGAAACTTACACTCATAAGATAGAGGCAAATAAATGGATCAAACAAAAATCTGGTAGAAGAGTGTACTGATTCAAGTTATAACAATTTATTACAACAGTTCAAGAAAAAACAGATAAGAAAATGATGAAATTGGAGTGAAAATATATAGATAATAAACAAACTAAGATTAGTGAGAATTACGCTAATTTGTTTGGTTTTGGCTAGCAGAAGAATCTAGGAGGCGCTTTTCGTCCTACTTGGGACTAGTCAGCTGGATGTACCTGCACCTCAATGAGTAGTCTTGTTTCCACTGACACTCGAACCTAGTACAAAACGCCTAAAAACGCCAAGGCGTTACTCACTATGCTACAGAAGAACGATAGTCACTTCTTGTACAACGGGTAATGGTTTTTACTATTTATTGACATACTTGGAATTCTCCGTTCTTTTGTTGGATCGAATTTTTCGACCTCGACAAAACAATTCGATCCAACAAAAGAACGGAGAATTCCAAGTATGTCAATAAATAGTAAAAACCATTACCCGTTGTACAAGAAGTGACTATCGTTCTTCCGTGGCATAGTGGGTAACGCATTGGCGTTTGAAGCGTTGCGTACTAGGTTCGATTCTCAGTTGGAAAAACACCACTTACTAAGGTGCAGGTGCAGATTGCAAAAGAGATGAGAAGATATGGCATAGAAGTGATAGGCTGGGAATCTGTGAGGAATGGAATGGAAGTGGACTCTCTCAGTTGTCAGCTGGAGAGGAGTCAATAATCTACTTCGAAATTGTCACCTAAACGACAACCACGAGCACACTGAGTAATGGAGTGGTTATCATGATATCCCCTAGATCATCGAAGGCTGTCTCTCACGCAATGGGAACCAATCTCTTCCTGCAGGATCCGGATCATGACAGCAGTATTCAAATCAAAAGGAAGGAGAGTCACTAAGCACCTACAAATAATGCAGATCAGGAGAAGGAGAAATTCTACAGACAACTGCAATCAGTACTGGAAAAGACTCCGTCCCAGATGGCGACATCAAAATTCTAATGGGTGAGGTGACATGAGTGCCAAACTCAGAGCGGACAACGCAGGAAGAGAACTCATCATGAGTCGAGAAGCACTGAAGCCTTTTGTTCCACTAGGAACTCATGGGACAAATAATAATGACAAGTATAATAATAATGAATCATGTCACAAAGAGTTAATATTCACTGATTCTTATCATCTTGAGGACTCTAGCCAGTTGGCCTTCATTTGCCTACCTGACTGAGATCAGTAGTCAGATACTTCATGAAATGGTGCCACCTTTTGATCTGGTTACTTCTAACTTTCTTCCAAACAACAACAATTTTGGTTGAAAACATACCTTCTCCATAGCAAACAGAAAAGTGACTGGCTACTTTGTGTTCACTAGGGTTGCCCTTCCAGTTACTATTTGGCATTACATTTATAAATTTTTTTTTATCATTATAAACATTTTAATCAAATGACACTTTCAAAATAAACCCAATCAGTTTTACTATATTAGATCACAGAAACTAAACAGAATATATGAATGGCCTAATCAGTATGAAATGTTTTCATCGTCGGGAAAACTGATGAGTGTATTTCTGAGACACTCACCATCAATAAGTCAAGACGGTCGAGTGCATAGTGATCAGAAAATGATATATATTAGGAAATGAGTACGATAATTAGCTCAGTCATAATTGTTTATTACAAAACAAAACAATGTAGAAATAATGTGTAAAATTTCCCGTAATCACAATCTGTGTCGATTTACCAACACTTGACTATATATTGATGAAGAAGTTTGAAAAATCCCCTCAGATACTATTTGAAGTAGCAATCTCTGTCATAAAATTTTCGAACTCAGCTGAAAAAAAATATTTCGTCGGTTAGCGAGATAACTGATCTTACCAATCACCAGATTGAAGCTCCATTTCCTATAAGTATATCTAACCAGAAGTGCTATTCAAGAATGGAAGTTAAAATGTAGAACTCCTGGTGCACGTAAACATAAATTTCAATATACTAGGAAGTATACATAAAAGTAAGGTGTCCGTTTCAACTAGGTTTAGTAGTATTTTGATGTAATTCAAGAATATCTAACTCAATAATGCGTAAAACAACAGAAAAAAAAAACAAAGTACGTATATATTTTACCTGTCACGTATAGCATCATCCTTTAAATATTGAATTAAAACCAATGATTCTTGAAAATTCTTCAATGAGTTACTTATCATAAGTGCAACTGGTAATCCAAGTATTCTTTGTGATTGTTGTTTTAATCTTTCGATAAATTCATTGGTGCTATTTATTAATTCGTCAATTTCAATATCTTTCCATAAGATACACGCCCAATCTCGATATGCAGTCTAATGGTAGATGTAGGAAATCCAAATATATAATATATGATATTTTCATTACTGATAAAAGATATTGAAGTATATCACAAATAAACACCAACTAATCTAATGTCTGATCTATTAAGTTCATTGATATGATATGATGAAGCAGTTATAATCTGATATGATTAAATAGATACTTCATTGTTGTACAGGACTTCAAAGCAGTTTGTATTCATGAGCATCTTATGAAAAGGAACTTACAAACCTTAGATGTTATGCTGAATTGGTGATATAATAGGACAAAACTTTAGTAGACACATCAAAACCTCTGTAATTATTTGCTAATTCAGTTCCTATAAGTCTGTTTCGTGAAACTAAGTGTACGGTAATAGTTTTTTCCTAATCTTATTAAAGTATGAATAAAACATTGATAAAAAGTAAAATATACCGACAGACAGAATATAGATTGATTTTGTTTTTTAGTGACAAACCTGAACCTATAAATGTTGGTAGCAGACGTCGACGTTCTTCGATCGCTAAACATATCATTGAGACAGGTCACAAGATTGATGTGGCTACTTCCTTTACACCTATTTACAAAACATGTTGGGGAGGGATCCTGAAATTTATTGAAGCCTTAGCTATTAGGAAGTTGAAACCACCTTTATGTATTCATAAACAATTTGTTGTCACATTAAACCTTCCTTGGTAAATTCAACTATTGAAAAACCAAGTTCGATGTACTATTATTTTTTTCGCTCTATTGATTTTCGTTGTTATTCGGCCTTTAAGTCAGCCTTCCTACCTGACCCTTTTTATTTTTTCTCACCCCTTATCTTCATGAGTTTTTATATAAATACCTACGACAAGTACGTGTGTGATCAGATAGTTCGAAATGTGTTACGCAAATACATTACACGGTTCAGACAATTTACGTCTTCTTATTGTTTTGTCGATGCAACCTTTTCATGCTAAAGGAAACAAACGATTTCTGACAACAAATCTGATGTTTCACCTAGTGTGGAAACTTATCAACATGAATCTATCATTCCTGATATAAACTGGTCATATATCTGAGTGTGGTCACTTGGACAATAACCTTCAAATGGTCACTGACTTCATCGGTAAATAGAAAATACAGAAGGATGAAAGATGGTGCATTGCAATATCAAAATATATGTTTATACAAAATACAGCGATTTACATTATAACTACAATAGCTTTGGCTATTTTCTAAGCTTTCCTAGAAAGGCATATCCTACTATTCTACTCCTGGTTATCAAGCACTATGTTTAGTTCTGATTTCAAATTTTTCTTAATCTTTCTTTAATCTTATATTTTTATTATTTTCACTATGTCATTTAGAAGTACAATAAAGTAATTCGGTTCACACTAGTATCATTTGTATTAAATAAGTTAGACAGCCAATTAACCATCAGAACCTGTCAAGACCATTATAATGAACAAATCCTATAAGCCTAAAAGTCCTTCATTAGTGTCGGTATTGCATTAGAAGTTTGACTGTTGTACATGTTTTAAGTCAAATAACCGCTTGTCTGTCTTATCATCTTCGGGAAATCATTATTATTATTTGTCCCTTGAGTTACTAGTGGAACATAGGGCTTCTGTCGTATGTCAACATCTCACTCTCTTCTCTGCAGTCTCTCGAACCTGTCCATAACCTTTCATTTCTCCCTCACACCATCTCCTTCATATCACCCACACCTCGGAAGCCAAACTCGTCGTTTCCCATACGGGTTGTGTTCAGTTCCTCTTTTCATTGTTCATCCCTGCACTGCACTAGTTCATCTTCTGCTTCACTATCTTCTTATCCCTCCTCTATCAGCTTCCATGTGTTCGTCAAGATCCATTCCTTGTCTTGTCTTGTTTCTTCTTCCTTCCTAACACGGTTCGGCAGGTTTCCTGGACATTTCTTTTAAAGACTTCCAGTGTTCTTCGACCCGGGTTTCCTCCGGGGATATTGCTTAGTGTCTCCGACTTTTCCTGATGACCAACCGACGTGAAGATGTCATTTGTAGTTTCGTCATTCAGTTCACTTTCTGTTCTGGGTGTTCAACTTCAGCTGTGGTCGTTTATCTCCAACTTCTGTGAAGGCTTTCAAATTGATTTTGAGGGTAGGTTCATTGCACTAGATAGTGAGTGGTGTCGACCTACATCTGTTCTCATTCTTGATCTGATTTTGTGTCCAGTAGGCTGTGTCTCCACTTTCTTCACATTAAGATCAAGTCGATCTGATTTTTAGTATAGCGTGTCCTGATGTCTGGTGAAATCAAATCCATGTTACTTTGTGAATATTCTTATATTTGTACACACTGCTCCCAATCACCAAATCATTGAAGGTGCAGAAGTCTGAAAACAGTTCTCCATTCTCACTCATCATTTCACCGAGTGCCTCTTGACCCATGGTGACTGCTCTTCCTGTGTTGTCCACTCCCAGTTTGGCATTCATGTCACCCCATCCATTAGAATTTTGATGTCATCTGGGATGGAGTCTTGTCTATTACTGATTGCAGTTGTCTGTAGAATTCCTCCTTCTTCTCTTGATATGAATTATTTGTTGGTGCACAGCGTAGTACTATATGATTTTGACTTTCCTCTCTTCTGAGTCGTACCTTGCTGTCATAATCCTGATCGTGGAGGAGTTTACTTTCCACTGCAGGAGATCCTTAGATACTCTTGGGGACATCACGATAACCGCTCAAATACTCAGCGTGCTCGTGGTTGTCGTTTGAGTGACAATAACGGAGTAGATTATTGACTCTCCAGTTGACAGTTCACAAAGTCCACTTCCATTCCATCTACTTTCGCGGATTCCTAACATTTCTTTGCTGTACCTTTTCATCTATTTTGCAATATGGGCAGCCTTGCCAGCTAGCTTCAAACATTGTACGAACATTCCATGTCTCCACATTTACTTTCGCTTTCATCGAGGGAGAGAAGACACATCGACCAATTGGCTTCCCGAAGGTTTTCACCAACTAGTGTCATTTTGTCTCCCCGACTCCAACAAGGAATAAGTTTATTTTTGTTATATATATGTTTATTTGTGCTTTGAAATTTGTTTTAGCGATTGGATTGGCTTTATGGGGTAGGGTTGGTAGTCCTACGTCCAACCTTTCCTCTTTATCTGGGCTTAGGACTGGCTAGTAACTAGTGAACTAGTTAACTAGGGGGAGGTTTTAGGAAATTATAGAAGAAACATATTTTTAATTATGGTTACTTTCGGTTGGTCTGTAAATTTGATTGTTAGTCAAACTATTGGTTAAATAATCGATAATAAAAGGGAACAGAAAACATAAAAATACTCTTCAATGATTTACTTTTTGATCTAAGTATAATTCATAAATTGGTTTTAATTTTTGCAATTCTGATTGTATTTTCTTCAATTCAGGATATGTTGATATAGGTAAGTATAGTAAACGTTCACTGTTTAATAAATCTTGGCGTTCTGCATCTAATTTTCCACACTCTTCAATAAACTGTATTAAACTTCCATAACCACGATCCAAATCTTCAGATTCATTACCAGGTCCAGAAGATTTATACCTAGATTATGTAAGAGTTTAAGAATATTACATTGCACAATTGACTACAAGGTTAGAAGAAGAAATAAAGTTACTTTTGATAACTGTGGATGTCAAACCAATTCAATGGGTAACCAGTAGCGAGCAAGATAACAATATCATAGAAAGCACTAAGTGTTCCAGATATTGGAAGTTAACTTTCAACAGAAATGAACTACTGAGGTATATATAGAACCTCATCATGTTGCAATATATAGCAAGATTGATCCAGAGTGTCTGTCTCAGCTCTATTGAAGTCTGAGATATGCCTTATCAAGTTCAAGACATTGAGATGACTCACTCACTCAGCCTTATTAATGAGTACGAACAATAACGGTCAAGCAATCTTATTGCAGCTCAAATTACGCTAGTTCACTTTGTCTATCAGTACTGACCTAGTTACTATGTCCAAATCCTATCTTAATGGTATCATCATATCATTTGTAAATGTCTATACTGAATAGTAATGTATTTGCAAAGTGAAAGGAAAACGTAGATGGCTTAACAAGTTACAGTGATTAAGAATAACTGATGAATAAACCGGAAATACACTTGGTCCACGGTTAATAAATTTTCGCAAGTGTCATTTTGTAGACCTTCCGCCTCACTACTTGTGTCACTTGTTGCCAAATCAAAATACAGTATGCATCAGCCCAAGTGATTGGTTGCATGGAATCTGAAAGTACTGTAAAACAGAGGAAACTGGGATAAGGTTACCTTACTTCCCTGATGAGCGACCATACCGTCCGAAAAGTTGCAACCAAAAGTGAATCAATCTTTATGGAGCGCTTTTGTCTCATCTCATTTCCGTATTTAGAATCTTTGAAGGACGCCTCAAAGGAATATGAGAAGTAGATATACACGCATTACATCGTGCGGTAATCCCATCTGCAAAGTGATCGAAGACGCTACGTCAAGTTCGTATGTTTCACGGCTGGAGGACACCGGTAGATGGATGGCGTAGTGACAAGGAGGTCAGTTCTGTTTGCTTTCAGTATATATTTTATAGAATATCCCTGAAATGTTGCTGTCCGGCATTCGTGCTAGTTAAGTTTTTAGAAGGTTTATTGACAGTAACTTGGTGGTTGTTAACTCACAGTCACTCCTGCAATTCTCTGCTTCGTGAAAATAGTTCTTCGGCGAAGAAGTTGACGGAAATGAAGTGGACAGCATAAAGCCATTGCTAATATTCTGCACGGCTGGATTTAATGTTGTTGATTTCGTATATGCACATTATCGTAAACGACTGAATGATCAAGATGAGTAAAGCAAGATCGTACATCATCAGCTGGCTATCATTCTTACTCTGTTGATCTGTTTGTCTTTGGATATAACGCCTTTGTCATGAATTTGTAGCCAAACCAATTTCTTCAATATTTACTGATTCTTATGTTCCGCAATTCTATGCAAGTAAGTACAATGACTGTACATCAGACGAATAACTGTTAAAATAACCTATGAAACACTGCTCTTACAGAGGAAGACATGTGAATGTATCTATTCTGCAAATAGATCACTTTTATACCATAACCTCATGTTGCATGTATTATCTCTTGACGTGAGTATAAAGTACTAAAGAAGTGGTACTTTTTTATATTTAACACAACAGTAAACTGATGTGTTAACTAAATGTCTTCACTATACATATACATAAATTCATATTAGGCTGTCGCTATCCAGTATATTGCTAAGTCAAAATTACATCGTGTGGCTGACACCAGCGGTCATTATTTCGTCCATATAGTATATGGAATGAGTGATTTCGAGCATATTTTAACTAATCTTTTTCATTTATTGTAATATTTTTTATATTCGTTTGGAAGAAATGATGACGACTAATGTCCTCTTCGCCCCATGAAGCTTATGTAGCAACATACCGGATACTGTCAGTGATCTGTTATACCTTTGTTCGTTTCAATATAGTTTTCTACACACACGCACACACACTTAAATACATGTACCCGTATTACTGTAGTCAATGCCTCCCCCAGTCAGAAAGAGAGCATCAGCACATTCCTCCTTGCTACAAAAGTATCCTGGTCACTTGTGGTGGGTTTTTTAGTGAAAATGTAGCGTAATGTCTTCTGAATAAAACACTCGTAAATAGGCTGTATGTAAACAGCTTCAAATATACATCCTTTGGGCATTTTGGTCTTGACAAACTAGCTCACCTCTATCATGCACCTAGCAAACTTGAATTTGTTCGTGAGCGAAAGTTTCAGTATTGGTGTTTAAATGAATATTTAGCAGACGACAGGATCGAGCTCCACATTTAGTTCACAGAGTTACAGTTAACTCATTGTGATTGAAGGATAATCGTTCCAAGAACAAACTAAAGTGTTGTCAATTGATGCATGTAGATTTTCCAAATAAATCAAGAACGGTAATAAAAGAGAGTGATCACACTACTATGCGAAGATATTATCAAGATAAAATAACTATACGTATAATTTCATAGTGAGATGTTAGTCACAAGCCGGTCAATAGTACTAACTGTAGTTAAGTAGCATAACAGTTTTCCCAATCGACTAAATTTCATATCATATTATTTCTTCTTAAAAGATATAATGTTATAAGTGAAACTCAAAAAACAGAATTTTCTTCTTCTTGGAACTAACTAATAAACCGTAAATATATTCAAGATAAGACCAGGCAATTTTAAAGGTCACCCTACAACTACCCCAAAATAACCAATCACGTTGCGGTATTTTGTCTGAAAAGACAAATTTTCATAGAACAGAGAAAAGTAATTGGTTGTTTCATCAGTTACTAAGCCGTTTTTAAAGCCAATCATGAGACCTGATAGTTAGAAAAGTGAATCATAGGAGTTCACTATGATGAAGTAAATATCATTTCAAGTTAGTTTCTTTGTCTCACATATCATACACTTAAAGTGCTATTTTTTGGAAAACGTTTCAGGCATAATTTACTGATGTAAGTGATGGACTGTGGCTAGCGGTGGAACCCAGGATGTACATTTCGTCCCACTTGGGACTCGTCAGCTGGATGTACCTGCTTCTCAGTGAGTGATGTTGTTCCCGTCGCACAAGAAGTGGTTATCGTGGCTCAGTGGTGTAGTGGATGATGCCCTGGCGTTTGAAGCAATCACTCCCGAGTCCGAATCCTGGTGGGAACAATATCACTCCTCACTGGGAATCAGGTATATCCAGGTAACGAGTCCCAAATAGGACGAAATGCGCATCCTGGGTTCCACTGCTAGTCACGATTCATCATTAACGTAATTATAGCTCAGGCAGTATCGAGGCATCCGCACAGGAGCCCATATGCCAATAGAGACCGATCAATTCGGTCCAACCAAGGACGGTATGATATCAAAAAAAAACAATTATAATAATTTACTGATGACAATACTATTATATGGTTGCAAAAATATCATTCGTTACTTCACAAGCGCATAACCATAAAACTGATATAGATTGTTAATATGGTTTAATTAGTATGGAAAAAAACTTTGCACAGAATTTCCTAGTTTTTTGATGTTATTTCTTTAAAACTGAATTCATGAGGACTATGAATATCGATGAAATTCCTACTGTTATTATTATATGACTTACTTATCAATAAATGCTTGAACCTTTTTGTGGAAAGCTTTGACAACATCTACAACATAAGTTGAAAAATGAGCTTTAAGTGGTGCCATATTTTGTACTACATCTTCAGTAGATTTTAGGATAGCATTCCAATATCTATTTAACAGATTAGTACTGTTCCACATTCTGGGAGAGATCTGACATTATTAAGCATAAATTAAGCATAAAAGTTATCAAGTAGATTTTGATGAGTATAATTCATTCATAAATAATCGATAAACTTATTCATCTAAGCTCTGAGCAACTTTTTATGATTTATAAAGCCGAAATTTGAGAAAATGTTATTCTGTAATATTAAAAATGAAATAAATAAATGACCGCCTTCCTTGAGATTTTGAATATGCATAGCTGAGCATAACCATAGGTAGCAGTGCTAGTTAATGAAACCGGCAATAATGAAACAAGGAAAGTATGGACAACATAGGGTCTTGCATAATTGCTTGTTACTTCAAGCTACTATACTTTCAAACAATATATCAAGGAAGAAATCAATAACATATAGGATATACGAAATGGAAATAACTTTATTACCAGCTATAAATAAAAATAAACACAAGAAGAAAGTATGACAATGGAAATAGTGAATCAATGAAAACCTGGGAGAACTGGATAGCTGTTTCGTCCTAGTATGTGACTACTCAGCGGTACTCAGCACATGACCCAACATAGCGTTGAAATCAGGATCTTCAGGTTTCATGGCAAACAGTTTCCTACTTCTGTTAATTCTCAGTGTAGTGCGATGATCATCCAATATCTTCAGTTGGCATCCGCTTCCCTTCTGGCTGACTGAAATGTTTATGATATGATTCGAGTTGACAAGTGAAAGAGTTCGTGTTCTGGCAATCACTTTCTTCTCATATCATCTAAATGCACCAATCATCGGTTATAACTATACCGATGACTCATAACAAAAAGTCTACGCTTTTCTACATAACTCAGACCAATAGTCAAACTCTTCATTGATGGGTGTTACTCTTAAGTCTGGTCACCATAAACGTTTTTCGCTTAATAGTAAGACAGATAACATCGAGATAGAAGAACAACAGTTTCAATAGTAAAAAAGTCATTTGTTTAAATCGTGAACAGAATTTTAAAATTGTAATGTATATATTTTGTAACTACACTGATGTTTCTTCTTCGTTTAACATCTTAAGTTATGATACACATCATAGACTTCATCATATGATTCCCTAGAACTCCTCATTTATACTGACTTTTATTACTTTATTGTATTGATTGGTAACGGGAGTGCAACCAATCTCATGTTGTCTAGTCCTGAGTGCAGACCGAATTCTATCGATCGTATTTGCAATACGACAATCAAGCTAGGAAGCTCAGCATTGAGGTGCACATTAGTGGATGTTAGTTGGTTGGAGGCAATCGGCTGGATCGATAGAATTCGGTCTGCACTCAGGATTAAACAACATGAAATTGGTTGTACTCCCGTGACCAATCGATACATGTAAGCCAGTCCTACAAGAGGTCAGTCGTGGCCCGAATAGCTCAGTGGTAAAGTCATTGACTACAACACAGGGCGACTCGGGTTCAAACCTCGAGCGGGACAACAGCTTCATAGATGTTGCAGATACGCTTTGCTGACGAGTGCCAAAAAGCACGAAACCTAAGTTCAGGGCTTCTTGCCGAATGCCTCCAACCAACTGGAGTTTTTATTTCTTACTTTATTCAATATAATTTTGAAAATGTGGAAAAGAAAAGTACCTTTATTTGACACTAAAATTTATCAAACAATTTAGCTCTATAAGTAATCACTTTTGTAATTGGAAACATTTGTTTCCTGATACAAATTTCAAACAAGCAAAGAATGTGAAGAAAACAGGTTTTAATGAATTCATAAGTTTCAGCAGCAGTCATCAGCTGGATACTCTACATACACTTGATTATATATATCGTTAAACAATGCACAAGAACATACATATTTCAGGTAGACTGACAAAGATTCAGGTGTAACAACATAGAAGTGAATAGGGATTACAGGTCAAGTGGTAATGCGAAGACTAGAAGTGGATGTTGATAGTTGAATGGGTTTGGGAAAGGTTGCATGGTTAACTGAGTTTGGATAATAATCATAATGGATTTTCGGTAGGAGAATAATGATGATAACAGGAATGATGTTGACACAAGGGTGAGAAGTGAATCGATTGAGCATAGATCACGTCACTGAAAACAAGATGGAACTGGTGCTCATTGGTGACTAGCATCGAGAGGTATTCTTGAAGTTGCAATGAGAAGTCGTGACCGTTGGAGTCAAAACCTGATGATCGTGATGACTAATACTCAACGATGATATTGGGTGGTGGTTGTGTTATATCGTGAGTTGAGAGAAGTTGGAAATATGGACGATTGGATTGTGACCCAGTGGCTCAATGTTAAGACGCTGGCTGAGGAATCTGTAGGTTGTGGGTTCGATCGGTTGTGTTGTGCGGGGTTGTGGGTGTACACTGTTGAGGGGTCTCATACTAGTCGGACGAAACAGCTGTCCAGTGCTCCCAGGTTTCCTTTTGTTCTTCCAACTGATGTCAGTCTACGATGAATAACAACTTGAAAGCAAGATAGTTGATAGTACTTATGTAGACATAATGAGATGAGATGACCAGGTGTATATTGAGATGAATAATAATGATGATAAAAATGGTGATAGGAATGAGGTTAATTGGGTGGAAGAAATCAAGGAAGGGAAGGGAAGGGAAGGGAAAATATGAGATGAGTGAGAATGGAGAGGGAAGAACAGTTAAGAAAGAGTGAATATGACTAGAGGATGTTGTAAATTCTTGGTTGTTATATTCAAAGTGACTACCATTTCCTTGTGAATGCAGAGCTTTTGTTTGATAACTGGAATTGCACAGGTTTCTGTATATGGAAGCGATTTCTTATTTCACTTTTTACTGATAACCGTAAAGGACTTGTAGATATCAATATCATATCCACAGTCCATTCAGTGTTTCATTATCGAGGTTCTCGGGGTCTTTGCAGCATGCTTCAACTTTCTGGGCAGGTGCCAAACCATTCGGGTAGACAGATGCTTCTTCGTACGACCAATGTATTTACTTCCTTAGGTGCATTTGAATCGATACATGCATTTCGATGTGTTGAGGACCGAAGTCCTGTCTTTCCCTGATTGTTGCAGTACCGTTTTGGTGGTGCTGATGAAAACGAGTTTAGCAGCGTATTAAGTGCTTCTGATAGACTTCTCCAGTCTTCGTCTAACTACTTCTAGCATGTCGTCACCTTTGAATGGCAAGATGATATTGACTGGTTTCTTCTGCACAGTTGGGGACGTTTTTCTTCTACCTACCCATTTTGGGTGCTTGTTGATAAAGCTTTCTGGGTACCCAATCTTCCCTAGCACATTTTCCAAAGTCAGTAGTAGTAGACTAACTATTATGTAACAAAGATTCTATTTCGAAAAAGAATATCAATCTTCTTGTACCTACATCTTTTCACAGGTTGTCTAACAGTAGTAATAATAATAATGAAAAGAAGATAAACCATATTGACTGGAATACAAAACCAAACAATAAAAATCACAGGGTTACAACAGCAGGTTACACCACTGAATAAGTAAACCAAATAATAAACATATGAAGGTATACTTACCCCCGCTATAAATTCCTATATAAATTTATAAGTACGGAAAAAAAAATTCAGATAGAACAACTAACTTTTATAATCGAAAATGAAATAAATTTTTAAGGTTGTTTTCATCATGGACTGACTTCAGCTGGGGAACTACTGAAAACCCAAGAGGACTGGACAGCTGTTTCTTCCTAGTGTAGGACTCCTAAACAGTACTCACTTACGACCTGGTTGGGTATCGAACTCAAGACCTGGCTAGATTGTCAGTGCATACTGCTGGGGAGTCCCACATTAGGAAGAGGCAGTTGTCCAGTACTCCTAAGTTTTCAATGATTCCACATTTGATGTCAGTCTGAGATGAATACAACCTTAAAAATGAAATCCCAATGAACCTCAAAATGAATAAAATAATGTTTTATACGAGGGTTCAACGCTTCTCAATTACAATCAACTAAGTGATCTCGCTATTACTAAATAACTTTTTCCAACTGATTGAAAGTCTTGGAATTATCTATTTCATGAAATATGTTGGTCGTCGACAGTCAACTCGATAAATCTCTGTGTGGCATGAAAAACGGCACAAAGAGATTTATTATAGTTTACTTAAGAGTCTTGTAACTTTTTCTTGTGTCACTGCTACAGTATTCGGTTGTCACGCAGATACCAAACAGTAAGTATACATTGTCCTATATGTATTAGAAGAACAATCAAAGAATATATGACCAGATGCAGTGCGCTAGTGGGACTACCATTAGTCCTTTTCCAAGCTAAATATACTTCACCAAGTATGTTTCTCGAGGTAGGTGACGGTTAAATGAACGATAGTTTCGCGAATATGACAAAGTACATCCAGCTGAAGAATTCTCGAAAAGAATAAAAAGTTCATCGTAGACTTTACTTCTAGCCACCACCAAATAAATAATAAATTATCTTCATGATAGCTTCATCACGGATTAATATAAATTACAGAATTGTTAAAAGCATGAGAGCACTTAACAGTTGTTTCACCTTAACTAGGGATTCCTTGGCAGTGGATCCTACCGGTCCCACCAGTGACCAAGCGCGTAATCATTAGGTCTTGTGGCAACTGCGTTGCCACTCGGTCACCGAATCGGTCATCAATGTTTCACTGGAAACAATGTAAAATTACAAAATCTAAGTAGTAATACTTAAAGTTTTATTGAGAAAAATGTATCTCAGCTTCACTAATTTACACAGAGTTGTTAAACCTACCTATCATAATAGGAAATCAGCATATCTTTTATCCCCTTGGTAATTTTACTAATCATAGCCTATTACAGATTGGTTGCTTTTAAATCTTGTGATACTTGCTTATACTTACAGTCTAAAATGAATATCTTGTAACCCTGAAGAGATTAGCTATTTATCTACCATGTGTTACATCAGTTGAAAAATCAAAGATATAATTCTTAAATAGCTACTATCGGTTACACTATCTTATTTAATAAGAAATCTACTTAAAACTTATTTTGTAGTATCATTGTATGGCTTGGTTCAATAGCTTTTTATCGACCCTCCTCCCATTTCCATACTACCGATGGTCCCAAAAAAATGCAGGTTAAGTAAGGTCAATTACTGTACAGTATTCTATTTTCTATGCACAAAGTCGGCTGTTTCATTTGAGTAACTTTAAAGGTCACTCCAGTAGCTGCTAAGATAACCAATCATGTTTCTCCATTTTTTAAAATAACTGCCTTCAAGAGACTTCAAAGGCCGCCCTAGAAACTGTTGAATAGACCCATCAAGCTTCAGTATTTCGCCTGAGAATACTTTTGTATGAAATAAGGGAATTTAACTGGCTGTCTTATCAGTCGCTAGGGTGGCCTTCAGACTCATCCATACATTTCCAACCGAAATGCCGAAGGCTGATTGACTATTTTGATAGTTGCTGGAGTGACCTAAAGGCCACGCACGCTCATTTCATTTTTCCTAAGTATGGTTCAATATCGAGTGTGACTTCAACGGCCACACTAGGAACTGCTGAGATAACCAATTTTCTCTACTCCATGACAAACTACCTTTCTTGTCGAAATTCCGAAATCTGGTCGGTCATTTCAGCAGTTGCAAGTATCGCCTTTAATTTCGGGTGACTTTAAAGGGCACCTTAGCAACAATCGAAATAACCAAATACTTCTCTCCATTTCAGCTGGAAAGGCAGATTTCTATAAAATACTGAAGTCTGGTTATTTCAGTTGTAGCTACCGGGGCCTTTAAAGTCAGTCTTAAGTTCAATCGATGTGGTTATTGTTTTAGCTACACTCAAACAGTAAACGTTACTGAAAGATTTTGGACAATCAGACTAGGATTTTTTTTGTACGAGGTTACGACCGGACAAATTCAGTGAGTAATCGCGTGGGTGAAGTGTAAATGAGTGTAGCGATCAGACAAAGGAGGAATCATGTCGTAGTACAAGCCCATTTCAGTATCCGCTTTATTAGCCAATCGGATTTCTCCATTCCGTAAGGTACCAATTTTCCAGAGGAAAAAAGCCACCCAGTCATTTCAGCGACCGCTAAGGCTTTAGAGTCACTCCCACCTTAGAGACGAATTAAAAAACCACATAATTCAGAACAAAATGAAAAGCTCATATAGTTGCATTTCGTTTGGTTTTATTGCATTATCTTACCAATCAGAGTTCAAACCTTTGCGGTTATTCGCTGTTTTTGCGAATAAGTTATAAAGAACATGAAATCTAACTATTGAAATTTATTTGCATGAATTGACGATTAGTTGTAGTAAATGCAGATATTCACTGAGACTATATGAGATAGTCGTGATTCGCCAGACTTGTATTATCGACACAGAGTGATAACTAAAGGTCGGCTATTTCAGATAGTTTTTTTTCAGAAAGAAAACCAATATGACATTCCTCCTCTGTTGTTCAGCCTGATATGGACTGGGATGAAAAGAGCTGACTAAGCAGCCGACGTGATTACAATAAACTTTCAGTTACGTATTACGGATGCGCATGATGACCATACAGAAACCTTGGTGATTGAAGTGAAACTAGTACCTTGTCAGCAGCTTGGTAACGCAGACAAGTTGGCATAGCACCCGGCCGGTAGCCTAGAGGTTTCTTGTTCGAACCTTGTCAAGACCCAGGTTTTCATTTCACCTTCAACAACAACTCCCTGTAAACGTAGATTTGTTTGATAATGGCTGTTTCTTTTGTTTTTCCAATTCCACTAAAATCTCACTGTTAATATAATTATATTTAAATCGAAGTTCAGTCGAATGATATGGTATCCTCTTCATTTACTTTAGCCGAATTCTACAAAATAACTGATTTTACTTAGAAATAAGCATTCCTATTATCTTTTAATATTTTTTGTGAATTTACCGTATTTAATCAGACACAGATCTACATAAGTGAGCTACTTAATGAATTTTCGACCAAAAAATACCTCCTATCTAACAAACAGTAGTTTCCAACAGACGTTGGTGATATGAACCATCGGATTCTGACCCAGTGGCTCAGTGGTAAGATGCTGGTCACGGAACCTGAAGGCCGCGGGTTCGACTCCTGGCGAGGTCGTGGTTGCGCGCTGCTGAGGAGTCCTGTACCAGGACGAAACAGCTGTCCAGTGCTCCCAGGTTTCCTTTGTTCCTCTATGATGAATAACAACTTGAAGCAATAGTTTGCTCATGTAATAAAATTATGCAACCAATCATAGTAAGAACCTTACTTCATCCGCATAAAGACGAATAATTCTGAGTCGTTCTGATACTTTTTGTACAAGGTCATCAATGTATTCACATGATCCACCATGTATATCTGTAATAACTGTGAGTAATGCTTTCATTTCAACAAAAGTGGTTGGACGTCTATCTAATATTGTTCTTTTCTCCTAAAAATAAATAACATTGCACAAACAAGTATAAAGTAAAACATTTTTGTAGTGGACGATTAAGGTATATATCATGTATCATGTATCTGTCGATATCACGAAGAGATCTGATATTACTGCATAGCGATTCAAGCTGATACACCCTACCATAACCAGGCGAGAATACACTAAGATAAAAGGTTATGAAATAAAGGAAAAGTGGTAGAATGTGGTGAAAATGGAACAAGGGGGAAAAAAAAGACATTACTGAGTTCAGCAAGACGCCTCAGATAAGTATAATGTGTTTAGATATACCTGCGCTGTTGAGATCAATTCTGAGTCATGTCACCTGTAGCCTCAAACCACTGATTTCTGTTTCTCACGTGGATCATAACTAGGAAGTCTAAATCTCGCCACACTGTTCAGAACAAACAATCAAAGACTTCATGAACCGGTGCCATGTCTTAATCTGACCGCCCTTAATCATTTCCCAGCCTATACCTACTACAACGAACATCGTGTGATGAGACAGACAGTGACTAGACATGTCTAACAAATATCCCAGCCACCTGAGTCGATGAACGAGCAGCAATCTGTATTTGCACTGTGAAAAACGCATACCAAACATTCTCAAATTCTCGCTCAATGTGTCTAGAAGACTCTACATCTTGCCACCATCTTCATCTAACAGGACTATATCAATCTCGTGAAGTCAGATGATGAGAGGCAGACCTCCATAGGTATGTCTGTGACGAAGCTGGATAAGAATGAACATCCTTGATGGATACCACTCGACATACACAACTCACCTCATACCTCACCATGGACTCCAACACGTAAACGGGTGCTAGAGTACAGAACCTTCACAGGAGTCACGTACTTACTCGGCTTTCCTTTCTGTTAGAGACAGTGTCATAACACTTTTCGAGTGGCAAGGTCTAATGTAGCCTTCGGGTGGAGAAATACAGCAAGTATTGGACGTCAGTGAGTATGCTTGTGTTCTAGAACCTGGCAGAGGGTGTGTTCGATCTACACACCCAGGACCGGTCATGAAACCTATCTGGTTTTCTTGCGTTCGCCGTTCCCCAGCTCCACTTACACATCTGATAATGACAGGAACTAAAATCTAAGAAACTAAGTTCATCAGGCTGACTCTCCTGCAGTCATCAAAAGAGGATTTCTGTTCTTCTTTGAGTGCTGGAAAAGTCAGTAGTTGATACCAGTCGGAGAGGATCACCACATGTGACTCCCATTCCCTAGCCAAAAGTTCAGTTAACCTGACTAGTAAGCCTTGACCATCACGCTTGAATATCTTTGTTTCTGCTAGGCTTCCTCCATTCAGATTGCTTCCTGACTTCTGTAAGTGCGGTGGATCCCATTCACGATCCAACTGGATAGCAGGCAAATGAATGATATCTCGAGAATGGTTGAACTGTTCTTCAAAGTGTTTCATCCATCACTCTAGCCACCGCCTCAGCAAGTGAGTCGCAGACTCACTAACCATCGACCTCTTCTCCCCGGTTTCCTTGGTAATTCTGAAAAGCTGTCTTCTGTTACCTGTCGTGATTGTCTTTCCCACCTCTTAAACTTTGCTACCTGCCACTGTTCAAGATAGTCACACAGAAGCTTTGTCAGTTTGTGTTTCAGTTGCCTCCATTTCTCACTATGATAAGAACCTGCAGGAATGTGTCTGAGCGCCTCTAGCAACACAAAAGAAACTGCTGAGATCAACAGACAGTTCCTTCCACTTTTCTATGAGTCTACCTAAGGTCTTTAACTTAACATTGTTTTTGCAGCAGTCTTGAGATTGCTCAATGTGTCTTCAGGATGACTGATATTTTCCTCTGCTGATAACTATCTGACCATTTAGTCACTAAAAGTCACCTTGGCATTCTCAAATTCAGGTTAAACCAGGAACGTTCTTGTTGGTGTAGTTTTCTACCTTTATTTAGGAGCAGATGTGTGCATGGTCAAACCAATAAATGATAACAATCCAAACACATGCTTCAGAAGGAGCAGGAACCTTCGATCCATCCTTTCAACTCAATAATGATAGCACTAGGTTGACCACCGCTGAGATCAAGTTGGTAAGTGATATGTTGAACAGCATCTCTTTTTGAAGTTCATTTTAACCAGGAATTGAAGTCTGTTTGAACATAGTTGTAGCAGGCGATCCTTATTTTCTGTTCCTCCTGCGATTCCGGAAAGACTTTACATCTGACTTAGTCTGCTGATTTTTGGAAAAGCGTTCAGTTTTCAGATAATTGGTCCAAGTTATAAGAGACAATTAAAAAGAAGTAACTCACAGGTCATACTTTGTGACCTTGACTGGATGGTTTCCAACGAAAGCACTGTTGATGCCACAATCGAACAGTTGAAAAAACTACTTAGTTGTGAGCAGTATTAAAATGGATCGTACTATTTGTAAATTATGTATGTATGAATAAAACCAGCAGCTGATACTGGATTATCATATGCGCCGCTCATTCAAATAGTAGTTCTCATGATTGAGCAATTGCCAGAATTTATTCTTATTGAGGCAAAAGCTACAATTTAGCCTATTTTCAAGCGTTTGCACTAAGCAAAGTGTTTACTGTGGGAAAATAACACAAAGAATAGTGACCATGACCGAAACTAACAGTCATAGTTGGTGAATTTTAAGCAGAAGTATCAATTGCCAGGATAACGACTACTGTTGCTTTTGGAAAAACTAACTTGCTAGTATACTTCAGGTTGCCACATGAGAAGTAATTCACAATGGAAAGCTCAGTGATCCCTTTGAAGTGAGGACAGGAGTAAAACAAGGCTGTCTACTATCACCCATGATATTCCTGATTGTGGAGGACTGGATCATGCAACAAACTGTGAGGGGCGAGAACGGGGGGATACGCTGGCTGGACCGGGGAAAAGATTCTAGAAGATTTGGATTTCGCCGATGATCACTTATGTTTAATGTCACAAAAACTGGAAGATCGACAGATAAAATCCAACAAGTTTACAGAAGAGACGATGCAGGGCAGTGAAGACAGGACTTCAAGCAAAAGTAGAGAAGACGGAGGTGATGAAGTTACCCAACCAACACCATCACCAGCAACAACAAGCTCCAATCACCATGAACGGGAGAACCTTAAAGGAAATAGCCTCTTTCACCTTTCTAGACAGGCAGCATCGTTTCAACTACAGGTGGCACAGACGAGGATGTCAAAGCAGCCAGGATCGGAAAGACAGCATGACAGGTGTTCATTAACCTGAAACCACTGTGGAGATCTTCCACACTCAGCATAAAGCGTGAACAACATCCGAATTTTCAACACCAACGTCAGTGAAGTCAGTGCTTCTACATGGTTCGGAAACTTGGAGCGTTACGAAAGGGATTTCCAACGAACTACAGACATTCATCAACAGTTGTCTACGCTGTCTGGTTACTGAAGCTTATATGGCCAGAATAATAAGAATGAGCAATAAGGAGCTCTGGTGGGCTGGTGACGAACCAACCAAGAACCTATGTTTCAACAACTATGCAGAGGAAGGAAGTGGAGATGGATTGGACGGGGCATGCACTGAGAAGACCGATTGGGGACATCATGCACCAGGCCAGTTGCTCGAGTTGAGCATTCGGGGTGAGGGTGACATGGAGGAGATGGTGTAAAGAAGAAGTGAGAGCTTGTGGACAGTGGTAGAGCAAGGTTCAAAAGATTTCAGAGAACAGAGTGCAATGGGGACGTGCTACTGAAGGCATATTTTCCACTAGGAATTCAGGGGAATAATAATAATAGTACTTCAGGTTGAATGAAATCAAGAACTACTAGTATGTGTGCTGCATTTTAGTTAAGAGGAAACTTAATGGTTTAAAGTGAACATTTCATGTGAAACAAAAAAAATAAAGTAGAAGGAAATCTGATTAAAAATTCAACTTGAACTTACAAGTAATATTCTCTCCGCTGTTTTATAAAAATTCTCAGCTGATTCATATAAATAGCTTGCATAGATTCTTATCCAATCACGTAGATTTGATGTTACCTTATTAAAGAATGAGTTTAGTCTTAAAGCTACAGCACCAATAAAAATCAACTTTTTTGGACCAAGTAAATGATCAAGAGATTCCCAAAGTGATCTTAAATGATTCAATCGATTCTCGAAATTTCGTGTCGATGGCATTTTACTACCAACCCATTTATCTATCACATTTTGCTGTTATGGTAAAAAAGAATAACATAAAAACCTATGATACATAACAAAGACAAAGAAAAAGATGTTGCTTTCATATGTTTATTTATTTAAATAAAAATATCTTAGGCGGTGATTTAAGGTGAGATGAGAATTTAGACCTCAGATGGATTCGTACCATTGACCACCGGGTTACTGGCCCAGTGCTCTACCAACTGAGCTACGAGATTCGACTACCGACTAGAATTTTATTTTACTTCAGTCACCAAGGATTTTGTCCGACTACCATATGAATTTGTGACGCGTTACTACAGCTTGATCGCATTCACACTAGCTGCCTAGTCAGGACTTCCCATTCCAATCCATTTCTAACGGCACTACATAAGGTGAGTATCATATTGATTATCATTGGACTATCTGAGATAATCGTAGTTTGGCAGACTAGTATTTATACTGGGTGATGATTAAAGGTGAGATGTAAATCTGGAACGCAGATGGATTCGAACCAGTGACCACCGGGTTTCCAGCCCGATGCTCTATCAACTGAGCTATGAGGTCTGACTGCCGACTAGGTGGTCGCTAGTTCGAACCCGACCACGGTTCAGATTTTCATTTCACCTTCAATCATCACTTAGTATAAATACTAGTCTTCCAAACTATACGGTTATCTCAGATAGTCAAATGGTAATAAAAATATCATCTCATCTTGTGTTCACTTTTACACGAGTTTCGATGTTGAACTCAAATTGTAAGTCTAGACTTGCAAGGTTGTTCCGATATCGATATCTAGCTAGACATCTAAAAGTTTTCCACTGAAAAAGCCTAAATGGACGACTTTATTCAAAAACTACACTCTGAAATAGAAATGCTCTTGTTCTTTGTTTACAGTACAGTACATCAACTAAATCCTGAGCGAAGAAGTGGTAGACAGTCGAGATTAGTTAGTAGATTGATCAAAGAAAGCTCAAGAGAATTCAATAAACTTGAGATGACATAATACGCGGTTCAGTGAAGACCAATATCAAAATTGGTAGGAAGATTTACTCACCAACTTCTTCATGTTGTTTGACTTCATTACTAATCAATACATTCTGAACGTCATATATTAAACACGTGACATCCAACTCCTGGACTGTCAGCCAGTAGTTGTTCTTAAACTCTAATCAGGAAAGCATGATGAATACCTGTGACTAACTTTTCTCCTGCAGTATGTATTTTTGGATACTACAATCCTCGGAATAAAACTTGGAATCGGGACAAAATTTTTGTCATTTCCCCCCAAAATGAAAGGAACTAAAATTTTGTAGTCTATTTGGTGGTTGGCAGTGTAATCCAGGACGCGTCTCCGTGAGTGACGTTGTTCTCCTACTGAGACTGGAACCCAGTACCCATTACTTCAAACCCACAGGCACCATCCACTAGGCCACTGGGTCATGACAGTCACCAAATGTGCGGCAAATATCAGCTGTTGTTTATTGATACTTGTAATTTCCTGTTGCTATACTGGTCGAGTTGTTCGAACTCCGTTGACAGGTGGGCTTCTAGGTGGATCCCTCGATATTGCCTAGAAATTTAGATCCTCTCTTTTCACACTGACTTCTAGATTCTGTCAGCTCTTTACTTGATAACATCAGTATAAAAACAAAAGTTGTCTCCAAAGTTGAAACATTGAGTATTATCACCAGCCAAAAGGTAGCGGTTAGAAATCATTTTTAATTTTAGATATCATCTCACTGTAAGACAGCATAGAGTAAGACAGTCAGTCAATCAGTAGTTTCCTTTTGAGAAGAAATTAATTCGCGATACTGATGTCTTGTTTATTTGTAGTCTTTCAATTCAATAATGATGAAATAATAATAATCAGGATACCGTGAACCTATATATGATAAGGTGCTATCTAAATTGCTCATAGTTTAAAACTAACTTATAAACAAGTAGAACAGAGTAAAAGGTTGCACAAAAGTCTATCAGTTAAATTTTTCAAACCTACAATGACTGTCCACCCAAGAACCCATCGCCCAACAAATAAGCAGAAGACGAAGTTGGAGATGGATTAGATTGGGCATATACTGAGAAGACCATTAGGGGACATTACGCACCAGGCCAGGCCCTCGAGTGGAACGCAAAGGGGAAACGACGAGTTGGGCGTCCCAGCTGAGGGTGACATGGAGGAAATGGTGTGAAGAAGAAATGACTGAAGGGAAGAGAGTGAGATGTTGACGTGCTACTGAAGCCTTATGTTTCACTAGGAACCGAAAGGACAAACAATATAATGACAATAACAATAACTGAGGAAAAGAGCACAGATAAAAATAAGCAAAAATATTGTAATAAGTAAACAGAAGGGGATGAATAGAAACTAAAAGTAGACATCGAGTGATATAATATTCATCATTTAGAGGAAAATGAATTACGTGCATCTTTACCACTGTGGCTAATATTTTGCTGTCATACTGCACTGACTTTAAAGAAACTGGTGAAATAACTAATCACATTTTTCTGTTATATGAAAACTTTTCTTCTGAGCCAAAACCCTTCAATTTGAATGGTAATTTCGGCAGTTGTTAGGGTGGTCTTTAAAGTCACCCTCACATTATCTCCATGAAATAATTTTTTACGCTTTTTTATCTTTAGACAAGTGGCATACAATTCCTGCAAGTCTCTGAACAATAATCATTAACTTTCATAGATCATCATCGTGTATTTATCCAACCTTCATCAGCTTTTTGTCTCTCCATTTCTACTTCAATGAGTAGTAGTGTAGAATATTTGGAGCTACGGCCATAGATGTTCAGAATGAGTTGTTTTCTAAGCTGAGATTCTGGTTGCCTTTGACTTTACGATGTGGAAACAAAATTTGAAGTTTATTCAGTTATTCACAAACAGCCACCGTTCTGATAAGGATATGATTTATGTTCACAAGAAATTTCTGTGAAAAGTAAAGAATATTCTGCCTGTGACATAATAAATCTCTTCCTTTATAGAAAATTATCCGAAAAAAAACATGCACTTACCTTATCTTGATGCCATAAAAGTGAATAATATGCTAAACGTTTTAAAAATTCAACAACATCATGGTTTAGACGTTTTGCACGCTGATTAAGGGCTGCATCAGGCTTCAATAACTCTGGACATCTTTCTAATTCTTGTACATAATTAAATGTGATGACTTCACCACCTTCTGAATGTAAAGGTGGACATGGTTCACAGGTACCATGTTTCCATCGTAAAAAGAATCGACAACTGAGAAATAAAATCAATTAAAAGAAAAAAAAGTAGAATTATACATCACAGGCAAAGTTAAAAATAAAACCATTATGGAGGTTTCTGAGGATTTATTGACTTGAAGCTGATATTCATCATGAACTGATATTAGTTGGAGGAACATTGGAAACTTGGAAACACTAAACAGCCGTTTCGTCCTATTATGCTACCCCTCAGCAGTTTGGACCAGGAACTTGGAGGTCCTCAGTTTGACTCCTGACGGATCATGGGTACACACTGCTGAAGAGCCCAGTACTAGGACGAAACAGCTGTCCATTACTCCCAGGTTTGCAATGTTCCTCTAACTAATGACAGTTCATGCTTAGTACCAACCTAAAATTAAACAATCATTCAGTAACAGGTTGAGAAGTGGCGTTTTCCTGTTTTGTTAAGCTATCGAACATAATAGGAGGATAGTACGTTGACTTCACATATTAAATGCCTAAAACTCCCCATCTCAGATTACTTACTATCTAATCGAGATTCATATTAACTTGTAAAGAAACATAGATTGTGGATGTCAAAGTCTGCAGTTCCAGTTAGCTTCATCAAGTCTTTTTCTTGGTAAAAAAGAACTTGAAAAGAACATTTGTTATTTGAGTCTTTCTAAATATTGTCTTGAAACTCATAGCATATAATACAACCATTGAATTCATTTTTGAAAAGTTGTCTGACTGATAAGCCTCTTCAACATGCTATCAGTCAATAATTAAAGACCCTACTCATAACAGTACATAGTAATGCATACTTATCTACTGCTTATCATTTCTGTAACCTTTCTCTTAACAGTTGGTAGGGATGATTTAAAATGCATGAAATGTTTTGATATTTAATCTTATCCGAGTGATTCCAATGATCATTAGTGTCTTGACATAGCAATAATAAGTTCATTTCATACCTATCCATCTTCATGATAATTATTCTTTGGGCTGATTTGTACTACTTTTGTGACAGTGGGTAGAAGTGTAAGCCTAGCATGTTATCGAAACATCATTGACTGTGTAGTGACTTCTACAATAACCTTGACTTTGTATTTGTACACAAAATTGACTATAATGTTCACTTCCAAGATTAGAAAATCACAGGTAAATTCAAATTTTATGGAACGACTCTAAAGGCCATCCTAGCAACCGCTAAAATAACCAGTTTAACTTCCCTATTTCTCTGAACTCCCAAAGAAGGGCTACCTAAGACTTTGCCAGGAACTGGCGCACAATCATGCTCCACTCCTGTCCACTCAAGGCAAGCAAAATATTAAGCCACATCATCCTGGAGAGAATGAAAAATACTCTCGACCGGAACGGGCTGGGTGGCTGGCTGGCTTCAGGAAGAGCAAATCACGTGCGGATCAAATTGCAATACTACTCTATACATCATCATAGAACAGAGTATAGAATAGCAGTCAACTCTCTACCTTACCTCAAATTCATCGATTTTGAGAAGGCCTTCGATCGAAGCGTCGACCGAGAAGTAATTTGTCAGCTACTGCTTCAGTACTATGGTTTCAGTGTCACAAATATTTATCAACATCATTCAACACCAGCTTTAGGCTGTATGATGAGGTTACATGTCGAGTGATTCACTGCACAATGGAAAGCTCATCTGAGTGATGCATTTGAAATGAAGACAGGAGTAAGATGAGATTGTCGCCTACCATCACTGATCATCTTCCTCATTGTGGTTGACTGAACTGAACTGGACTGACCTGGATCATGCAAGAAACTGTGAGGAGCTGTGGGAAGATGGACATACGCTGGGTGGCCTGATGAAAAGACCCTAGAAGAAGATTTGGATTTCACCGATGATGATTTATGTCCAATATCTTGCAGCACAAACTCGAATATGTACATGCGGGAACTAACAAGTTGACAGAAGAGGCGAGGCGATGCAGGGCGGCGAAGACGGGACTTCCTTCATGTGAACGTAGAGAAGATAGAGACAGAGGTGATGAAGATACCCAACCAACCAAAAACATCAACGGGAGCAACGTAAATTAATTAGTCTCTTTCACCTACCTAGATAGCATTGTTTCAACTACAGGCAGCATAGGCATAGACGACGATGTCAAAGCAGCCAGGATCGGAAAGACAGCAAGACAGACCTTCCTGCATTGACCTGAAACTGGTGTGGAGATCTACTTCATTCCACTCCACTCAGCATAAAGAGTGAACAACATCCGGATTTTCAACACTAATTCAATCAAGTAAGTCAGTGAGTGCATCTATGTGATGGTTGAGAGACTTGACGCGTTACGAGAAGCATTTCCAACAAACTACTAACATTCATCATCAACAGGTGACACCTACACTCATTCGATATTGACAGTGAAGATGGAGATGAGATGAGATGGCCAGAATAATTAGAAGAATAAGCAAGGAGGAACTCACTCTTGCTGACTAGCTGGCTGGCTGGCTGGGTGGCAAAAAACCAACGAAACAAGAACGCATCGTCCAACAAATAAGCAGAAGACGAAAGTGGAGATGGATTGAGTTGGATATGTTTAGGTTTACACTGAGAAGACCATTTGGAGACATCACGCACCAGATCAAGTCAGGCCAGGCCATGCCGTCGAGTGGAAGCCAAATGTGAAAGAACGAGTTGTGCGTCTGATGCGAGGGTGACATGGAGGAGATGGTGTCAGGAAGAAATGAAAGGTTATGGGCAGTCATGGAACCAGGTTCGAGAGACTGGAGAGAAGAGAGTGAGATGCTGACGTGCTTCTGAAGCCCTATGTTCCACTAGTAACTCAAGGGACAAATGGTAATAATAATTTCTCTGAACAGGTAGCCTCTTATCCAAATTAAAGAAACTTAATTGAATATACCAGTGATTGCCGACGGTATACTTTTATTTTAAAATTTACAATGGGTATCTCACCTTTGAGTACAACCATGTAATGTTTGTGTCATCCATTTGTAGAGATCAGCGTTAACTGGATAAAGTACAACATCTGAATTGACAAGTAAAACATCAATGTAAAATAATGGCTGATTTCCTCCTAATGCATTGACAAATGATCGCATATTTTTCAGTACAACCTAAACAATATAAAGTTGACATAGATTTTTAATCAGCTAAAAAATCTAATGATTGAAGACGAACACATGATTTGTAGACAGAAGGATTTTTATTTTAAACATGTTACCATTGAACGCTGTGACTAGCCAAAAGTTACTTGAGTAGTTTACCCCAGTTAGATTATGAAACTCAACGATAGCTATTCATAGTCAGTTCAGGTCGAACACACTGGTTTTTTTATTCAGATAGATTCCTTTCAAAGAGACTGTTTCATTAAAATCTGATTGTGTGAGCGAGAAATGCGAAATAAGGGTCAACCTCGCCTGGTTAACTAGTTCACTAGTTACTAGCCGGTCCTAAGCCCCGACAAACAGGGAAGGTTGGGCATAGCACTACTAACCCTACCCCGCAAAACAAATCTAGCCGCTAAAGAAACTTCAAAGCACAAACGAAATATAAAAAATAATAACAAAATTATTCCTCGCTGGAATCGGAGAGACGAAATGACGCCGCTCGGTGAAAGCCTTCGGGAAGCCAATTGGCCGATGTGTCTTCTCTCCCTCGATGAAAGCGAAAGTAAATGTGGAGACATGGAATGTCCGCACGATGTTTGAACCCAGCAAGGCAGCCCAGATTGCAAAAGGGATGAACAGGTATCACATTGAAGTGCTTGGAATATGCGAAAGTAGATGGAATGGGAGTGGACTCTCCAAACTGTCAACTGGAGAATCAATAACCTACTCCGATATTTTCACCCAGACGACAACCACGAGCACACTGAGTGTTGGAGTGACTATCATGATGTCCCCTTGAAGAGCATCTAAGGCTCATTCTCATTCAGTGGGAACCAATCTCCTGCACGATCAGGATCATGACAGCAACGTTCAACTTAAAAGGAAGGAAGGTCATAAACATACAATGCTACACAGTGCACCTACAAATAATGCAGAGCAAAAGAAGAAGGAGGAATTCTACAGACAACTGCAATCAACACTGGACCAGACACCGCCTAAGTTGGCGATATCAAAATTCTAATAGGTGGGGTGACATGAATGCCAAACTGGGAGCGGACAACACAGGAAGAGAACTAACCATGGGTCAAGAAGCGATCGGTGAGGTGATGAACGAGAATGGAGAATTGTTTGCAGAATTCTGTGCATTCAGTGATTTGGTGATTGGAGGCACTGTGTTCAGGGACAAGGATATCCACAAAGCGAGTGACATGGATTTCACCAGATAAACACACTAAAAATCAAATCGACTTTATCTCAATCTCAAGAAAATGGAGACGCAGTCCACTTGACACAAGGTCAAGAAGAGGAGCAGATGTAGGTTCAGACCACTACCTAGTGCAAGGAACCTACCTTCCAAATCAAGTTGAAATCCTTCAAGGAAGTCGGCGACAGACCACAGTTCAAGTACAACACCCAGTAACTGAAGGATGAAACTACAAAGGAAATCTTCACTTCAGTCAGCCATCAAGACAAAATGGGAGATATCGAGGAACATCTGTGAAGAAACCTGTGTGGAAGAACACTGGAAGTCTTTGAAAGCTATATGGAAAGAAACCTGCACAGCCGTATTAGGAAGGAAGAAGAAAGAAGATAAGGAATGGAGTGGATGTCAATGGATACATGGAAGCTGATAGAGCAGGGAGAGGAGGATGGTGAAGCAGAAGATAAACCAGTGTAGTGCAGGGATGAACAGCGACAAGAGAAACTGAGTACAATGTATAAAACAATACACTGGACAAAGAAGTGAAGAAGAGTGGGTGGAAAGACAAAAGACACTTCTACGAAACACTGGCAAGTGAAGCAGAACAGGCTGCAGGCTGGTAGGAGAGACCTGACAACATTGTATCAAATAACCAGGTTACTATGTGGGAAGAGATCAACGCAGATGAAGCGAATAAAAGATGATGTCAGAAATTTAATTACGAAAGAAGAGAAACAAAGAAAACGATGGGTTGACCACTTCAAGAAGCTCTCGAATCAACCACCACCACCCCCACCACCTGCACTTCATCCAGAAATACCATCTACAACCGCTGAACTACAAGTGAAAATAAATCCTCCAACAAAAATGAAAGTCCTGAACGCCATAAAGCTAGTGAAATGTGGGAAAGCAGCAGAACCAGATGGGATCCCACCAGAAGCACTGAAAACAGACGCAGAGACAACAGCGGACATGCTCACACAACACCATTATTGCAGAAGGTGTGGAAGGAAGGAAAGGTACCTGCCTATTGATTGGAAGAAGGGTTACTTCGTCAAACTGCCGAAGAAGGGAGACCTCAGTGTTTGCAAGAACTGGCGAGAAGTCACTCTCCTGTCCACCTAGAGCAAACAAAATGTTAAGCTGCATCATCCTGGAGAAGCTAAAGGATGCGCTAGATTCAAAATTACGACCGGAACAGGCAGGTAATTTGGAAACTGCTTCAATACTACGGAATACCGCCAACCTTTATCAGCCTCATTCAATAACTATATGAAGATGCCACATGCCAAGTAATTCACAATGCAAAGTTCAGCTCAGCGATCCTTTTGAAGTGAAGACAGGAGTGAAACAAGGTTGCCTACTATCCCCCATGATATTCCTGATTGTGGTGGACTGGATCATGCAGCAGACAACAGTGGGGAGCGAGAAGAGGGGGATACGCCGGACTGCGGAAAAGAACCTAGAAGATCTGGATTTTGCCGATGACTTGTGCCTGATGTCACACAAACTTGAAGATCTACAGGCAAAAACCAACAAGTTGTCAGAAGAGGCAGGGCAGCGAAGACGGGAATTCAAGTGAATATAGAGAAGACAGAGGTGATGAAGATACCGCACCAACAACTCCAACAACAACAACAAACTCCAGTCACCGTGAACAGGAGAAACTTGAAGGAAGTAACCTCCTTCACCTATCTAGGAAGCACCGTTTCAACTACAGGTGGAGGGACAGACGAGGATGTCAAAGTCAGAATCGGAAAGACAGCATGACAGGCGTTCATTAGCCTAAAACCAGTGTGGAGATCTTCTGCACTGCACTCAGCATGTGGAACAACATCCGGATTTTCAACACCAATTCAGTGAAGTCAGTGCTTCTGTATGGTTCAGACTTGGCGCGTTACGAAAGGGATTTCCAATAAGCTACAGACATTCATCAACAACTGCCTACACGGGCTCGCTACTGAAGATCAGATGGCCAGGATAACAAGAATAAGCAACAAGGAGCTCTGGGAACGAACCAACCAAGAACCTATCACACAACAAATATGCACTGGAAGGAAGTGGAGATGGATTGGACATGCACTGAGAAGGCCGACTGGGGACATCACGTGTCAGGCCAATTTCTCGAGTGGAATCCCCATAGGAAGCGACGAGTTGGGTGTCCGAGGCGAGGATGACATGGAGGAGATGGTGTGAGGAGGAAATGAGAGCTTGTTGGCTGTCGTGGGACCAGGTTCAAAAGATCTCAGAGAACAGATTTTACTGCAGACGTGCTACTGAAGCCGTATGTTCCATTAGGAAACCAAGGGACTAATAAATAATATAATAATTCAGGGGAACGAACATAGCGATTGTTATATGTCTTCATAACTGTGTCATTTTTGCTTTGTAATACTGAATGTTAACTAGTTTCGACACCGATTATACCAACGAAAATGTACTTCATATGTAACAGATTTTGTTTCAACTGATGTTCATTTTTCTAGTCTTGTCCATAACACTCTTCTGGAATATCTTCAATAACCCACTAGTTCTGTTCAGTCTTTTGTCACTGTGAGTAATTAGGCCTAATGTATGAATAACCAGTTTTACTATGAGTTGAAATTGCTAAACACTCCTAATTTTGCATAACTTTTGCCTGATATTTACCGATAACTTTAAAATAACTTATCATTGCTGTTTTCACAGCGTTGCCAGCTTTTGTTTCCCACTGCTTTGAAGGCAGAGCTTTCATTGGTTGTTAACTCTTTTAATCTAAATGTGGTTTTGATGTTGTCAAGGTTATTTAGAAGTTTATATATTCAACATCACTCTCAACTGCTGTGACTGTTGTTGAGATAGTAAAAGCTCTTTCTGTGTGAACGGTCGGTTTTCTTTTCTTGTCTTCGCCTGTCAGTGATATTGTTGTTGTGGTGGGTGACGTACTGATAAACGTTTAAAGTCGATTCGTTTTGGCGCTAGGTTCCAATCGCTAGTAGACGGTTAGGTCACACTACCGGTCATAGCACAAACTTTATTCATAAATGACTATATCCTAAATGGTAGTATAAATGACGAAGAATCAGTTTAACTAGATGAATGAAATTATTACCATGGAGTTTGAGAATTCTTGATTCATCCAGAACAAGGGATAAAAGAAGCAACTAATGGCAAAGTGTAATGAGAATCAACTCTTTAAGTGTCTTTACACTATGTTAAGAGCAGCACTGAATGCGTCAAGGCTCATAATCCTACTGGCTTGTTCAGGGTGAAATGGAAGGAGTGGGATTCGAGCTTTGAACTCATTACTTGAAAGCCACCTCTACAGATTTAGTAAAGGAGTTCCAAATCAATACTAAATAAATGTTAGTTTCTCTTCGACTTAAAGAAGTACTTCAAATCATTAACTCATGATGGTTCTGCTTAAACCTGTAATTGGTTGGTTCAACTTAAATCATTGATTGGGTCAATTGACTGTTAGTTGATGGGTTGGAGATAAAAATGTTGCTCTACCTATTTGTGTTCATGCAACGCTACACATTTAGTGTGACTAATCATCTAGGATATTAAACTTCTAACCATACATCACTACTAAAAATATTATTACGATTAATGTGAATCACTTAATTACACCACAATTTGTAACCTGAATAGCTGATATAACTAGAAAGTTAATTATAGTTATTGACTTACTTCAAGCAGTTTAATGAAGATTTTTGCTTCAAATCGTCGGTATATAAGGTACATCTCTGATCGATGTCCTGTATTTGTATTAAATAAAACTTCTTCAAGTTTTCTTAAACAACTTGTAGCCATTGTGTTAACCTTATTGGCTAATTCTTCCATTTCTTGATCACGACATGATTCCGCGTAATCCATGTACTCCTAATTTAATAGTTAGAGAAAAATTCACTTAGATTTAGAAACATATCTGATTAGGTAATAATATTAGGTAGCCTATTCAATTTTGATGGTACTATCTGATCAATTAATTCAGATTAGGACCTAAAGAAATATAAAAATTCACCGATAGAAGGTCAATAGTAAGTAATAGGATAAAAGAATGTGAATGTCTAAGGGACCATAAACATCACCAATAAGTTTACAAGTAGAACTTAGCTTTAATGATAAGAAACCTTGAGGAAGACCAATCAGGTTATAGATGTTGTATTCAAGGTCATCCATTACATCCCTTTTACTATACTGTTGATGCATTATGACGAAGATTACGTTGTAGGTTACTTGTAGAGAGTTGCATTGTATGCGAGAAGTCTAAATTGTGAATTTGATTTTGTCATAGACTGTGTACCTAGCAATGAGACAAGACATGATTTCATCTTTTCTTGTCTCACTTCTTACAACAAGAAGTCTTTGAGAACAGGATCAACTTTTAAAGGATCTCACCTAACTCTGAGTTGTTGAAACATCTAAAATATCACCAGGAGTTTTAACAGATATCATTGAAGTTTCTTTAGTGCAATGTGGAGATATTTGTACAGAAATAATATAAGGGTTGGATGTGCAGTTCTGGTGGGGTAGGTAATATGGTTGAAATATATGAATATCTTATTTGTAAATGAAAAAATAACCAAACATGGTGACTTAAACAGAACTGGTTAAGTTACGTACATGTGGCTTGGCAAATCATAGATTCACGGTATATACGACTGAAATGTGAAGAAACAATATTTTCTATGGATAAAGGATAAATCAAAAGGACTTATCCAAGCAGCTATAGAAAAATGGGTAGCATCGGTTACCACAATATACATAGATGCATGGAAGTCGTACATGGTAAGTATTATCTGGAATGGGTTATCCCCACCATGTTATTTCTCACAAGAAGCAGACAACTGGGCTGCACACAAACAACGTTAAAAAAATATGTTGAATCGTTTTAGAAATTTTCTAAGACCTTTATCAGACTGATGAAAGGATATGTCATGATGTCATATACATGAATGACAAAGCAGATAATGGTATGATTTCAAAAATGAAACACCTATTGAAAATTGAGAAATATCTTTATTTCCGATTTAGTACAGATTTATGAATTGTAAATAAAGTACCATATTCGTTAATAATTACGTTGTCCTTTTTGTTATTTGATTCTGATTGGTTAGTGCATGCCTGAACGTGATTCACTATCACTTAAGTTCTGTACAATTTACAAATTAAGACCAAAAATGAATGATTTTGATCTATATTAAGTAAGGCGTCAAATGTTAGACCTATCGTAATTAGCACAAAGCTTCTGTTTATCTGTACGTATTGAAATCAATGTCAACAGGTACATCAAGTATCATTCTACGGTGTGGTTGAACACCTCCAGTACAATTGTTGACCATTAAAAGTGATTTAATTCTAACACCGTATCGATTTCTAGAGTTTAACTTTCTTTAGAACGTTAATGTGTAAAGCACACATGTTACAGCTGTGTTGTGAAAGTCAGGAAATTGTTACAAAAGATAAAATATCGAAACGGTGGGGAATATTTGTAGCTCAGATGCATGGTCTTGGTTAAATTGTGTTCTATGAGCTGACTTGTTTAATCGTGAAGCTTTCATTGTCTTTCTAGACAGCGATTGGTTGTTTCCTTTGATTGTTGTATCATTGACTGATTACATAGATTTCCCTGTTAGCTGTTCCTCTGCTTGACCTGTGGTCTTTCTGTCGTTTATCATTTTTCTCATTGTTTGATAGATTGGGTCTATGTCTATACATCCATTGATTGCTGACTGATCTGAATTCCTAGAGGCTTGGCATTTATGTCAGTCAGTAATCAATAGGTGTATAGATATGGACCCAATCTATCAAACAATGAGAGAAATGATAAACAACAGAAAGATCACAGGTCAAGCAGAGAAACAACTAACAGGGAAATCTACGTAATCAGTCGATGACACAACAATCAAAAGAAACAACCGATCACAGACCACATCGTCAGAGCAAGCTGATGAATCACTCATGGAGAGATATTGAGAGATGACTTCATACTGAAGTTAGTGATGATGATGTTGCTGTCTATAAAGACAATGAAACCTTCACGATTAAACAACCCAACTCAGAGAACACAACACTACCAAGATAAGATATCGTCAGTCAATTATTAGTTTAAACGCTCATTTTTCTATTTCACTAACGAAGGAAGGTTATATATAGTTTTCCAGGACAATGAATGAATCATTGCATTGTATTCCGAAACCGGTGACTGATTAGCAACTGGATTACCCCATAACTTAATAATCTCAGACTTACTTCCACACGTAGTTATTGGATAAAACTGCCCAAGAGTTTAAGACTAGGACACAACAGTTATCTAGTGTGCTTTGTGGCTTTCAGTAGTTCTCTGTTTGGTGCCGATACATGATGAAGCGCTACTACTCGAAAACTATCAACCAGAACTTCAAACATTCATAAGAATCCAATAAAAGGGATAATTGAAACACAAAATCTTAGGAATTCAAAGCTTTTCTAATTTTGCATTTTAATGAAACTATATTAGGAAATCTATTTACAATAGTTGTATAAATAAGAATTATGGTAACTTTTATACCGACCAATCATAAGGTTTAGAAATTTGGATACTGTTTGACAATGGTGTTTGGCTGAAGAATTTTGAACAATACTGATCAAACACATTGTTCTCTAGAATTATGTTTTGAGACATGTTGAATATATCTATATTGTAAAGAGCAACTTCGATCTATGTCACTTCATTAAATAGCATGACCTGTTGGTTAGAAGACTGCGGAGAGTTTTCAGTTCACATCTGCAAATTAGACGGTAGTTGGGCATAGACAGCATACATCTTAACTATCTTAACTGCAATTAGTTAGTCTTTCCTACATAAAGCCTTTAGCATAGCTCCAGAACTATTCAATTACTCAGTTCCTCTTTGGATCATTAGTGTTTAGAAGGTAATAATGATCAAACATCATTTATCTTTTCAAATCACTAACGGTTAGTGGTGGACAAAGTAAGCGTTGATTAAAGTTTCGTATTCTCTGAGCTTTAGTATTTTTTCGTGAATGTTTCGTTACTAGGCTTGGTGACATCTTCAAGACTACCCCTATATAGACGTCCTGAAAAGTATAAGTTCTTGGTTTATTCTGGGAAGAATAATAAAGATATGTTATTCTAAACTGAAAAGAAGTTTAAACAAGTCCTCAATCAGTTGTTGAAGTAGAGTTCACTCGATGAAAATCTCTATGAGAAGATAAGATCCTTAGGTACATGTCTGCCATAATACAAAAACAGGAATAGTTTTACGCTCTATACGTCCAACTCTCCCATACCATGACCTCATTTAGCAGTTTGCATAATTAATTGATCCTATCGGGAAAAAGTAGCTCTTTACTTATTCAAGTATAGTTCTGAACTTGTTTGTAGGATTAATGATATCAAACAAGAAACATATAGTTTCTTTCAATGTTTAATCTTTGTTTAAATTGCTTTTAAGTGAGAAAAACTAGAAGTTAATAATCCAGCTGATCATTCATACCATATTGTTACTTGAGTCTTTGTGAAAACAACATGGCTCACTGGAAGATAGTCGCATCCGGTTAAAGAGTGGCAAACAAGGTGAAACATGCATCTTAGATTCCAAAGTTAGTCACTAACAATCATTAATATAAGACTATTCATACTGTTTATATATATATATATATATATATATATATATATATTCATCTGTATCCTTTTTCTTTGATCCTAAATTTTTAAGGTGTATTGAAAACCAATGTGGTCTACTGTCTACTATCACCCATGATATTCCTGATTGTGATGGACTGGATCATGTAACAAACTGTGAGGAGCGGGCGAAAACTAACAAGTTGACAGAAGAGACGATGCAGGGCAGCGAAGACAGGACTTCAAGTGAAAGTAGAGAAGACAGAGGTGATGAAGTTACCGAACCAACAGCACCACCACCAACAACAAGCTCCAATCACCAAAAACGGGAGAAACTTAAAGGAAATAGCCTCTTTCACCTATCTAGACAGGCAGCATTGTTTCAACTACAGGTGGCACAGACACAGATGAGGACGTCAAAGCAGCCAGGATGGGAAAAGCAAGACAGGTGTTCACTAACCTGAAACCACTGTGGAGATCTTCTACACTCAGCATAAAGCGTGAACAACATCCGAATTTTCAACACCAACGTCAGTGAAGTCAGTGCTTCTACATGGTTCGGAAACTTGGAGCGTTACGAAAGGGATTTCCAACGAACTACAGACATTCATCAACAGTTGTCTACGCTGTCTGGTTACTGAAGCTTATATGGCCAGAATAATAAGAATGAGCAATACGGAGCTCTGGTAGGCTGGTGACGAACCAACCAAGAACCTATTGCTCAATAACTATGCAGTGGAAGGAAGTGGAGATGGATTGGACGGGGCATGCACTGAGAAGACCGACTTAGGACATCACGCGCAAGTCCAGGCAAGGCCGTCGGGTGGAAGCCAAATGAGAAATGACGAGTTGGGCATCCGAGGCGAGGGTGACATGGAAGAGATGGTGTGAGGAAGAAATGAGAGCTTCTGGGCCTTCGTGAAGTGAGGTTCAAAAGTTTGCAGAGAAGAGAGTGCACTGGAGACGTGCTATTGAAGCCGTATGTTCTGCTAGGAACCCAAGGGTTAAATAATAACAGGTCACAAAATCTTGGATGTCAATTTTTGTATATATGAAAAGTAACAGAGATGCCTGAAAGGGTACTAATACAGTGTCAGGAAAGTAGGTGAAAATCTCAAAACCACACTGGATAAAGATGATTTTAATATTGCATCTCCATTCACTTTATTCTTGAAAATAACTTTATTGTTTTATTTCTAAGGACTTATTAAGTATTCTCATCTTTATTCTGCAAATTAATGCGATTATTCAGGTAGGGAACATCATCTAGTTTTAAACTGTTCACCTTTACAGATGGGCAAACACTCAGACAAGGATAATATAAGATGATACCACTGATCAACGCGCTTAGTGGGGACACATAGCACATAAGCATATAGAGGTGGAAGTTAAGAAAATAAACCTAATTTGAAACAAACCTATCATGCATTCTTAGTATAAATTATATTAACAAAAGAATATAAGTACTAGTAAATTAGACAGCAAGTAATCATTAAGTATTACTTTAGCGGAAACAAGTTTTCCAGGTTCTTTTTCTTTGAACAATTTCGCTTTTGAAATGATATATCCAATACGATCCAATGTAGTGAAACAATGATCAATCTCTTTGACATTATTTTCAGCACATTTAAGACGCTTAGTTTAAAAAAATAAAAACAAACACTTGAAACATAAAGATCATCTTCAAACATTCAATGAATTAACAAATATGTATTGAGCAGAGTGCTATGATAAACAAATAACTTTAAAGGTTGCCGTGGTAACCGCAGAAATGATCAATTAGGTCTCATCATTTCGCCTAGTTGCTAGAGTGACTTTGAGAGTCATTCATAGTAAACAAGAGTGTGGAAAAGCAATGTAATGGTTTCATACGCCTGAACTGTAAGCTTAACAAATATCTTACTGATACATGTAGAGAGACTCCTATGTTCACCCTAGCAACCTCTAATTTCAGCAATTAGGTCTGTATTATTTTGGCTGGGATGTCACTTTTCATAAAATGAATATGCTTAGTTATTTTACAAGATGTTGGAGTGACCTTCAGAGTCACTCTACATATGATATTTCATTGTCATCACATTCCGGTTTTCTATTATTACATTGACTACAGCATTGGCTTCATGCACTCACAAAACATAAATGTTTAAGAAGCGACTTTAAAGGCAACCCTAGCAAGGGCTGAGATCACCAATTGGATTCCTGAATTTTGTGAAAAAACCATCCGTCCAGCTGAAATATAGGAACCTAATTAATTATTACTGATGAGTGACTCTGCAGGGCATCATAGTAACTTCTGCGGTGACTACTAACGTTTCTTTATTTCATGAAAAACTAGCCAAGCCTAAATGACGAAATTTGACTCGTTATTTCAGCGGTAGTTACTCTAACATATGGAGTTACTCTTCTCATTATTCCCTTCTCAATTACAGTTTGTATGTGCATGACAGGATCAAATTTAGTCCAACTTAGTGGGGACTGAAACAAAGTTTGTTGTCAGATTTCATGTCCCACCTTCCCACTTTGTATTTGACTTATCTTCCAATCAAATTCGAAGAATTATGCAATTTGACTGGCAGCAGCAAATCTGAAAGTTATATCAAGGAGTATGAATTCATCAAGAGTTACAAGATCTTGGTGGCTAGTAGAGGAATCCAGGCTTCATATTCCGTCTTATTTGGGACTCAATAACACTCTGACAAATCTCTGGTTTCTGAAAGTAGGTTTTGGATCAGGAAACTGATAGTCGTTGAATTAGAAAGCATAAAACCGTCATTAATATAGGGTACGGCTGCATTTAATACAATTCATTTCGTCTTCGTACACTATGAGAAATGGCTTAATAACCAAAAGTGTACAATATACATCATAGCTCCTTCATTCAGTGTTGTTCGACAGATATTTGAATTTTCTTTTGTATATGTTAAGGCATATAGTTGGTTATGGTCGATCAGTATATTTCTTCTTCACTAACGAGGACTACTTTGAATTCATTGGCAGTTGTCTCATTCTTGTCGATTTTGATAAAAATCACGAGTAAAATAGTTAAAGTCTTTACCTTCATGAGTTGGTAGTGACTGACATGAACTTTATCGTTATTCCCACTACTTTAGCTTTCATAAGCAACGAAATAGCATAACTCAGTGAATTTCTGTATTTCCTAACACCACAGTTTATGTTTGGTGAAATCTCGACTTTCAACAGTAAGCATAGGAGGTTTCAGTGTACAGTCACGGTTTTTTTAGCAAAAAAGTAGGCACATATTCAAAAGTGCCCATATGCATAAGCAATCATTCCATAAACACCCGCTTAAAATAAATACACACGAAATAAATGCAATACGATTCAAAAATATCTTCTTCAACATGCTCTAACCAACTACTTAATTATAGTAAGTAGTAAAACATGGAAAGTGTAAAAAGGATACAAGCGTAAAGTCAAATCGAGTTAACAGTCTATATGATACATACAACGTTTCTAGGTTGTTGCTAGTGGATAACGGTCTGGTGTTTCAATCAGTAGTTCTCAGGTTTAAACGTTAGTGGGAACAGCAGCGCTCACTGTTAGGCAGGTACATCCAGCTGACTAGTCCTAAAACAGACGAAACGTGCGTCTAAGATCCCACTGCAAACTATTATGCAATATTAATATAATTCATGTTTTCCTACAGTGTTAGTTCATCCATAGCTTTGATTATTCATTCTGTTACAATCGTATTTTTCTCATCAACTTTACATCCGCAGACATTAGTATATGTCAATGTTCCGAATTCTGTCGGGCTTCATTCCGTTGTTCCTTGATGCTCTTTTTTTACCCCGAACATTTGCTTATCTCGTGTCTTTTGTCTCATCATGAAAATCCGCATGTTTCTCATATTTTCCTCCTGTTCACTTTGGGCAGAGGTTTGCTGTTCATATTGTTGATAAGCTTCTTGTAAGGTGCTTTCGATGGTGGTAAGCCTAAAGACACCTTACGATTCAACGTCTGTAATTTATTATTCATTACTGTTTATTAACAAAGTATTGTACCACAGACAAATCCTGCCTTTCGGATCTTATGTGACTGTCATGCAAAAGCGTTCAGGAGCCCTATCCTGCTTGCTTACAAAAGGATGACAGTGAAGCGGTAGAAATTGATATAACTGAACACATTGCGAACAGACGTGACTCTGTAGTAAAATGGATAGTGGCTAGCAGTGGAATCCAGGATGTGCACTTCGTACTATTTGGGACTCGTCAGCTGGATTTGCCTGCCTCCCAGTGAGTAATGATATTGTTCCCAATGTAATTCGGACTCTGGAGTGAATGCTTCAAACACCAGAACCAATATACTAATAGAGACCACTATATTCGGTCCACTCAAGGACGGTATAATATAAGTAATAACACTAAAACTATACCCGTCGCACAACAAGTGGCTATCGTGGCTCAGTGGTGTAGTGGGTAACGCTCTGGCGTTTGAAGCAACCGTCTCCAAGTCCGCATCCCGTCGGGAACAACATCACTGCTCACTGGGAGGCAGGTACATTCAGCCGACGAATTCCAAATAGGACGGACTGCGTATCCTGGATTCCATTGCTAGCTACTATCCATCTTTACCATAACTAGGACATAGGTATGTCGAAGAATCGGTACAGAAGCCCATATGCTAATAGAGACGTCACTCTATCTCAAGAACCTTGTCACAATGAAAAGAAACTTCCCAAAGGTTGTATGTTTCCGCATTATCTGCATCGTCGAAGCCTTTGCTACGCGGAAGAAAAAGAATCCATCCCTTCTTCATTCATGGCCTTAATTTTCAACCTTTGATATCACCTCTTTCCTTGAACACTGTACCCTTCTTACCTAATCTACAATTCATTCTTCTGCCTATACTCTTTCTAGTCACAATTCAATTTTCAAATTATTTTTTTCATGATACGAAACTTCTTATCCAAACTTATTAGTCTGTACACAACTCCAGTCATATTCTGATAAATCTTCATCATTAATCCCAGATTTTTGTATTCAATGAGAGCTGGTGCATTTCATGGCATATTTTTTTACCATATTTGACAAACCATTTTTAACTATCAAACGCTAACATAAGAAAAACCGTGTAAATTTGAGATTGTAGAGTTTTTAGAATGAAATTATGGGAGGGGGTGGGGGGAGGGAAATCTTTACTGAAACAACTGTTCTTCTTTCATAGCTACCTTTCTTCTGCCTTCTTGCTATGTACTGAGTGAATTCATTTCAATGTGCTAGTAAAACAGTACTCTTGTATTGCATCATTTCTACTCATCTAAAATTCTAAATTCTATTAACCTGTATACCTTTTTAGATCGTTATCATGCTTCAGTGGACTAATATTCTTGTCTTTATGTGAGCCATCAACACTTCAACCTTATCTTTTCACCAACCCCCCCCCCCCGCATTTTTATTGATAATTCTTACTTACACTTCCAATCTGATTGATGATATGATCAACATAAATGAAAAGAAATCTATCTTACGAATCTAAGATAAAACTTTTCAATTCTGCCAGTATCAAAATACTGTTGAACACAAATGACTCTGAGTTTCCATTATCCCTGATAGTCTCTTATAGGTACCAATGAATGTGTACATTGAGAGGAAACAAAGAACCCTTTGTGATAAATAATAAAAGTGAACTGATAGAGTCTACATTAAATCTATACTTCATAAACATATAAAAATGAGAATCAAGATATTTCTATAGTTTACTCACTTGATTACAATATTCTAAGTATTCGTCTATCACCAAACTATCCCAATTAATATAATAGACACCACGATCGATTGTAGTAACCAAAGCTTGAAGACTTTCACGCATTAAGCTATGCTTTATAGGTTGATTAAAATAATAGAAACATGTTTATTGATGCATAGAAACAGTTTCTAAATGATTTACTCGTAAAATTAATCAAATAGAAATTGTAAACCATTCCATCATTTTGCCAGTTTATATTTCCTATTGAAGTGGGACTACTTAAGTCATGGTTGATAAATAACTTTAAATACCATTCTAAGAATGACTGGAATAGCCAATTTTCATAAAATCAACAATTCAAACTGTTCTATTCAGTAGTTGTTAGGATGACCTTTAAGGTATTTGTCGTTCATCAGACCAGATTAAATAGTCTGTTTAAAAACCTATTCCAAATCATTTATATACCATTTAGGATGATAAGATCTAGTTGTGTAGCTAAGATAATGATCATGATCTGCATACAGAAAGGTGGAATAAAACGTTTAGTAGTTGGAGCACAAATGAAACACTATTGAACTCCTTACTCATAGACTAGTGGTCCAAAAGCAGCAATGCACTAGATTTCTTTTTAATTTTCATTGTAATCTCTACAATAAGCTTAATTCAATGATCAATATCATTCTTTTGTTTAAAATTGTTTACCTTGATAATTAATTCTACTCATCTCAAATTTTAAATTCTACTAACCTGTATACCTTTTTAGATCTTTATCGTGCTTCAACTCAATTTCAGTGGACTAATATTCTTTTCTTTATGTGAGTCATCAACACTTTAAACTTATCTTTTCACCATCCAATTTTCATTGATAATTCTTACTTACACTGTTAAACATTCATCCTTAATCTCCTTTCGATTATGATTGTAAATTCAGCGTAGATCTCTATACAGAGACTAGTAGTTAATGGTCTTCTTAATATCCTAATTGATAATACCTTTTGAATAATAAAGTATTTAGGTATTTATCAAGTCATTAGTACTCAATCTAGATTATCTCCACTAAACATTTCTACATTTTTTAAACTGTTACATTTTGTGCATAATATTCTGTTTATACAAGGAAGAAAACGTCAGTATATGGGAATAATTTCCACGACTAGGTGGTAAAGTGAAATTTTGAAAAAAACAATTATTTAGCATTGTCTAAATTTGAAACTCCAGCTTCTATAACAGCCACTAGGCAGGTACATCGATCCCACGATAAGGGGTGATACAGATGCCAACCAACCACGTTTAAAAGCGTCTAAAGTCCATCCTAGCAGCTACCGAAATAACCAATCAGGTTTCGGTATTTAGTCTAGAGACGTAGTTTTCCATAAAGCAAAGAGCAGTTGTCACTTATCTAAATAGTTGTTCAGATGGTCTCTAAAGTCATTACATTTCAAAAATAGTTTTATTAGCTACCTAAGATATGTACCGCTTTGATGGTATGATGTGCAAAAAAGAGTATTTCTAAAGCCTAACCTAATAACTACCGAGATAACCAGTTAGATTCCTTTATTTTATAAAAATACTAACCTTCGGACTCAAAAGAGAGAAACATGATTAGCTACTTCAGTTGTTGTTAGGGTGTTCTTTAAACTTATGTTAAAAAACAAATAATTTCGAAAACCACCTTAGCAATGAGTGAAATAAACTATCAGTTATTTTAGCTTATTGAAAAAAAACCTAATCTTTAAATGAAAATTACATGATTAGTGGGCACTGTAACTATGTTATGTGTCCATAAATGTTTTTCCAATTCACCTAAGCTTTCATTATCAGGTGGGTTAGTTTAGGAAGTCAACATTTACAACTGAATATGTAATTCTAAGCAAAATGGATTTCACTGATAACTTTTCTTTATAGTTTGCTTATTAGTGGCCAGTGTGAAATATGTTATTTTCTGAATGAATGTAGTACACTCCTTAGAACTAACAAGCATTATACCCTATAATGCTCATTTTCTATCAAACTGTATTCAACAGTTATGAAATATTGAGCACAGAGTTGTATATTTGCTTTTGGATGATTGAGGATAATCAAATAAAATCATCTGATGGCTTGGTTGAAACAAATATGGCATTATATAATACATATGTTTTGGTTGTAGTGTGTTCTTTGAGCTGGGCTGTTTAATCGTGAAGCTTTCATCGTCTTATTAGACGACATCATAAGCAGAAATCAAGATCAGACTACTAAGACCACTTGGAATTGGTGTGGTCACTCATAAACCAACAAATTCCCTCTAAACAATATAATACAGACCAAAGGATGCAATAATCAAAGAAGACAAACCGAATATGATTTACAAAATCAACTTCAATAACTGTAGTCAACACTACATTGAACAAAGTAGTCACCCTCTTCGCCTTTGTCTACATGAACACCATTTGACTACTAAACGTTACACACGACATTTCATCATTCATTTCAATGCATATGGATAATTATGGACATGAATTCGATTTTGACAATGTAGAAATTTTGGACAGAAGAAACATAAAGAATATCAGAGAATTCCTAGAAGCTTGGCATTTATGTCAGTCAGTAATCAATAGGTGTATAGATATGGACCCAATCTATCAGACAATGAGAAAAATGATAAACAACAGAAAGATCACAGGTCAAGCAGAGGAACAACTAACAGGGAAATCTATGCAATCAGTCAATGACACAACAGTCGAAGGAAACAACCAATCACAAACCAGGTAACCAGAGCAAGGTGATGAATCACTCATGAAGAGATATTGAAAGATGACTTCATACTGAAGTTAGTTATGATGATGTTGCTGTCTATAAAGACAATGAAACCTTCACGATTAAACAAGTCAGCTCATAGAACACAATTTAACCAAGACCATCCACCTGAGCTACAAATATTCTCCACTATAATACTTATGTTTTTCTACTTTCTGATTTCTTTTCACTAGAATGAAATTAGATGTACTACAACTACTTCAGATCCACCTTTGATGAAATCTTTTTGGCTTAGTTCCAGAGATAATCAATCAAATCTTCGGTAAAGCATCAGCAATTTGAGCGATAAGAAGAACAAAACGTAGGTTTATGGTTTCTTATGACTAACTGTTCAACTCCAGATACTTCTTATAATTTAAATCATTTGCATTTATGATTCCCGATGATAAGTGAAGACGTAATGAAAATCTGAGTTGGAGTAGGATTCGAACCAGCAGTCTGATGTACAAACCACAATTATCTCAGACAGTTTCACTGATAATCTTTTACATTTAATCAAAATTGTCTCAGTGTATTCTATTTATCTTAGAAAAGAACCCATTATTATCATGTTATTATTATGCTTAAGTTTAGTTGGAGTGATGAGGTATTATAAATCATTAAAACAAAAACAGAGATTACCTTCAGAGGGTCCATTCCTTGCCTGATTGCTTCATATCGATCAACCATACGTTGTAAATTTAATACAACATTTTGATAATAATTATTCTAGGTACAAAAAAGTAATGAGAACAACTTGATTACGAAAACATTAAAAATTTTAAAAGTATAGGTTGTATGTGAATTCATGGTTACAGAAATTATCTGAGCTGTTGGCTGAATTCCATTTCCTGCTAGATAAAAGTAACAGTTCATTCTTCTGAAAGATGTTAAGTGATAAACCATAGCATATATCTGTGTGTAACGTTATTTAGAGACTCCATATGACGAATATATCCTCTAAGATACAGTACAAATGCATATTGTTCGTATCAGTTTGTCTGTAACATGTGAAAATGTGCATCCATACATATTTTTCTTTATGCCTGAAAACGTCAAAATACCAATACTGAATGAATTTTCTAATCAACCAACGTGACTTTTAGGATGACCTATAAACCCACCTGATCAACCTAACAAGTAAACAATTTAATAAGAAGTCTATGTGGATTTTATTTTGAAGGTAGTATTCATCACGGACTATTATCAATTAGAGAACCTTGAAAAACTTGGGAAATAAATAAACTTCGTGTTAACCCCAAATTAAATTACTGTATAGTGATCAGTAGTGACATGCTTCGAGATGAATATCCCAAAATTCTAATGAGAAGCTGTGAACTGTAGGGTCAACCAGTCAGGAGTGAAGTAGATGGCAATTGATGACATCGCGAATTGAAGGAAGTAGGAAACTATGGACCACTGAACTCCGAGTAAGTGGCTGGATGGTTAACGAGTTCATCGTGAAACCTGAAGGTTTTGTGTTCGATCCCTCGTGTGCATGCTGCTGAGGATGCAGACATACAGCAGTCCAGTACCCCTAAGTTTCCAATGATTCCCTAACTGATGTCACTCCGTGGTAAATAATACCCTAAAAATGAAACAATTATCTCTAAATTATAACTTGATGGTGTTCCGAGGCACCCACCCATATGGCAACAGAGGTCATTCAATCCGATCCCGTATAACAATGGAGAATTACAAGTATATCAACAAATAGTAATAACTAGTAATCGTTGTACAAGAGGTGGCTCATTGGCCTAGTAGATGAAACCTTTACGTCTAAGGTAATGGTTAAGAGGTCCAAGTTCCATTAGGTGCAGATACATCCAGCTATAGAGTCCCAAATAGAATGAAACGCGCATCCAGGATTCTACTACTAGTCACAACCAAGTCAATCACAATTATCTTTAAAGGTCACCAAAAAGAAAAACTTCGAAGAAGAAAATATCTTTCCAGTTAAGATAATGACATTGAATTGGTTACTTCATTTAAATTATGTGAGATATCATCGCATTTAGTACAAAAATTTTTAGTATCGTACAGCTATCTAGTTGATAATATGTCTGAATAATTCAAAGCTACAGAAAGGTGATTACTTCGTAGACATACGGTACAATGGAATAAATCATTTGTTCTGAAAGAATCGACAGTCATCATTTTATGATTATGGTACAGTTAGTATTCGATGATACAGAGGTATGCGAAAGAAATTACCGTTTTTTTCTCTCGTGAAGTAAACCTCTACTTAAAAGAAACATATAATTCAATGAAGGATTTCAGTAACGAAATCTAACTGGATGTATCACTGCTAATGATTGGGTTTGTTCACTGTAAATTATTATATTTCGTAAAAAAGCAAAATTTTCTTCTTACACGTAGCCCTAAAATTCGACCGATTTCAGGCAATGAAAAACCAAATAATTCCATTCTTGAGGCTTCTTGAATTATACTCCATAGTCTTGAATCAAAATTTACTTCATAGACTGGTAATAAACCTGAAAAATATTTAAATAGATTTTCGTAATAACATTATTTGAGTAGTAAGGTAAGTCAAGCTAAACTTATTTCACATTATAAATAAGTACTGTTAAGTATGTTACAGAAATATTTATATCTGGATTGACATAATTGATGACACTTAAAATCTAACCGAAACGACATTCTCTTTCCTTCTTTGTTTCAGTTAAGTGTGGCGATCAGCACATCATATTTCTTGACCTAAAAACGATATTAAACTTTGTGGATCGAGAAGTATTATGATAGTGTCCGACTGAGAAGAGAGTACCAAGCAGGTATGTAACGTTAATCAAAGCCCATGAACTCACACGACCACGTAAGGGCTTATGGACAGTTGTCATCAATTTAGATGACAACTAGTAATGTTCACAAAGAATGCCCACTGTCACCGTTCCTATTTAACTTCGTTATAGATGTATTAATGGACACAACTGTAGTTACATCTGACTTCACAGGGATTTATCTACTCAATGAAGGCCATGTGGTTGACACGGAGTAAGAAGACGATATTATGTTGGTAGATGAAGATGCTAACAGAATGCATTATCTTCTGAATGCCTTGAGAAGAAATCTGAGTTTACTTGGCATGCCTTTCATACTTGTCAAGAGAAAAATAGTTCTTTAAAACTGGTCTTCAACTGCTCCCAGTTTACGGGCAGAATGTATTGACTGTTTCACTTGCAGAGTTACATCTGTCCACATGGGTTGGTTTTTGACGAAACCCCGGTTTGAATACAGAATGCCAGCAAGGCTTATTCCAGCTTGCGAGACATCTGGTTACCTTCAGCACCACTATCCGCTCAGTTATACGTCTATGAGACATGGCTATTAAAAGTAGAAGACATGAAGAGACTACAGGTGTCTTCGTAACACTTCTGACTTGTAGTGAAACCACGATTTGAGCAATGTTGAGGTCAGGTGAAGGGTACTAGACTAGTCAGTCGATGACTGCTGGGAAAGTTCAGTGACTGAGGTGACTTGAATATGCATCACGTGTACCAAGCCACCCCTTACCTTCATGTGTAGTGTTAGTTGAAGTAGGATTGGGTTGGAAGAGAGTACACGGTGACGAGACCAAGCTGTGACACCAGTTCAAGCACTCTGTGACTGTTAATCTGAGATGTGTAGCGTGATGCAGACTCCCAACAATCAGTGTTTACTGACTCTCGGTTACATGGCTGAAAATCGGACGCAGTAGCACAGATGCATTCACTCTATGACTTTTTGTGAAGCTTAAACATTATTGTTACTCTTCATCACTTTCAAATTCCTCCTCCTTCCATACACATCTTTCTACTTTGATATCAGTAATCAGAATCAATATAGGACCAGGCATTACTGCATAACGGTCCAAGCTGTCACATCTCATATCATACAATTCTTTTTCTGCTCACTTATTCTTAACATGGTGCAGTAAAGTGTAGCAATTTAAACCAATGCACTTGTTTACGATGTTCCGTGGTGATTTTGTCTGTCTTTCAATCAGCTGAATGACTAGCAGCTTTAAGAAAGCATAATTTTAAGTTATCTTGAGGTAGAAGAGTACCTCTCCTCTGCTAAAGAACTGAAAGGGGGAACGAGCGATATATTGGACTAGTTTCATGTCTTTTACGGTACACTCTTATCACAGGATTTTCTAGTTCATCTATGTGATAAATTTCACATTCAGTTACAAACTCTAATGTATCCATTTCATATACGGATTGAATGCCCGATTACCTTACCTAACCTCTTTGCGATTGAAGCAAAAGCCTTATACTCACTGCACTTGTTATTTGTCATCAAATTCATGCATATATATATATATATATATATATATATATATATATATATATATAACGGAATTGTATACTCGTAACCTACCATAGTTCATAAAAATGAAATAATTGATTTCATGCACTGATTAAACAGGCGGTTGTTTAAAAACTATCCGTCACACGGAAATGAATAAGTTCTTGAACTTACCTATATAGTATGTCTACAGAAGAAACTTTTAGATAAAATATCTTTCTATAAATTAATAGACTAATATGATTAATCATATTTGTTTGACACTCCTTATATCATTTCTTTGTTTTGTATAACAACTGAAATCACCAAAAATGTTCAGTATTTCAGTAAGATAACTGTCGATAACCAGACATACCATCTAATATCTCTAATCCCTGATTTCTTATTTCCCTGAATTCCATACGAATATTGTTACTTATTTTTGTTTCTTTGGCATCCTGTTTTGTTTTTAAATTGATTTGAAATGGTAGCCAAAAATGAAATATCATGATATTTGATGAAATTACCCATTTAAAAAACTATAGAACTTCTCCTAATGATATATATATGTATATATTCCAGGCAAGTTAGAAAAATCAACAAAACAATGCAGAACTACTTATGAAAGTACACCAGTCAATGTTTTCGTTTTATATATACTAAAGGTATGTTTATGTATTTATACCACCAAAATGTAGTACAAAAATCTGTACTTTTTCAGTAGCATATTACTAAGAGTTGAATGTAACTAGAGTATTCAACATAGCTTTAGAATATGTTTGTTTCATAGGAAGTAATTTGTTATTGAAGGTTGATAGCGTATAGGATCTGACCAGATCCTTATAAAATGCTCTAAACCACTGAAGTCTTTTACAAACAATCATGTTGCTTCGAAAATTCGAGAAAAAGTATATGAACCAACGTGTAAAAATCATATTGCTTGAAGAGGTGAAAACCAATAAGCTATACCATTCTAGAAAAGTCTACAAAACGTCGAGGCCATTGTAAATAAATATAAACCATGATATATTGTATACACTTTAAATTTGTAATACACCTTCTGCTATATTACCGCCTTTCCTATTTACCAAAGAACTGAGCGACCATCAAGGGTGGAATCCGAAGGGGGGCTGTTCAAATATATATATATATATATATATATATATATATATATATATATACATTAAAATCCTATTTAAGCAGTCATGAAATATAACCAGTTCTAACTTACATACTTTCAAATCAAGTTTTAATCATTGACTATTTATTATATACCTATGCAACTTCAATTAATCAGTCGATTGCTAACCATTACTTTCTCAGGAATTTATTCAATTTGAAGACAAAGTTCTGTACAAGACATTATCAGGTAATGGTCAGTTGAAAACTGGACAGAATTGCAGAGTTACTTCTCCTTAATATGGAATTATTCGATGTAGTATATCTGCAGTTTCACGCTTGATTACATAGTGGTATTCAAGGCCTTTCATTAATCATGAATCTTTTCAACCACAAGCCTGAACAACAACTTGTTTTTCAGGGGTTTGTGGGGATTTAGTGATTTTCCAAGTTGATATTCATCTTGGACTAACATTAATCAGAGGAAGATTGCAAAGCTGTTTCGTCCCGTATGAGACTCCTCAGTAGTGCGCACGATCATCACGCTAGGGATCTAACCCAGGACCCTCAGGTTCCGTGACCATCACCTTACCATTAAGCCACTGGGTCAGGATTTAATGGTTCATATTTTCAACTGCCATCAGTTTACGATATTACGTGACCATCACTCGATGTCATCGCTGAATATTTGTTTTCACGGCTATCCACTGCTCCCAGGTTTCTAATGTTCCTCCAACTGATGGTGATGAATACCTACTTGAAAACGTCGCATTTTATAAACGATTCCTTCAGGGTGATCAAGTTGTCATAAATGCTTCTTAGAAGATGTATGATTCTTTACTACAGCAGATATAAATCAGAATTAATGGCTTTTGTACTCATATCAGGGAATCGATTTGCAGTGTTGCAAAGTAATTGAAAGTAATGTTTCTGTACCTTTGTGTGTAAGATAGCCTGTTAACTTTCAGACCTGAATTTTCTACGATGAAATGTGACAAGATGAGGTAGTATCTTAAATGCAGTTCCTTGTTTTGGTATTCCTGTCGTAAAACTAGTGAAGTAAATAAGATTAGTTTTTATTTTGAAAGAATATAAGCACAGAATACTTAACTAACTTTCTTGATTTGTTGCTGATGTCGCCAGTGATGTACGTTCTCTACTAGTCAATGATATAATTGAACCGTGATTACGAGGTAAATGTAGAGATGATAGTTGTTTTATTAGTACTTGCATTTGGTTCTGTACTTTGTTTGCTGTTCTAGATGCATGTGGTGTTGAAAGTAGTGGAGGGGGTGTTAGCACTGTACCTGGATTTTTCTTACAACCTGCCCACCATGTAGGTGGTGGAAATATACTTTGAAATGTCTAAAAAAACCAATCGAAAAGAAAGAAGTGTGCAAAGAAAATTGGAATAACAGTCTTTTGTAGGTCATAATTTATATTGAAAAGCAGGGCCGTATGGAAGTCATCCAAAACTAAATGAAAATAGAGGAAGAAACAATAGCGGACATGCTCACATCAAACCACTATTCCAGAAGCTTCAGAAAGAAGGAAAGGCACCTATCCACTGATTGCAAGAAGGGATACATTCTCAGACTCACAAAGAAGGGACACCTAAGTCTCTTTACAAGAACAACAACTAACGCACAATCATGCTCCACTCCTGTCCACTCAAAGCAAGCAAAATATTAAGCCACATCATCCCAGAGAGAGTGAAAAATACTCTCGATTCAAAATTACGACCGGACAGGGCTGGGTGGCTGGCTTCAGAAAGAGCAAATCACATGCGGATCAAATTGTAATACTACACTACATGTCATCATAGAACAGAGTATAGAATAGTAGTCAACTCTCTACCTTACCTCAAATTCATCGACTTTGAGAAGACCTTCGATCGAAGCGTCGACTGAGAAGTAATTTGTCAGCTGCTGCTTCAACACTACGGTTTCAGTGTCACAAATATTTATCAACATCATTCAACACCAGGTGTATGCTATATGATGAGGTTACATGTCGAGTGATTCACTGCACAATGGAAAGCTCATCTGAGTGATGCATTAGAAATGAAGACAGGAGTAAGATGAGATTGTCGCCTACTATCACTGATCACCTTCCTGATTTTGGCCAAGTCGGCTGGATTAAAAGGGACTGGACTGGATCATGCAAGAAACAAATGTACAGAAGACGAAAGTGGAGATGGATTCGATTGAACATACACTGAGAAGATTGTTTGGGGACATCACGCGTCAGGCCAGGCCGTCGAGTGGAAGCTAAATGGGAAATGACGAGTTAGTCTTCTGGGGTGAGGATGACATGGAGGAGATGGTATGAGGAAGAAATACAAGGTTATAGTCAGTGGTGTAGTCAGGTTCGAGAGACTGGAAGGAAGAGGGTGAGATGTTGACGTGCTACTGAAGCCCTATATTCCACTAGCAACACAAAGGCCAAATAAATAAATTATATTGAAAATGTTGCTAGTTGGAAAAGAAAAGAAACCATTGCTCTTAGTTCTGCAATAATTACATTTATTTCAGATATTTTAGATACTTTTGAAATAATGTATACTTCACTTATTAGTGTTAACTGACATCCACTGATCAAGAAAACTTCATATTGAATACCATCTTTGAAACACCGTTCCCAACCGTCTGTCTTGTATCTCTTTACAAACTAAAGTTGGTCAACACTCAAAATATATGTTGACCATAATAATATCTACGAAGTTACATGACCTTATCCATGTTTGTACATTGAAATAAGATAAAGATAATTATTCATCTGGATTGTCAAATATGTGTGAAACGATCTAAGACTGAAGAAATCCCAATCACTGCTGAATAGAACAACTCTACACTTGACTAAATTGAATTGAATTTCTCTCTGGCTGTAAGAATAATAAATAAATAGAATGCTCAGATATTATTTCTATTAGCTGAGTCACTGACCTAACTGATACTTTCAAGAAGAATCGATTATGCTAGTTCTCATTATTGACGTGATGACGTTATATGTTCTCTTCTCGTTTTTTTGTGTATTCATTGATGTTTATTCATTTGTAATCCATGTTTATTAAGCCATCTATTACTCTATAACTCATTTCCAAATGTTTCATTCTACTGTTTATGAACATTGTCCATTAATTCGCGTACTTTTATATCTAGCTCAGTTGATACAGCATCAGAACGGTAATCCGGGGGCCATTAATTGAAACCCTGCTACAAAACAGGTTTTCCTTTCACCTTCAATCACCACCCTTTAACAGTAATTTAAAATAAGAATTTATTTCAACTGTAATTAGCAAATAGAGTTTCCATGTACAAAAGATTTTTCTCTGCCAAAACTCCAACTTTATTTATATTTCTTGAATGATAGCTAAAATATGTCACTATGTTTACTTCATGCCGATGCTTTGTATGTTCTGAGCTATCAGCAGTTGAAGATAAGTCAATTGACTTTATTCCGAAAGTCAAATCATGATCGCTTTTTTAGTGAGACCGGAAAACATTAGATAAACTATACGCATAGAAGCCCATTTGCCAACAGAAGTTGAAAGATTCAACCCAGTATCATGACAGGAAATCATGTGTCAAACAATAACTGATACCCGTTGCACCATTGGTGGCTGTAGTACCTTAGTGGCTGAGTGGATAACACTAGCAGCGATGGGGCTGAGTTCGACTCATAGTGGAAGAAAAATCACCCACTGGAGTGGATGTACATCCAGCTGACGGGTCCCATGTGGGGAGAGATGCACATCTGAATTCCACTTCTAGCCACAAGGTAGATTACAATATATGCATAAAATTTTAGTTACATTAGTATTGGCAGTGAAAACGTTATTCAGATCACCATATTACTCAAATAAAACAAACTACCAATTCTTCAAATGTTAAGGTTGGATCGTGGTTAGCAGTGGGATCCAGGATGCGCATTTCGTCCTATTTGGGACTCGTCAGCTGGATGCACCTGCCTTCCAGTGAGTGATGTTGTTCCCACCGGAGCCCACATGCTAATACAGACCGATCAATTTGGTCCAATCTACGACGGTATCATACAAAAACCCGTATACTAATTCTTCCAATGTTAAATGTAACTAGTTATTACATTCACTATAATACACGTCATTACCTACCTGGTCAAATGGAATAGGGTCGATGCATTTCGATAAAACTGGTTGATTCAATCGTGGTCCAATATCAGATGAAATTTCCGATTCCCAAGCTTTATGCAGTGTTTGTTCGTATTTACGTAATTCTTCTACTAAAGTAATATACCTCACTTTAACCTGTATCATGAATAAATATATATATTGAGAAGAAAATTATATAAATTCTAGTTAGTTAAGAGATACTTAACACTAAGTAGGGAATTATGATCCTTCTATTCAAGTCGTTAAACAAAAAGAGACACGACAGAAGTGACTGATATACTGGCCCAATCGACGTGGTTGAAAAGTAGGAAGTACATCTCTCGTATTTAATATGCATAAATGTTCAAAGTCCTTGAGGATCAGATGAACAAGTGACTCAGTAAAGCAAACTTCTATCAGCTGATATAGTTCATCAGTCAAGAGCGGTAAAAATGGATAAAATATCGATGTAGCACGGTGCGAAGAGCAGGATTACAATCTGGAAAAATTAAAATGGCCAATTATAAACAGCGAGTGAGAATAATTGCCTATATTTAACAAAATTACATTGATGACAATGTACATTCATGAGATATTACAGTGCAGTACGTTTTATTCTGAAAGATTGCTAGTGACCTACACATTTAGGGATAACTTAGAGTTGACCTTGTAGTAGATAAATCAATTCAAAGTTGAAAATTTCACATAAAACAAGGAGATAACACCTGAGTGGGAATAGATATTTACGAAGTGACGTTTACTGAGTAACGTTTACTTTCTATTGTCTACTTTATAATGGATATTAATCGAATTAATCGATTCTTATAAAATGGATGCGCATTGAATATTCTTCATTTAGGATAAATAGCAAGTTACCATTGTCCTTAAAACTATTTAACGTTTTTACTGAACTTGAGATTGATTAAAACAAATTAAATAATAAAGCTGAATGATTGGTTAGCGTGATGAAATGACATTTCTATGAACTACCATCTGACCATGAAAATGGATTATATATTCACCACTCAACATTTAATTTTATCCCTAGCCTATCTCTTAGGACTATCGATATTATTTGTTTGTAACTGTTTGAAGGTTTCTACTTCCGTTACCGACTAATTTAAAGGTAGGATTCATCATATCAGTTGGAGAACCATTGAAAACCTAGAAGCACTGAACAACTGTTTCGTCTTATGAGGGGACTCATCAGCAGCATACACCCACGACCTCAAGTCTCAGAGAACTCGTTAACCATTCAGAGACTGGGTTGGGGTTTAATGGTTCACAGTTTCATACTTTTTTTTAGTTCATGATATAGCACGACTATTACCCAAGTTCTCCAACTGGCATCCGCGTCCCTTTTGACTTGTTGGCCTTATGGGTCACGGCTTTTACTGAGGAGTCCCATACTAGAACGAAACAGCTGTCCAGTGATTTCAGGTTTTCAGTGTTTCTTCAACTGATGTCAGTCCGTGATGAGTACTACCTACAAATTAAAATCTCCATTCACCCCAAACTACATTGCTGTATAATACTCATTAGTAACATGCTTTGAAATAGAAATCCCGAAGCTCTGATGAGAGGCCGTGACCTGTGAGGTTAATCTGCGGGAAGGGAAGTGGATGCCAGCTGAAGACCTTGGATAGTAGTCGTACTATATCGTGAATTGACAAAAGTTGGAAATTGTGAACCACTGAACTCCGACCCATTTGTTGAATGGCTAAGGAGTTCGACATCAAACCTGAAGGTCGTGAGTTTGATCCCTAACCGGGTCGTAGGTGCGTACTGCCAAGGAGTCCTCTACTAGGACGAAACAGCTGTCCAGTGCTTCTAGGTCATCAGTGATTCTCTAACTGATGTTAGTCCATAATGAATACTACCTCAAAATTAAAATCCCTATTCACCTCAAAACGATCAATTTGTTACGAAATTAGTAGAGTCAAGCATTTAATGTTAGTATGGTTGATAATCTATAAACTATGGAGACAATTGACTCCGAAAACTCTTTTGTCTAGGCTTTCTTCGACCTTTTTTACACAAAATCTTCCAACTGAGATTAATGTTTTTTTTTCAGTACAACCAACTCGGGACTCGACAACATGAAATTGGTTGTATTCCCATGACCAATCAATACATGTAACCCAGTCCTATAGGAGGTGAATCTCGTCTCGAATAGCTTAGTAGTAAAGTCGCTGACTACAACACTGGGTGACGTGTGTTTGAATCTTAAGCGGGACATCAGTTATGTAGAGGTTGCAGATACGCCTTGCTGACGAGTTCCAGCAAACACGAAACCTAGGTTCAGGACTTCCTGCTGATTGTCTCCAACTAACTAACATCTACTTATGTGCACCGCGATGCTGAGTCTCCTAGCGTGGTGGCCACATAGCAAATATGATCAATAGGATTCGATTTGCACTCAGGACTAGACAACATGAAATTGGTCGCACTCCCGCGACTAATGAATACATAAACTTACTACTTGTTTTCGCATTTCAACTAGCTCATCTTCAGTTATCTCATATCAATGTTATCTACACTTCAAGTCGATAATTTTCTACCAAAATGACTCAAGTATGCATACATTTTCTATAAATTAGTGTTAAAATTCTTTTAATTTGTAAACGACATATGAGAAATGATGGATAGCAGTGGCTAGTAGTGAAATCCAGGATGTGCATTTCGTCCTATTTCGGAATCATCAGCTGGGTGTACCTGCCTCCCAGTGAGGAGTGTTGTTCCCACCGTGATACGGACTCGGGACCGATCGCTTCAAACAAGTAATTACACTGAAACTGATTAGAAACCCTGAAATGAAATGGATCTATGCTATTCTGCTAAAATTGTTGTTCTCACTCTATTTGTTAAGCGGAAGCCTTGTACAAAATTTTGTGAAGGTCAGACTTTATTATTTTATTTCATAGTTTTTCATACAAGTCACTTCTTTGTCATTAGTTGTATCATATTTTGATATTGTGGGATATATACATGCATTAGTTATCCAGTAATTCAGCTTTTACCATTCATTCGCTGGTTGGTTGGAAGCAATCGACAGGAAGTCCTGGACGTAGGTTACATACTTGTTGACACTCGTCAAGAAGGTGTCTCTGCAACATCTACGGAACTGATGTCTTGCCTGAGGTTGGAACCCGCATCACCCAATGTTGTAGTCAGTGACGTTACCACTGAGCTATTTGGATCACAATTCACCTGCGGTTGGACTGAGATACATACACTGGTTGGTCAGGGGAGAACAACCAAATTCATGTTCTCTAGTCCTCAGTGCAAATCAAATTCTATCGATCATATTTGCTGTATGGCCAGTAAGCTAGGAGGTTCAGAATCGTGGTGCACATTGATAGATGTTAGTTGGAGGAAGTCTTCAGAAAGCCCTGGGCCTTAGTTTTGTGTTTGTTGGCACTAGTCATTTATTTTTACCGTAAAATAGTTACCACCCTGTCATAGTCACTCAACTGTATTCAGCAATCAGCTAACGTATAGAGTGAGACCACCTTTGTACATTACAATTAACTTGACACTAGTGGAGCGATTCCCACATTTACACAAGCATTCGCTTAAAACGATAGCACAAAAAAATGATAAAGCAAACAACAGTGACCCAAAACAGTCATAAATACGAGAAAACTAATCTACTGTGGCACATGTAGAATATCCGATGTTCAATGGCATTATTTTTATGCGGTTATAACGTACTGTTAACCGAACCACCGCATCACGTTATTCTCTAAGTATTATGCTTCCGTTTTATGTGAAAAACGCAATGTTCTGTGCAACAGCTATCCATTGATGAATTATCCGCTCAATAAAATCGATGTAAATAAGACTAACTTCTGACGATTGATTCAATTATTTGAGATAACGAACATTGTCAGTAACACAACTTACTAATCTATATGGCAAACATACAAATTAATCAAATGAATAGTACTCACTGTTTTACCTTCTTCTTCATCAAATATATCTGGTTGTGAATGAAAGAATCTTAGAATACCTGTTTTAGCTGTATTCATAATTAATCTAGACCACATGATGGCACCTGATACTTGTGGTACATAACGTGGAACACCTGGTCTATCTTTGGACTCTTTAAACGTTTTTTCAATTTTTACCAACTAGAAATAAAGGTATGCAAAGAAAATAAAATAAATCACATCCTAAAGATTATTCAAACTTGAAATATTATCTGATAGAATACGACTTGAAAAAGTATCAACATGAAACCACACTCTAAGTACACATATTATTGAACGAGTTAAAAAAAATGTCTGTTTATATTGTCCTATTTCCAGTGACATAATGTACTTCTACAAAATGCATGTAGTCAAACATTAGCCACAGTATTTACTACTAGGCTTCACTAAATACATTAGAATCATCTAAATTCTTTTCACCAGTATCACAGTTAATCTAACATCAGTGCAACCGTTGAATTTAATACCGATTAGATAACATTCATTGGAATGATTTTGTTTTTCAAACTTAATTCTTCCATGAAAATCTTTAATGAGTTTTATTTAGAAGGTATGGATGATCAAAACATTTCACTTACCAGCATAGATCCTATTGAATCATACTTAATATTATGTTACAAGAGGTCCACTTTCCTTGAATAGTGGTCATTTTTCATTAATATCTCCCATGGTATCATAACTTCGGTGACAATATCAACTACCTTAGCTTTGAGAAATATCAGTCTTGACTGCATAATTTACAAATACAATGCCTACTGTCCATCCGTAAATTCATTGTCGTAAGCCGTAAACGTCAAAGAAAACAAAATTATTTATGCCTTATGAGACAGAATAAACATTAAGTCGAAAATTCAGACAGGAATGCAAAACTAGATTACTTTGTAAGCTTTCCATTTAAGAAGCTCCTTTGAATGTCATATTTAATGATCACTTGATATTTTCTCTGTAAACATCTAAAACATAATCACTGAGTGGCCTGCTGTAACAACCTTTTTGATTCCATAAAGGCACTTATTTTTACTATTCATAGGATCTGGTGGTAATGCCTAAATGGATAGTATCGAGAAGTTGATAATAGTAGAGCATTCCTAGAAGAATTCTCAAAGCTGCATAACAGCGAACTTTAACCTTACACTAATCTGTCACTAGTCGATACCCAATGTATTAGTTTAGTCCCAAATGCTCAACGTTTATCAAAGCTTGTCTAACAAGTTTGTAATGTTGTCACCAAGCTGAGTGATGCAACACTGTACCACACTGTAGTTTCGTGTTAGGCGTTGAAAGTTTAGGTGTCTTGACTACTGACTCCTAAAATCTAACATTAAAGTGCGCTAACTTTCTGTCTAAAACTGATTTATTCATTGGTCTTCATTAATTCTTTAAATATTATCTATAAATAACTTTGTCTCAAAAAAACGTACAAAGATTATAAGTGGAAAACTGAAGATTTTCTCACAGTTTGAACAGCATAAAGGGTAGCTGCTGTAACTTATGGCAATTTCTCATGTTTAAATACTTTCTCTGGAATCCTTAGTTGATTATGTTTCACTGTTTTGTGCATATTTTGATGAAATCTTCAAACAGAATAATCAATTTACACATGATTTACAAATTATACGGTAAACAATGATATTTCTCACAGATGAGTAGCTTGACAACCGCCTAAGTGTGATGTCAATAGGGTTTCTGTTGGAAACCACCTGTCAGTCATAATAACAAAGTGGGATCTCTGACATAAAAACAATTATGAACTAATAACATATACTACTAAATAACTTGAGCAGTTAGAAATCACTCAGGCTGATCTGTGTAGTCTACCAGCCAGATCACAGTGATCTAATCATACCGGATGGACGTTCCGAGCTCATCAACTATGTACTCGGATAAATTCAGTCCACAGATAAACATTTTCGACCCTGTACTTGTATTCTATAGTTATGAAAAGTGAAATTATAAATAAATAATTGACTCAATGGAACAATTGCAAACAGTTGACTAAATTAGTAAATTATAAATATTTATCCTATCTGTAAGTTTGAAATAAATATCAGAGCATTTAAACAAATTCATATTTGAAGTATTTGCCACTTTGAAAGCTAACAGTCGTCTATTCTTGAACACAATTTGACTCTTCTGACATCACAGTATGTTAAGACTGCCAGTGTTCAAAGAATACCCAACCAAATAACAACTAGATTTTAGGCAGTTGACAGGCCAATTCTACCTCGAACACTAAATGGTTTTTGAAAAGGTTATCATTCAGCTTCATGTTGTAGTGAGTCACTATTTAATCTTCTATACGACCAATCTCTTTTATTCGTGTAGTTAATATAAATCTGTCTGAGTCAGTCTTCGGATATTTCCACCAGCGATTTAGTATAGAGTAGTCAGTTTAATAACACAAAACAGTAGATTTGTATGGTTTTGTGCTGAAAATAAACTATCAGGAGCATATAGAATTTATAACCACATAAGGCAGAATGATTGAGCTCAACTTTAAGTCTTCTCAATAAGCCCATGTATACAGTTATCTATTCTGTGCTGACTGACTTTTTAGCTTGTTCTGTCTACATTTCATCATACAAAGTAGCATACTCAGTGAATATTAATTGGAAGTAGTTCTCAGAAAGTCAGGCTTAAATTTTACCAGCAAAATAGTCACTGTTGGTATCCAGCATGCTAACATGTAAGTTTTATTTAGTGTGCTGACATAAGTGGTCAATATTCCGTTCAAATAGTATGTAAAAACAGTCATTTTGAGCATAATTTTAACTAATCTCTCCATTTATTACAATGTTTTTAATCTAGAGTGCCACATTAAGCTTGCATGACGTGTTGGATATCGACAATGAACAAAATTCCTATGGAGTTGGCAGATGGACTTGATATGATTCACTTTCAGTAAGTCAGAAATAAACAATGGATAAAGACGTGAATTTATATAATATGAATGGGAGATTAATTGAACAGTTTACTTCGTTAATTTCATACTGATTTTTTTCAAAGATTAGAGAAAGAAATCGTAGATCTCCTGATTACCTATCACTAAGGCAAATTAACTATGTGAACTACCGATTGGTTTCAGTAGTGTTCGCTAAAAAGCCTTTATCTCAGCTAACTGACTACGACTACTAGCTTGATTATGATGACTTAATTATGATATGTTATCTTCTTAAATTAACTGACAAGTTTATTTTAAGGAATAATTCTACTTCTAATGCATGCTTTGCACAAGATACCTGATTTTTTTCATCGACACATCAATGTCGTGTATGTGAATATAAAAATATTGTTTCTAAAATGATGTTTCAATCTTGAGGGGGTTGTGGAGATTTGGAAATATTTCAAGTTGTTATTCATCGAAGACTGACATCAATGAATAACATCGATGAATAACAACTTGAAATATTTCTAAATCTCCACAACCCTCTCAAAATTTAATTGAACTAGTACTCGTTGGTGACTAGCTTCGAGAAGTATTCCCGAAGTTCCAATGACAAGTCGTGACCGGTGGAGTCAAGCCTGATGGCCGTGAGGACAAATACTCAACGATGACATTGGGTTAGCGGTTTGCGCTATATCGTGAGCTAACAGAAGTTGGAAATATGGAGCATTGGACTCTGACACAGTGGCTCAATGGTAACGCGCTGGTTGCGGAACCTGAAGGTCGCGGGTTCGATCCCTGCTGGTGGGGTCGTGGGTGCGCACTGCTGAGGATTCCCATACTAGGACGAAACAGCTGTCCAGTGCTCCCAGGTTTCCTTTGTTCCTCCAACTGATGTCAGTCTTCGATGAATAACAACTTGAAATGTTTCAATCTTGGTAATATAATCCATATTTCAAGATTCTAACAGGTTTTTTCAACAATTTAGGTCAATTGTTCTTGCAAGCATTATTGAATAATTTCATCTCATGTTAGTTGATTGAAAGTGATTGGCAGGAAGTCCTAGGATTAGGTTTCTTGCTTACTGGCACTCATCAGGAAGGCATATCTGCAACCCAATGAGAACTGATGGTCCTTTAGAGATTCTAACTCATGCTAGAATCAGAAATCTTGCCACTGAGATATTTGGGCAATGACTGATCTCTTCAGCCTATTTTAAATTAAGGAAATCGAGATAATCTCGGATGACTCTCAATAGCTTTTGCTCTATTCAGCTATCCAGGATCTGAATAATGAGCGCTGTTAGTCAATCAAGATAAAAGTGGTTACTGCAAATCTATGTAGTCGGTTTCATCTCATCAGAATAACCATGATACCAATAGTAATTATATCAACATCACTTCCGTTCAGCTTATTCATTCATTCAAACATTATTGGTTAGAAATATCATAAATTCAGAAGTACATCTTAAAAGATGATAATAATTAATCAAGTGGATGGTTTTATCAAGGACTAACTGATTTCAAGGTAGATTTCATTGCAAATTGAAATTAATTTCAGAATTAGGTTTTCAATACTCCCTCCTAGTGATTAAACTTATTTTGAAATATATTCATATAATTAAATTCCTTTAGATTGATTGAGTCTCAGTAAAATAACTGTTCATAAACAATAATACAACATTAATTCACGATATCTTTTTTTAAAGATTTACTTATAATGAAGTTTAATTCAATATTGAAACATTTAACATGAAAATGAAATAATCGAAAAGAAACTCAACGTAAGCATTTCAATTTCTGGAGAGTTATAGTAACTTCTTCTTTTATTTTAAAGAAGACAGAGTGAATACTTATAATAATTTCATTAACTTACTTACCTCTGTACTAAAACTTCTCAATACATCACGATATTTATCTTTTAATAAAGAGGTAACAGATGCTCTAGTTTTAACTGATTTAAATTTCTCCAATAGATCAAAGGCTAATTTTGCACCTTTAATATGTTTAAAGTAATCATTAATAAAATGTTTAGCTCTAGCATCAATCAACGAAGCACGATCATCAAATTCATGTTTGACTTTTATCCAAAAATTTTCATTTTCTCTTAGAAATGGACAAGGTAACTTCTGTAAAATATATAATGTTATTGTAATTATGAGATTAGAAATATATTATGATATTCTGTAGTTTTATTAAACACTTTCTCTTTATGCATACTAATATTATGAAAGTGAATTTTTAAATAAACTTCAGGATCAAAATTTGACCTGATAGATTTGAATAAGTTGAACATTGAATTATAAATGGATTATAAATGAAATATATTTGTAAAGGTGTAACACTGAACAACTACAAAGACTATTAAAGAAGCACCGAATTAGAGCCATTTACAAGACAATCAGAGCTCTGAGCAATGCTTTACTTCACTTTAAGGAGAAAAATTCCTTTCACCTTCACACAGAATTATGTCTATAAATTCGGCTGTAATGATTAAGAAATCATCCCTTATTCATGCTAAAAAACACGCAACTTAAACAAAACGACAGCTAAAAAAATCCTGTAGAACTGGAGAATTTATAAATCAGATCGTCAATCATGGTTCAAGTCATCTGTCATAATCACAAAATTGATATTGAAAATATTAAAATTATTCAAAAAGGTTTTTCAAACTACAAAGAAAGAAGGATAGATGAGGCATTTCATATTATCATTTGACTACTCGAGATAAACGTAGTTTGGCAGATTAGTATTTATACTGAAGGTTTGGTGGAGGTTCAAATTTAAATCCTAATGCAATCAACAGAAAGGAAGGCCTAATTATCCAACCAACCTAAACGGTATTTCCAAAAACAGCAGGTAACATACAATGATCAGAACGAAAGTGCATATACATAAATAAACCAAATTTGTCATTTATAGTAATTTTTTCTTACACTTTCACAACTGGTCATATGTTCATACATTCACATCTCCTTGAACTCCAGACTAATAATGAATAACAAAGACAAGTTTGAACGGATCCTGACCAACATAACAAAAACGTTAATTATCATTTGACTATCTGAGATAGCTATAGTTTGACAGACTAGTATTTATACTGGGTGGTGATTAAAGGTGAGATGAAAATCTAGCGACCACCGGGTTGCTGGCCCGGTGCTGTATCAACTGAGCTACGAGGTGCGATTGCTGACTAGAATTTTATTTCACTTCAATCACTAAGGATTTTGCCCCACTACAATGTGAATTCGTGACACGTTACTACCGCTTGATCGTATTCACACTGGCTACCTAGTCAGAACAACTCGTCCTAATCCCATTCTAACTGAATCAGAGAGGGGGAGCATCATATTGAATATCATTTGACTATATGAGATAGCCGACATTTGGCAGACTAGTATGTATACTGGGTGATGATTGAAGGTAAGATGAAAATTTGGTCAGCAGTCGAACCTCGTAGCTCAGTTGATAGAGCACCGGGCCGGTAGCCCGGTGGTTGCTGGTTCGAATCCGGCTGCGGTCCAGATTCTCTTCTCACCTTCAATCATCACCTAGTATAAAGACAATAATGCCTATTTTATTATTATATATAGACAGCGTAATCTGATTCGTCACCATTTACTATTTAAACAATCGATAAGTTATACAAGTTTTATTCTCTGAAGAAACGATTCCCATGAAGTCGCGAAACGTCAAAAATCTATTTTTATACTTCACTGGGATTTTACAAATATACTACTAGTCAGTGCAAGGACCTAAACAAGGAATTGAAACACGTAAAAGAAGCGCTAATAGTTATTATTTATCCTCCGCAGTTTATTGAGAAATTCGTACGGACGGACAAGAAAGAAAAAAATAACAGTAACACTAGTAGGAATAATAACAACAGCACAAGTAGAAAGGAGTTCACAGCCTCCATTGTCTTGCCCTATAATGAAGGCACATTAGAAACTTTACGTAGGATCCTCAACAAACCTGGTATTAGGGTGGCATTTAAAACTACAAACTCACTCAGAGATAAGCTTTTTCGGCCTAAACATCCGATAGAACCAATTAAGCGAAATAATTTAGTCTATCAAATTCCATGTAGTGACCGTGAGTCAAGTCAAGTACATAGGTCAAACTAGCCGGTCGTTGTCAGTTAGAATAACCGAACATAGAAATTTAGCTAAATATAGAATGACAGACCCGAATAAGATCTATAATCTGGAAAAAACTCGGCTATTGCTATGCATGGATTAACACACGACCACACAATAGACTGAGTGGGATAAAGCCACTGTACTTAAGTTCAATATAAATGAGTGGAGAGAGAGATTGATTACTAAATATCTATCTGATCATCGAATCAACACCCAACCAGTACATGTAATAGAAATGACCCAGCACCTATACTAGAGATATGGAAGATTTTACTGCCAATAAAAGCAAATCATATGAGGTGACATGACTATAAAGATCGAATGTCTCAGTTAGTGTGATTACATTGGTATGATTATGAGCAATAATTTATGATCGAAACGTCAACAAGTAAATAATACAATATTATTGCGTGTTATAAATCAACTAAATCTAATATGGATTAAAAATTTTACCACAGTACCCAAGTTTTACACCTAAATTAACAGATTCATATAATCTGAAAGATTTGGCTCTGTGAGCTGAAATTTTTCTGCGTACACCACTGGTGAGCTCAGCCCCAAATGCAGGAACGGCCATTCAGTCTTCAGGTCGCTCTGATCTGCCTGGTATATTTCACAGATCAGTTTGAACCGATTCATTAATACACCTTGTTGTTATTTATTATTCCTCCCTTCGGTTCGTAGTGGAATATAGGGCTTCAGTAGCACGTCACCATTTCACTCTCTTCTCTGCAGTCATTTCAACCTGGCTCCACGACTTTCCACAAGCTTTGATTTCTTCCTCACACCTTTTCCTCCATGTCACCTTCGGAAGCCTAACTCATCGTTTCCCATTCGGGTTCCACTCGAGGGCCTGACCTAGCGCATGATGCTCCTAAAATGGTCTTCTTAATGTATGCCTAATCCATCTCCGCTTTCTTCCGCATATTTGTTGGGCGATCGGTTCTTGGTTGATTCATTCCCAGGGTTCCTTGTAGCTTATTCTTTCTGGCCATCTATCTGATCTTCGGTATCGAGTTAGCGTAGGTGGCAGCTGTTGATGATGTGTGTCTGTAGTTTGTTGGAAATGCTTTTCGTACCGCGCCATGTCTCTCAACCACTGACTTAGTTGACTGAATTAGTGTTGAAAATCTAGGTGTTGTTCAAGCTTTATGCTGAGTGCAATACAGTGTAGTAGATCTCCACACTGATTCCAGGTTAATGAAGGAAGGTCTGTCTTGCTGTTTTTTCGATCCTGTCTCTGATGTCCTCATGTGTGCATGTGCTGCCTGTAGTTGAAACGATATTACCTAGGTAGGCAGGTAGGTGAAATAGACTACTTACTTGAGATTTCTCCCGTTGACTGTGATTGGTGCTTCTTCTTCTTCCCGTTGGTTGGGTATATTCATCACTTCTATCTCTGTCTTCTCTACGTTCACATCAAGGAAATCCCATCTTCACCTCCCTGTCTCGCCTCACCTCTTCTGACAACTTGTTAGTTCCCGCCTGTACATATTCGGGTTTGCGCGACAGGACATTAGAAACAAATCGTCATCGTCGATATACAAATCTTCTTCTGGTGTCTTTTCATCAGTCCACTCAGCGTATGCCCATCTTCCCACAGCTCCTCACAGTTTCTTGCATGATCCAGTTCAGTCCAGTTCAGTTCAGTTCAGTCAACCACAATGAGGAAGATGATCAGTGATAGTAGGCGACAATCTCATCTTACTCCTATCTTCATTTCTAATGCATCACTCAGATGAGCTTTCCATTGTGCAGTGAATCACTCGACATGTAACCTCATCATATAGCATACAGCTACTGTTGAATGATGTTGATAAATATTTGTGACACTGAAACCATAGTTTTGAAGCAGCAGCTGACAAATTACTTCTCAGTCGACGCTTCGATCGAAGGCCTTCTCACAATCGATGAATTTGAGGTAAGGTAGAGAGTTGACTGCTGTTCTATACTCTGTTCTATGATGACATGTAGTGTAGTATTGCAATTTGATCCGCACGTGATTTGCTCTTCCTGAAGCCAGCCAGCCACCCAGCCCGTTCCGGTCGCAATTTTGAATCGAGAGTATTTTTCACTCTCTCTGGGATGATGTGGCTTAATATTTTGCTTGCTTTGAGTGGACAGGAGTGGAGCATGATTGTGCGTTAGTTGTTGTTCTTGTAAAAAGACTTAGGTGTCCCTTCTTTGTGAGTTTGAGAATGTATCCCTTCTTGCAATCAGTGGACAGGTGCCTTTCCTTCTTTCTGAACCTTCTGGAATAGTGGTTTGGTGTGAGCATATCCGTTGTTGTCTCTGCGTCTGTTTTCAGCGCTTCGAGAGGAATTTCATCTAGTCCAACTGCTTTCCCGGCTTTCATTAACTTTATGGCGTTCCGGACTTCTGCTTTTGTCGTACGGCTTGTGTTCACTGATAGTTATGTTGCTGCTGGTGGTATTTCTGGACGAGTTGCAGGTGGTGGTTTATTCAACAGTTGTTAATTATACTTTAAAGCAAAACGCAATGCCTTTTGGTTCCTAGCTACTCAGTTTTCTTCACATCATACCCCTTATTTCACATAATGCTATGACAGCTTATCATAAAAACATGACACTTAGTCACATTCAACAGTCAACACAAAAACTTAACTAGACAACTCAACAAACACTTATGATTACACCAATTGAGTTACCTGACTTTTTAATGGAACAAATAGTTGGTCTACCAGTCTTAGAACTTCTTTCAAAGTTTTGCTATCTCCTGTTATATTTTTCAATTCTGGACCAAACATATGATAAAATTCATTTGCACACTATTTTAGTAGATATATAGAAGAATAGAAAAAGGAAGATGATTTATTCAGTTTTAGTAAACAGTTGCTAAAAAAACAGGATTATATATAGTTAACATAATTATTCAAACTATATAAGGTTTTACTTCTAAAACTGACTTCTGTGTACTGGGAGTGTAACAGAAGTTGAAACAAAAATAATCCATTGGTCCGAGTTCTATCGCTACAAACAGCCTAATTTTTAGTTTCAATAATCATCCTTGTACAGTAATGAGTGTGTTTCAAACATAGTAGTAGTTACTTGATTTGAATGTTTGTGAAGGACTTTTCATAAAAGATATTCTATTAGCTACAGAACTATTGAGAACTAAATAGAACTAGAGAGTTATTTTGTTATTATCAGTAACTTTTTAGAATTTGGATTCATAAACTATAGGATTTCAACCCATTGGTTGAATGATAACATGCTAATCGACAGGCCTGATAGTCCTTGGTTAGAACTTCTTACAGTAACTGTAGGTGCACAGTGCTGAGGAATCCCAAACTAATACGAAGAAGCTGTTTTGTATTCCCTGGTTTACAGCGGTTCTTTAGTTGATATTCATTCATGATGAAAATTCCATTGACACTGAAAATACTCGAAAGTAATTGCACTCAATGTGAACCTGTAAACTGTCAATGAGATTAGATGATTGTTTAAGTAAATTCAGTCCTAAATAAAGAAACGTTTAACACCAACAGAGCTATCGTTTAAAATGAATTGGTTGTGGTTAGCGGTGGAATTCAGGTAGTATCTTCCATCCAATTTGGGATTCGTTTGCTGGATGTACCAGTACCCTATTGGGTGATGTTGTTCCCGCTGAGATTCGAACCTCATATCCATCGGCCGTCCCCTCAGTCCTGGTATACTTGCTACCTCAAATGTATATGAGTTCATAAATACCGTTGCAGGTAACATGAGCATTGTAATTATCCATTTTGGACTAGTTCATCAAGCATGGGGTATTGTACACCAATACAAGTACAGCTGCAGAAAAGCTCTCAGTTATCCTTTGATTCTTGTGTCTATTTTCTTGGGTATTGCATCTCTCTTGAATGTAGTGTGAGGAAAACCGTCTTGATAACAGTTGAGTGCTTATTTCTGTCACTCTGTTCTTTTCCATGAGTCATAATAAATGTCTTAGGATATCCATTCTCTTTGAGACACTTCTCAGTAATGTTTGATTCTTCCTCTAGCTTGTCTGCAGAACATGATTTCCCAACTCTGTTGACTAGCCCACGCTTAGAGCTGACTGGACGGAAACTGTTATAACTGAGGTATTGTCTCGTTTTTTCTATGGATGACCTTTTCCATCATACCATCAATTCCTGTTCTCACTCTGAGGTCCAAGAAACTGAACGCCTTATCACTTTCGGATTCCATCGTAAATTTTATGTCAGAATGAGTTTTGTTGAACCTGTCAAACAAGTGAGTTGCATTTTTCATACCATTGCAAACAACAAAGGTGTCATCAACTTACCTGCGGAAATAGGTTTTTCCTCTAATGACTGAACCTAGGCTAGTCTGTTAGAGATAACCCTTGAGAATATCTGCCAGGATATATCTTAGAGGTGAACCCATGACCATTCCATCAATGTGTCTAGAAAGCTGGTTGTTGAGTTCAAACTGGACACCTTTCTTACCTCCGAAAAAATTAGTTCTCATACGTGTTATATGGATTATCAATGATTTTGTTATACAACTTGAGATTATTGGTTTCCCAATTTTGAAATATCTTATGCGCTAGCACTCATTGTACTTTCAGATTGTATACAATTAAAGATTAGTCGTGTAGTAAACTTATTTCATACAAATCTCTACCATTTTGCCTTATCCAAACTTTTAGAATTCAAAAGGATCTTAGAGAAGAACTGTTTCCTAAAGTTTTCATCTGGTATTTCAAATTACCACAGTACAGATCACCGTCTTTGGAAACAACTTCTAAAAAATGTTTAACTATAACATGTATACTACACTGAAAGATTTCGAGTAGGACTACACTTAGTCCACTGCTAAAAAGTTTTGTAAATTCTTTTGATAGATTTCATCAGAACTGGAAAGGAGAAGAATTACTTAACATCCTAGATGTGTTTGTTGACTAGGGATAATAAATCTAAGTTCGGGAAGTCGCCAAGGCAGTTGGCTAACAGTGTATGGATGTCATGAACCGAAAAATTCACCTGACTCAAATGAGTCAGTATTTTATAACAGAGAAAATAACTGACCAGTAACCTGTGGTTTTAAGTTGTTCAACATTTGATGTAGTGTAATGATGGAAGTTATCTGTAAGTATAGTTCATATTCTATTATTTCTTTAATAAGAACAAACGAGCCATGCCACTTTTAAAATTGCATAATTAATCTTACTAGAAAAACTAACCGTGGCCATATTGGTTATATCATTCAATATACGTCTTATGTAAAGTGAATCACCAAACAAAATTTTCTTATCAAATTCCCAACGATTATCTTGTGTATTCGCTTCTACGAGTTTACGTTCTTGAATATAAACTGTCTCGAATACAGTTAACATTCGTACAGCAGCGTCAACTTCATGTAGAATCTCTTGAATTGGTTGTCTAGTAAGTAAAAACAAAAGCATAAATTATTACGTCATCAGAGTACATCAAAATATGTTACAGTTTATAAATTATATGCATAATGTGATCACTATAAATATCCACACGTGCAGCAAATGTAGTGGTTCACAAGATGTTTGGTGTATATTTTAATGATTACATTTATTGCCTCGAAAATATAAACGTAATAGGCGTAAGTTAGAACGAATTTCTCATTAGTCTAACAAACAGAACAAACTGGTAGATGGAGAGATTCATTGCCAACCCAAGCCAAAGAAACGTGAAGACTGACAGCTCAGGATATTCATCTTTATAAGCTAAGGTTACAGTTGTAATTTCGTCTTCTCATTTTTTTTAAATTTTCGATCCTTTAGTCATTCTATTTTCAATTTTTAGACGTCCTTCATCTCTTTATCGATCTTACTGACTGATTTACCGTTGACTGGTTTTTGTTGCTGTAATAATATAAAATTTAGCGACTGGAACCGTTTCAAAATCACCACACTTTTCATTTTGCATTTAAAGGTTGTTTAGGAAGCGGTAGATATCCTTGTATTTATAAAGAAGTCTTCAATGATTGATTGGAGAACAGTAGCGTTACGTCATGATCTTGGTCAAGTAGTTGAATAGTTTTAGTGCTCCAATGTTTCTCTAACATTTTCCCAGTCTCACTGCGTTCTCTTCTAACGCGTTTATTGAAGAATCTTCATGGGCATCCGTTTTCTTTAAGGTACTTCTCAAGAAACGACAATTTCTCTTCAAGTTTATCTGGTGAGCATATTCTTTGTCCTCTGCAGAATAGCTTTCTAACCAGCGCTAACTTTTAAACGATTGAACAGGAACTTTTGAAATTAAGGTAAAGGTCGGTAGAAGAGAATGTAATAAGATTGAGAAAATGACAGTCAGTAAACAGACGTTCTTCATTCACCTTGACTTCAGAGGTGATGGTAAACCAAAGACTATGCGCTGCATTGACCAGAATGAATCCTGTAGCAAAGTTAGTTCCCTTGTTTAGTACTTATTGCTGGCTGGTGCAATCAAACAACAACAGTTACCACTCATTTGTAGCCTCCAAATTTGTTCATCATTTCACAAGCGTCTACAGGAGCAGTTATATTGGGAGAATAAAAGAAAGGACTTACCTTAGACATTTTGAACGTTTACCGAATAGTCTACAGTTGAGAGGAACTAGTATACTCAATAGCACAATTACTGAGTATTTGGTGGACACAATACATCAAGTAGGTACTTTGGAATCGATCAAAGTAACCAACAAACAGAATATTTCAAATACATTTCGCTTCGCTGAAGCCATTGCAATCATACTCCTGAAGGCAGATTAATATGTTCGTCAATCGTCAGCTATCCTAGTTACCTCATTTCTAAACTTTTCACTCACTTGATTTCATCACTGTCACGTCAATGGATTTCCGAATAACGCTAAATCCCAGCCTTAATCTACTCGATCTTGTTCATTATGTTCTACTACATTTTTTTCTGATTACTACTAATTTATCTACTCTCTGACTTGCGTAATTTCTTGTTCTAAATTACGCAGTAGATGCCTTCTTTTCTGCCCCTATCTGACTTTTGTGAGAACTTTCGTTCTGACAATATATGTATTTATGACATCATTACGTGGCACCATGACCTTATTTCACTTCCGCTATGTCGCTGTCCTATTTTTACTGCTTTCACTGAACTGAAGCATAGTTTATATTTCATTGTAAATAATTATCGGAAATATTGTACGTTGTAAGCAGCTGACGAGAACAACTAAAGTGGTAAAGTGGATTAATATTCTTCTTCTTGAATGCTTGTTCTTGCTCTTTTAAAATCAGTCGGTATTGCATGACATTTTCTTGTACTTCTAAAGATCTTCAGCAGTAGTGAGTTACGACTGTTCCCTAGAGAAATGCAATAACCCTCATACTTTTCAGAAAACTTAATAATTCTCCTAACTACAGCATCATTTCCTTAATGCTGGTGATTTAAGTTCAAGTCAAACACTCATTTACTCCACTTTTATCTCTTCATTTCATCTGTATTCCTTTTATTGGATAGTAAATCGTCACCTCTAGGAGTTGGCACATAATTTCAGGCTGAAGTAATCATTACTTTGTTCCAGCCATAAAAATTAAATACCTATTCCACATGGTTACATGCATACCAAATATAAAATCCAGTGAAGGCTGTGAACATCTACATGAATTTTATTAGCAGCTAATTTTATGCATACGAACAGTGTCTTTTCTTAGTCAGTATCATCATCATCAACAACATCAGTACCAACATAAGACCAGACTGAGTAAGTCTAAGTTGTTACACATCTCATATCAGAACATCAACAGAAAAAGGACTCAGATGAAAGATGAAGAAATAAAAAATGAAGTATTCAAAAGCAGTAGGAAGTAGTAGTAGTAGTAGTAGTAGTAGTAGTAGTAGTAGTAGTAGTAGTAGTAGTAGTAGTAGTAGTGAGATAACAAAGAATGATACGAAAATACTGAGCTCGGTAGTGTGCTTCGTACGACGATGTGTGTGAATATATCTGTGCCAATGAGAACGATTGCCAGCCATGTCACCAAGAATCTCCAACCTCTGATTTCTGTTGTCGCGTGAACCCCAACCACGAAATCTAAATTTCACCACACGGTTCAGAACAACATTTAAAGACTTCGTGAACTGGTGCCATGTTTTAGTCTGATCGCCCCTAACCATTTTCCAGCCTAAACCTACTACGGCAAACATTGTATTACAAGGTCAGTAAATGAGAATTATCTTTCAAGAATTGTGATGTTAGAGTGATTATGATGCTTTCACAGTTTACCAATAATTACAGAAGTTGCTAAATCTGTTTTGATGACACAGGCGACACAGTTTACAAACTTCGTAAATTACATCCTCCTTGCATACTGCTGTATAGGCGAATTCTATGGGATTTGAATGAGGAGACCTTCTATAGGTATTCGTCATCAAAGAAACAAAGAACAATTATCACTTACTTGAATAATTGTCTTATATCCAATACATTAATCACACGATCACAAAGTGACCAACTAATTCGTTGTAATAATTGTCCCATGCGTTCATCTTTATTGTAACCGCGTGATATAGTCCAGATTAGGCGTAATGACTGTATCATTGCTGGTATAGTTTCAGTAACACTTTCAAAACTTGGTCCAAATTGTAAGTTTTTAAAATGTCTTTCAACTAGTAGAAGAAATCTTTAATTGCCGGACAATAAAAGAACATAATTAAAGTGATGAGTTACTTATTATACCATTTTATTCTTAGAAAACCATGGATAGAAGTTAAGCTTTATTTTCATTGGTAGAAATTCATTACTTGGCTGGTAACCTTCATATCACTCATGTAAAATAACTATTTTAACTTGGACATATTTTTGTACGTAAGTGACTGTCATAATTCATCACTATAATTTTTCTTGTTTTGGCTTTGATTCTGGATACTGTTGATAATATAAATTGTTAAGTAGATTAGGAATTCCGTCTTTTGATTTCATTGAGTTTTGGCTCTAAACAGTCAGTGGTCAAGTATAAGGGATCAGTCGACTCAATGCCTTGGGAACCACTTTAACCACTAGTCTAGTACGTGGTTAACGTAGAAATAAGTACAGTAAAATCTTCTTATACACTCCATTCACCGGCACAACAGATAAAACGTGAGATACCATTAAAAAGGTGGAAATTTAGTTAATTATTATAGTTGGTTTTCATGATGTATCAACAATAGTTAGAGAAATTTTGGAAACCTGGAAACACTAGGCTCTTGCTCATTTTCAACTTCTTGAAAGTGCTCAAACAAAAACTCGTTAGAGTATAAGTCCACTACAGTCAATTCTGTCAAAGATCATACTACCACAAAGTCATTGGGTTGGAACCATGTAGCTTACTTAATGTAACTTCTATCAATTCGCAATATACTCAAACAATGATCCACTATCATCAGTAATGATCTATCTTCTATTGGGACGGTAATAAACAGTCATTATCATAATTTCGCCACATATAATTATTCTATTTTCTTAACTGCAACAATGTTAATCTTTGTATTCATCATAGTTCAAACTAATAGTATATCTACTTTAGTGTATGATACCTGGATAGAATAAAGGTGGTAACAGTCAAACTAATACATGACAGCAATCCATGATAACAATGACTACAGTTTCAGCCATGTAACAAAATGTGCGCTTCATCAATGATAGATAGCTTTGCGATGTTAGAAATCGTTGGCTAGATACTATACATGTTTCCTATTAGTGTTGGTCAAGGCATCGTATATGTGTTCACTCTTCATACTGCTTTTAAACCTCATCTTCGTACTACTGTTCATCTTTTTCCTTCTTCCTGCTTTTTTCAATACTTTTAATCTCTCTTTGATCTTCTCTTTCCTTCTTGTTGTGAAATGGGATGATTTTGGTGAAGGGTTCTATAAAACTGTTGATCCCCCTTAGCTTCCTTAGCTACTAGCAAAACTATTTACTTCATTACTAAATAGCATGCTGTCTTACATTTTCCGATGTGACGGTAGAAAATTATCTTATTTGTAGTAAATAATGGATACATTTTGTCACACTGTGGAGATTTAGTTTCGGTAGATGCTGTAGAGACTGCATGTGGAGCTTTCATCATGAGATCTGAAGGTATGAATGCTGAACGGAGTAAATTCAGTTCCGAGACGTTTTAGACCAAATGGTTATAAAAGTTTATAATACTACTTCTAAATTAAAAATCACCACTCATCTCAAAAATACATTACTGTATAGTGCTCATTAGTGACTTGCTTCCAGATGGATATCAAGAAGCTCTAATGAGAAGCCGTGACCTGTGGGGTCAACCAGTCGGAAGTGAAGTGGATGCTAACTGAAGACCTTGGATGACACTCACGCTGTGTCGTGAATTGACGGAAGTTGGAAATTGTGAACCAGTTAACTCCAACCCAGTTGCTGAATGTTTAAGGAGTTCGACGTCAAACCAGAAGGTCCTGAGTTTGATCCCTAGCCAGGTCGTGGGTGCGTACTGCTGAGGAGTCCCATACGAGGACGAAACAGCTGTCCAGTGCTCCCAGATTTTCAATGGTTCCCCAACTAATGTCAGTCTATGATGAATACTACTTCTAAATTAAAAATTCAGATTCATCTCAAAAATACATAAAAGTTTATATAAATAGTATCAAAAAAAGTTTTGATTATATTCCATTTAAGATTTTATGAACACTGAATTTGCTTAAATATAAGCATAATTTAATGAGTAATTGGTCAGAAAGTAAGCAAAATTTATACTATAAGAATATGAACAGTTTGAATATCAAAATGTTATTTACTTACCTAGAATTATCTTTAGCTTCAAACATTAATGATTTTATATCTGTACTACGTGTATAAGGTGATAAATGAGGATTAAGTATACTCCATGCATTAATTGCCCAACAAGATGGTTTTGTTTTCAATGATTCTAATATAGCTGTGAGTATTTTACTACGATGTCGCCAATAATCAACTTCATCTAATGGTCCTAAGTTTATTGGTCGAGGTTTATTCAAAATTTCTAATACACCGTCTATTTGTACATCTATTTGCATGAAAGTAAATAGTATTTATAAAATTATTATTATTATTATTATTATTATTATTATCAATTTAAATAAAGTTACATTGATGAATACTTTTAAGTGATGCTATATCGTGTTTCGTTTAAAACAGATGTGTATATATATCGTGAGCACTATGGAACTTTACTCAACAAATATGCAGTGGAATGAAGTGGAGATGGATTTGATTGGGCATACACTGAGAAGGCCGATTGGTGACATCACGTGTCAGGCACTCGAGTGGAAAGCAGATGGGAAACGACGAGTTGGGCGTCCGAGGCGAGAGTGACATGGAGGAGATGGTGTAAGGCAGAAATGAGAGCTTGTTGGCTGTTGTGGAGCTAGGTTCAAAAGATTTCAGAGAACAGAGTTCACTGGAGACGTGCTACTGAATCCCTATGTTCCATTAGGAACCTAAGGGACAAATAATAATATAATAATAGTAGTAGAACTTTACGCTGTCTTATATTAGATTAAAATGCATGATAAGCAATACTCAAAGATAATCCACAAAAGAAAGATAAGGTTTAGAATTCAGTAGAAGTATGTTAGAAGTAAGAGTAGGCAGTGAACGAATCGGCTTTACATATTCACGATAGGTTGAAAGATAAATAACTAATACATCTACAGCACCTGCATAGATTTTAAGCTTTAAAATCTACAGTCTGTGACTGTTACTTTACAGTATATCATGGTCTCAATTTAGGCTTATTGGATGTATCTAAAAAAGATACATTTCTTGATATGACACTTTATCTTTAGAAAAATGTTTTGACTGAAATGAGTTTGAATAACTTTCTAATGTTTCTGAATCTTTGCATCATTACAAGAAATTGCCTAATTCCTCACAAACTGCTTAACTGAATAGCAATCTAAAGCTTGTCGGTGACTTGTTTCAAAATGGACTTGACGAAGTTCTGGTGACAATAAGCTATAACTTGTAGGGTCAATTAAGACAAGTATGAGGATGAGTACTCCCCGATGGAACTTGAGGATGATTGCACTATATCACTATATCATGCATATCGTAAGATACGATCTTTCTGGATCTAATTTTTCACAGGGTTATAGGTATGTCACTGAAGTATCCCATACTAGAACCAAACAGGTGTCCAATGCTGTCATATTTTCTATGATTCTCTGGCTGATGTCAGTATGTGATGAAAACCACTTTCAAATCAATGGATTACCCATAGACCTCCGAAATTGGCATCACAAGAAATGTTACTCATTAATTCTGCAGTACAACTGCAGTACTTGTGTGTATTTGTATATTACGCTGCGCACATTGTCTTTTGATTTGCTATGACCTGGGACTTAGCAGCAACGATCTAGTTATTCTTTTTTCCTTAAGAAAAGTTTTCAGAGGTGATTATCAGAATAAATTTCAGCTTATCACTTCACATTGCATGTTCATTTCTGCTAGGAATAGATAACTTCTAAAAGTCTATCACAGTTTTTTTTATAACTTTCAAGATGATTCACTGCTTAGGAATTATACACATTTATTTTCACAGTATTTTACATTGGTTGAAGAGCTATTGAGAATCAGTAAACACTAATCGAACACTCTTGAGAAGCAGGTATAGCTTTATGATTAGGTCTATCATTTAATGAATAAATTCCTGAAGATCAGCAATCTAGATAGACGTCAGTAAGCATGACATAAAACAGTTTATGCAGCTTCTAGGATTAACAAGAATAATACACAAAAGCGTCTATATATTAAGTACCTAGGCATATTTAAGCATTAAGCTGATCAGGAATTGTGATATTCATTTCTAAACCTTAGCTTCTAAAAGGCATATACTTTTACCTGTTTCACTAGCTTCGTCATTTTGATTCGTGGTAAAGAGAACAACAACATTGATGAGAGGGATGACAGTATCTATTCAGCAAACTACCACCAGTACTGACAAAAACAAAAAATACTTGTATGATTCTTCCCATTTGTATTCTCCTTCAGGTTTTTGTCCATTTTTCTTATTTTTAATACCACATCGCAGTATTCCTTATTTACTTCTTTAGAACTTTAATCAGGTAACTTTCATCCCTTTGCTACTTTCCCTAACGTTGATGTACTATACACCAGGTATGTGCATTTTTATAAGTAGTATGTATCACATTAGTATACACACAAATAAGGATTGTATAATGATTTTTTAATCATGGTTTAGATGTATTGAAAGATGACAGTTTCTAAATTTTAAAAAGTATCTATATTATGTAGATAAACGCAAGCACCTCCTAATATTTATCATTGGTAGTAAACTTCAGATGATGTGCATGATTCTCCAATGTTACAGCCTAATTTCAGTCATTTTAACGTGTCATTCCCACACCATTTTTACGGCATGACTGGTACTCTGCATTTTGCCCCCATTGTAATGTGAATCGCTAATTGGTTAATCTTTACTCTTACTTTACAAATGCCTTAAATTGAGGATGAGGTCATTTTTTCATGTGTTTACCTATTCACGTGTTTCAGATTGAATCATCATCATATTCTCGGAGTAAACTCTCCCATCTGCCAGCTTCGGTCTTCTCTCCATTCGTCTCGAGATTTCAGTCAGTGGCGCTTGCGTACTAAGTTAGCTGTCAGGTAAGCGTGCGTATTAGTTAACAGCTAACTTAGTACGCAAGCGCCACTGACTGAAATCCCGGGACGAATAGAGAGAAGACCGAAGCTGGCAGATGGGAGAGTTTACTCCGAGAATATGATGATGATTCAATCCAAAACACGTGAATAAGTATATATATATATATATATATATATATATATATATATATATATACATCCATTAGCGTTTCGAAACCAAAGCAATACTTCAGGTGTTTTTATCTATTGTTTTGTTTAAATAACCTAAATCACACAGCTATCAAGGTCATCACCAATGAGCGTACTGATTAAATATGATTCAGATTAAAGATGAATAGACTGGAAAGTAATAAATATTAACACTGGATTCATTCCACATACCCCATTCTTTAAATAGATTGATAAGTTTGTCATTCAAAATATAGTCTTTTGCTGGATCAATGATATAATTCTCATCTTCAGGTATAAAATCTGGTATTGTAAGATTGAAAACACTTAACAGTGCTACAGCTGTTTCTTTAAGAATACCATTGAATTTATGTAGCGTCACACTAAATTCATCACGAAGACGTTGGTAATCTCGTTTATTCAACACTAAGATTTCTGTAGTTTGCTCTGTCTTTGTTGAATACACAGCATTATCATCACTTACTGGATCGGTTGTTTTGCCGGTACCAGGATAAACATCAACATTTCGAGTATCTAGCGCATCGTCCTCTGGAAATATATCTCTTTTATGCCCAAAATAAGATAGCATTTTAGCGTATATCTGAAATAAAAAATATTTTATTCCTACTAAGTATTTGCCATCTCAGAAAGTAAACATTACTATGTTTCATTGCAAAATACAGTTTTTCTAAAGATATCTGCTTCTCTGATTTCCAATACAGGCGTCCATATGTCTGACAACAGCAATAAATTCCTAATAAATATTTCTGAAACTAAAATTTGATAACATTTCAAAAGATTATACAGGATCATAAGCTGGAAAGTATCAAAAAGGTCACAACCTTGATCTTACAATGAATCCTTTTCATATTCTGACCCATGCTAATCTGCTATGAAGCAGAAGAGATTCTAAGCAAATGTTGGTTGGTTAAAGGCAGTCGACGGGAAACCTTGAAACTAAGTTTCATGTTTATTGACACTCGTCGGTAGGGTGTATCTGCAACCCTGAACGAACTAATGCCTTCTGTGAGATCTCAACCGTCTTCTCTCAGTTGTGCACTTTTAGAAGTTTTCACTGAGCTGTTTGGGCTGCGATGAATCTTCTGTATGGTCGGATTCGATACAGTAAAGGGTCTCTGGAGAGTAACTAGTTTCATGTTCAGTACTGAGTACTAGGCAAATTCTACCGATCACTTTTGCAATATGGCCACCAAGTTATGAAAGTCACCATCACGGTGCACTTATATGGATGCTAGTTAGTTGGAAGCAGTCAGTAAGGAGCTTTTCACCTACGTTTAATGCTTTTTAGAGTTCGCTAGTAAACTATTGTTGAGGAGAGATTTCCATTTGATTAGGTAATTTTGTATTCACGAAAACTGATTTTGTGAAAATATAGAGGAAGCCAACAAATATGTCCAACGAACTTTTAGAATGTTACCATCCTTTAATTAGTCATAATAGTTTTTCATATACTTGTGTAAAACGGATTAGGAACTCTGCAATGTTGCGTAGAAGTGATTTCGCCAGTTACTACAATGATCTTCACATAAACTTCATTTCAACACGAATTACTATGCGTCTGCCTTTCGTCTATCTTTTCATTGCACATCTAGTATATTCGGTTAAATGTGCTGGTTGAAGAGTACTGTTTTATTACGTCCAATAGACAGGTGATTTATATTACTTCACTTTGGAATGAATATAAGCAATAAATTCTGCACAAAAATTCATTCAGTAAATACTAATGTATTACTGTGTATTATATCAAATGAACAATCGAATACAGAATTACATTCTACCGCACTACCCAAGATTTTTACATTGATTAGTATTACGCTGCGGGGAGTCTTGAAACCTATCAGTATTTATCGTTATTGAATACACCTATAACAACAATGATAACAATGATAATAATAGTTATTATTATTATTGTTATTAGAAATCGGTTCGAAACCAAAGTGTTGTCATTTCACACCAACATCTCGTACGGTTAATGCAGTATAAAATGGGTGTTCTGGAGACTTCAAGTTTTGACCGAATCTAGAAGAGGATTTTTTGCTAAGTGTAATTACTGTTCATGCGTAAACATTGTTTCATCATGATCAGGTATTCCTAAATAGTCTACTAATATAACCAGCTCTTTATCAGGTCATTACGCTTGGAACTCTACATAAGTAACGAAATAAACAAGCACAACTTACCTTAGGTACAGCACGCAGTGTACAATTTAACATAGTATCTTGCAAATAGCCAATATTTAAACAGTCTGGAAAATGTTGCATCACTTCAGCAAGTGTTTTAACATTAGGTACTGTACATTTTCGATTTGTTCGAACCACATAAAAGAAATTGGAAATATTGTTACTTTCAATAAATGAATCATATATGGGTAATGGATGTACATTTAAACATTCACGGGTGAATGTTCGTGTCACAAACTGAAATGTAACAAAATTACCAGATAACAGAAATATTCTCACTGATAATTTAAGTGATACTCAAATGTATTGAACACTATCGAACCTATAGTATACACTATTGGTGCCGTGTTAACTTATAGCTTATTTGGAAAGGTGACTTTTTAATGCCAAGGGTAGCATATATTTGATAATTACTAATTTAGATTTTAATCTGACATTTCATTAGGCATATGAAGGCCAATCCAACTATTATGACCAATAAATCATACTGCATACAATTAGTTAGGTAACTTTAGTTTTTTCAGACACTTCTCAACCATTATTTAGTATATATCAGTATTTGTAAAAGTTAACTTTCGAAAGTTTATTGATTACTTCACTATACTACTGAAATTGGATTCTTCGAAGAGAATGAAACTTCAGTATTACATTTATTAACATACAAAATAATAAATATATGTAGTACCAAGTACAGAATTGTATCAGTTCCAATTGTTACACTTTACAACAGCTAATAAAATGGAAATGTATGAAATAAGAATGATAATGAAGTAAATTTTATGAATGAAAAGAAAATGAGTAAATAAAAATCAGTAAAAATGTTTGAAATATTAAAGATGATAAACAGTGCACATATATTTGCATTACTGTGACTAATTTCGAGCTATATCAACAAAAGTCTCTAACTAATGATTCCCATCATATCCAAAAAAACCCTATCAAGACAACCTACACCTAACCTAACAACCTAAATCCACAGTCAGCAACTTCATGAATTGTTGGCATCTTGAATAATCTCTGTTTGTCATGCAAAATGTGTCTGAACTTACAATTTTTTTAATGTTAGACAATAAGAAACTTTGTCAAGGTTTAAATTATAAAAGTGTCCTTGTTATTATATTACCAGCAGGAAAATAAATAGACACATAAAATCAACGTAGAATATCACATACAAGAGCATTGGTTCACGTTTCCACATTTCACAGTAATATACAGAGAAGAGGTTGACAACAAATGAATGATATCAAAGTAGAAGAAGTTGTATCAGACAATAAGAAATCTGAAGATTATTATCATCATAGTATGAGATAAGCAATCACATAAACCACACAATTCCATGTAACTGATAATCTTAAAATCTACAAACTGCAGGCACTCTAATCTGAATTAGGTTGGTTGTGACTAGCAAGGGAATCCAGAACGCACATTTCGTCCTATTTGGGACTCGTCAGCTAGACGTACCTGCACCACAATGATGTTGTTCCCACTGAGACTCGAGCCCCGTATGCAAAGCTCCAAACGCTAAGGCGTAATCCACTGTGCCACGGAGAAACGATAGACAATTCTAGTACAACCGACAGTAGTTATTACTATTTATCGAGATAATTGTTATTCTCCGTTGGACGAAACGCGCATCCTGGATTCTTCTGCTAGCCACAACCAACCAAATTACCAAAACTAACATTCAGGCAATATCAACGCATCCACATAGGAGCCCATATGCCAATAGACGTCGAACAATTCGATCGAACAAAACAAAGGAGAATAACAAGTATGTCAATTAATAGTAATAGCTCTGATCTCATTTCAGTGCTACAGTGGATAGAAGAGTAGTTTTAAATTTCATGTTTGGATGTCGGTAAGTCCAGAGGTGTTCATGAACACCACACATTTGTCATTCTCGTAGAATAAAATGAATTCATTTGTCTACCAGATGTCTCCTAATTGTCATGAGCGCTGAAGGTGAAAGGCAATGAAAGGAGATGGAGTAAGAGTAAACTTATTTTACTGAAGAGCTTGAAAATCTTGTTGAATTGGTCTAAATTATTTTTAATACTCAGTGGTATCGTTAAGTCTTTGTAAGGTCAAGGCAAATGAGCAAACAGAAAAGCAGTCATACTTATCTTACGACGATTTACAAGACAGTCATTCTTATGAATTTTCTACTTGTCTTTAATTTGGATCAGGTAATCCGCTAAGAAGGATATTTTGTATGTGTTGCCAATTCTTCAGTGACCAACCCGACAGACATGACGTAATACACAGGCCACCATAAGACAGTGACCAGACGAGCTATCCTGGTCGGCAACAATCTTAAGTGACGTCATACAATACCAGGAAGGTCTCTTCAATATTGGTGAGGCAAAAATAACTTGCCTATATGGTGTAAATAGATACGCTACGATGGGGCTACGAGAAAGAAGCTATAAGACAGATAGACAGACCAAAAACAGCGTACAACCACGCAAGCAAATGAATCAGCTCAAGTTACTAAATTTCATAGGTAATATACAGGTTGTATACAGGTATAGTATACACGGGTGGTATACAGAGAAGAGGTTGACAGCAAATGGGTGATATCGAAGTAGACAATGCTGTGTGACAGAATCAGCAATTCAACGATGAAAGATAGTGCGAATAGTCAAGCTTCAGAAAATGTCAAAGAGTGAATACATCTGCACCATTGTAACCGATTTTCAGTCATGTCGCCAGGAGTCCTCAACCACTGGTTCTTATCGTCTCAGTGACTCCAACCCGGTAGTCTACATCTCACCACACGGTTCAGACCAAGAATAAGAGACTTCATCAATTGATGCCACATCTTGATCTGGTCACTGTGAACTCTCTTCCTATCTAATTTTACACCCGCCTGGATGACATATCGAGGTGGGCGATGGATCGGCATATTCAACACTCACGTCTGAGTCAAGTCTGTCTACTAAAGTTTACAATCTCATCAGTCGAATCTCTTGTCTTATATAGTATCCTTCGCCAGACCTCAACATTGCTCACACGGTGATTCCACCAACCTCTAGCAATGCTAAGAAGACATCTGTAGTCAGCACTGTGTAACCGCTTCATGTCTCCTACTTTCAACGGTCATGTCTCACAGCCACATAACAGGACAGAAGGGACTGTAGCGCGCAGTCTACTCTTCCTTTGACGGACAGTCGGATATCTCACCCGTCGTCAACATAGATGATGCAAGTTGGTAAGTGCCGAATGGGACTCCTATGTCGTAGCTGAGATTCCGTCAGCAACCAGGTCGTCCGAGCTGATGCATTTCTGGAAGTAAGTGAAGTGGTCGACACATTCCACCGCTTCCCTCCATACCATTAAACAGGAGTAAACCAGTAAACCAGTTTTGAAGCATCATCCCACATTTGATAGCTGTCAGAGAAATGCATGCCAAACATACTCAGATTTCTGCTCAACGCGTTTAGAAGACCCTTCATTTTGTGGTCATCTTCATATAGCAGGACAATATCGTTTAGTTACTACAAATCAACCATGTGGCCTCCATTGAGTAGATCGATTCTTGTGAAGTCACTGGTCACCCCAGTCTATAGAAACGGACAGAAGTCTTCCTGTCACAACCATAGGGGAATTACTTTGACTAATATTGTTTCAAAGATCCTAGAATTCGTAGTTATTCGATGCCTAACTGGAAATGGATATGCTACTTACATCATGTATAAGTAACACAATAATTGAATAAATTTTTGAAGCTGTCTCAAGCAATTGGTGAGATTACAACATAAAAACAAATTCGTTTTGGCATTTGAAAGTGACTGCATCTGTGAAAATTAAACTCATGATTGCCTGAAATGATTACCGAACTGCCTTAACCTACAAATATATTATTTCTATATGATAAAGGGATGTCTCCACTCTACTTTTACAGTGAAAATCTTTTGATTTGGTAGTTACATCATTATTCTGTTTTGCTATATAAGTAACAGTGTTTATGTCTTTAATTAACAAGATCCTAGTTGATATGAATGAGAAAGAGACACCCCTAGTAAGAGAAGTAAGAGGATTTACAGCAGAATGCCAAGTAGATAAATCAAAACAAAACTGCACGCTAAAATTGATTGATTCTCACGTTAACGTAAAAAGTTGCAATCATGCTAAAAAGGGTTATTCCTTCAGAGAAAATTCCTTTAGTCGTGATGACTGTCAGACGTATCATGAGTTAATGCACAAATATCTAAGAACATTAGACAGTGATGTTAGATAATTCTTCTTAATTAGTTAATTTACATTGATAGGGAGTTTAAAAGTAGCAACTGGAGTGCTTGAGTGTGTTGAACGGTATAGTTATGTAGAAAGTTTCAATAAGCTTAATGAACTGGTCATCAAAACATTTTTGGATTAAAATCAGGTTTTTATCATTTATTCATGATCCCATAGATGTTTCTGAATATCAGGTATGAAACTAGTTTAATTTTTTTTAGCAGTTCATCCTCTTTCATAAACATAAATCTTTTTTCAAGGTGAAGGGAAAATTTGGACCGTGGCTGAATTCGAATCCGCAACCACTGGGTTTCCAGCCAGATGCTCTGTCAACTGAACTAAGAAGTCCTACTGCTGACCAAACTTTTATTTCACTTCAATCGCCAAGGATTTTTTCCTAACTACCATATGAATTTGTGGGACGCTTTACTACCCCTTGATCACACTCACACTGCCTGCCGAGACAGGACTTCTCATCAGCAGTAACGCCTCGTAGGTCAGTTGGTAGAGCAACGAGCCAGAAACCCGATGGTCGGAGGTTTGAATCCCGCTGGGTGAGATAAAGGTCAATCATTTAAATTATTCAAGAATGAATGAACAAATATTGGATGTGGTATTACATTTATTCACTGTTATTTATCTAGCCAGTTGTATGTGAATTATTATTTAAGTTGACCCTACTTTCCTCTGATTGACTATCTGCACATTTGTTGTTGTCTGATTGGACGAGGTGCTGAGTTAACATTCAGGCATATCACCTTGTGTTAACTGTAGCTTACATGTTACTTACTGTTAAATCACCTCGAATGTAACTATACAAATTTATGCACTAACTACTATCAAATATAGAACCACTAATTATTTTTTTACAAGAAAACCAGACAGTCTTCTTATTTTACACGACTCTCTGGTATGTTTACTTAGATGAATTCGATATAAGGTATAATTGTGCATGAAAATCAATTTGTAATACTTCAAGGAAATACAAATATAAGGAGAGT